TCGTGTGCCAACGCCGCGTGTCAGCCGCCGAGGAGAAGGCGCTGGACGACAGCGCGTGCCCGCAGCCGCGCCCGCCGGTTCTGGAGGCCTGCCAAGGCCCCGCCTGCCCTCCCGAGTGGGCCGCCCTGGACTGGTCGGAGGTCAGCCGCCCCTTCCCCCCACGCCCAACCCACCCCTGTGCAGCGTGGGGTAGGGCCTGGGTCGCCCAGGATGGGTGCCCACGCGGGCGCCTCTCTGCGGCCACCAGCCCCGCCTGCTGGACCTAGCGCGCCCCCCACCTCCTCCGCTGACCCCTCCGGGCCCCCATTCCCCTGGTGCCTGCGGGGACTGGAGCGCCCACGAGCCGAACCCCCTCTCCAACTGCAGTGCACCCCGAGCTGCGGGCCCGGCCTCCGCCACCGCGTCGTCCTGTGCAAGAGCTCGGACCACCGCGCCACGCTGCCCCCCGCGCACTGCCCGCCCGCAGCCAAGCCTCCGGCCACCATGCGTTGCAACTTGCGCCGCTGTCCCCCGGCTCGCTGGGTGACGGGCGAGTGGGGCGAGGTAGGCCGGCGCCCTGGGGGGCGGGGGCGAGGGCAGGGGCGCCCCGGGGCCGGGCCGAGGCTCAGCAGCGACTCCCCGCAGTGCTCCGCGCAGTGCGGCATCGGGCAGCAGCAGCGCGCCGTGCGCTGCTCCAGCCACACGGGCCAGCCGTCCCGCGAGTGCGCAGAGGCTCTGCGGCCCCCGGCCACGCAGCAGTGCGAAGCCAAGTGCGACAGCGCGCCCCCCGGGGACGGCCCCGAAGGTATGTGGGACGGGAGCCCGGGGGACCCCAAGAGGGCCCCATCCAGGGGAAGCTACAGGAGAGCGTGGGAGTCCGGAAGTGGGCCTGGAGCGTCTCCAACCACCCAGGTGCCTTGCGGTGTCCCCTCCAGGCCATCCTTCACCACCCTCTCCCAGCAGACGTGTATTAAGCGCCACTGCATGCCAAGCTTTTTAGGATCCTTCTGGACACCCAAACCCAGGTCATTGCCCAGCCCCCCACCACCCTGCCCCCCACCTCCATGACCTTCATCCTAATTCATCTCCACCTGTACCATTAACTGCCAATTTTTTTTAATTTTCATTTGTTTAACTTATTTTTTAAGATTTTATTTATTTGTTCATGAGAGACACAGAGAGAGAGGCAGAGACAGGCAGAGGGCGAAGCAGGCTCCATGCAGGGAGCCTGATGTGGGACTCGATCCTGAAACTCCAGGATCACGCCCTGGGCTGAAGGCAGGTGCTCAACCGCTGAGCCACCGAGGGGTCCCTTTTTCTTTTTATTTATTTAAATTCAATTTGCCAATATATAGGATAACACCCAGGGCTCATCTCATCACGTGCCCTCCTTAATGCCCGTCACCCTGCCACCCTATCCCCTCACCCACCTCCCCTTCTGCAACCCTTCGAATTTTTTTCTTTAAATCAGAGTATCTCAACCTCAAGCACTATTGATGTTTTGGGCCAGATAATTCTTGGGGGGGCGGGGCTGCCCTAGGCCCATAGACTATTCAGCCCCACTCCTGACTTGGGTCTGTAACTGCCAACAGCGCTGGTGCCCCCAGTGGTGACAAGCAGAACCGTCTCCAGATCTGGCCAAATGTGCCCCTGGGGGACAAAATCGCCTTCCCTTGAGAACCACTGCTTTAAATGTGTACTTTTTTTTTTTTTCCACTTCAGTAAACTTATTTTCCATACAGGGCAATAGATCACTTGCTCTGGGCACTGGAACCAGACTGCCTGATTTGGGCTCCTTCCTCTGTGCCTTCTAATCTGTCAAGGGGGATAAATAATATCCTCACTAGAGGGGGTGCTCAAGAGGGAGAGGGAATAAAACAACCCACGTGAAGGCCTTATTTAGGCACGTGGCCCTGTCTCCTACGTCCCTGGCCAAGTGGGAGCCCGCACTATTGTCACAAACAGCCGGTTGATTACCATGAACACAAAATACACAAATACCCTGAAAAGGAGCGACTCCTCTGGAGCTCGAGGTCCTCCGTCTGTTACAAAGGGAAACGAGTGAGGATTACAGCCCCAAAGGGATCAAAAAAATAATTGAAAGGGAATACTTTTCTGAGGATTTCATGCTGGGTCCCAGTCCCAGACCCCGCACTCCCTCAAAGTCCTCCAGCAGCCTAGTGTCATGTGCAGGAGCCCCCCTTTACAGTTTATTATAAGCTCCCTTTGGGAGGCGAGGAGACCCGGGCACAGAGAAGCCGGGAAGACCAGCGCAGGCTGCAGACGCGCCCCTGGAGGAAGGGGGGAGCTCTGACCCCGCCCCCCCCTTCTCCCGCCCCGCTCCAGAGTGCAAGGATGTGAACAAGGTCGCCTACTGCCCCCTGGTGCTCAAATTTCAGTTCTGCAGCAGAGCCTACTTCCGCCAGATGTGCTGCAAAACCTGCCAGGGCCGCTAGGGGGCGCGCGGCCCCTGGAGCCACAGCTGGGCACCGGCGGGAGGGGACCGGCCAGCAGCTGGCCAGCCTGGAGGCGCCCCAGGGGGCGGGAGCTGGGGGTGCAGGGTGAGACGAAGCCGGAAGTTATTTATTGGGAACCCCCTCAGGGCCCCTGGCTGGGGGATGGAGAGGGGCTGGCCACCCCAGGGCCCCTCCTCGTCCCCTCTCCCGGTTCACAGTGAGACCCCCTCCAGGGTGGGCTTGAGGAGGGAACAACTGTTCGCCCTAGCGCCCTTTACACCCACTCCTAGGGAGCCCCCAATACTGCCCCCCCTTTGACCGGAATATGTACTGTGAAGAGTGGGGGTGGGGAGGGGGTCTGCCGGCGTCCTGCCCCCAGCACTGCCGATCCCTCCACTCTGAGCTGGGGGAGGAGGGGAGGGGGAGAGGAGGGTCTGTGTCCGCTCTGGGGGAGGGGGACTAGCACCACCTCCCTGATGCCCTCCCCCGGGCCAGACCAGCTACAGGGCTGAGGCAGAACGGGCCAGATCCACCACAACCTCTGCCCTGCCTGCCCTGGGGGGGACCCCGACATCCAGGCGCCCCTATCATGGTGCTACAGGCCCTGCCCTGGGGCCCACACACCCCTCGCCAGGAAGCCCTCCATCAATAAAGTTCTGTCTTGTGTAGATTTGCGTTACTGCATGTGTGTGTCAATATGTCAGTGTGTCAGAGTCACACGCAGTCCTTACCCTGAATGCAAGCAGCCGCGGCCCCTCGCAGGTGGTCCCCATCATCAGTCCCAAGGGGGCCTTTCACTAGCACAGACTAGAGCCCAGTGATTCTGCAGCTTCTCAAGGAGGGTCTCAGAGCTACCTCCCCACCTGCCACTTGGCACCTGCCATCCCGGCACCCGCCATCCCCGCACCCGCCCATCCCGGCACCCGCCCATCCCGGCACCCGCCATCCCCGCACCCGCCATCCCGGCACCTGCCATCCTGCGCACCCGCCATCCCCGCACCTACCATCCGGGCACCTGCCATCTCAGCACCTGCCATCCCGGCACCCGCCATCCCCGCACCCGCCATCCCGGCACCTGCCATCCTGGCACCCGCCATCCCGGCACCTGCCATCCCGGCACCTGCCATCCCGGCCACCACACCCCCAGGCACTCGGCACGCTCCTGCCGCACAGGCCTCGGGGCTCCCGGAAGTTCCACAATCTCCCACCATCTTCTGCTGGATCCCGGAGGAGGGGTGCCGGCTGCTAGAGCTGCTCCCCCCGCCCCCGCAGGTGTGCCCTCCCCTCTCCTTTTTCACCTGGTCAGCTCCAACTCGCCGTGTGGCCTCCGCGCAAGCGTCACCTCCGTGGGAAGCGCCCTCTGAAGCCAACAAGGGGAAGGGCCTCCTGCCTGCCCGCCCGCGGGCGCCGGAGGCATTGGTGAGGCTGCCCGGAGCCCAGCCCGGCGCCCAGCCCGGCGCCCTGCCCGAGATTCCGGGAGAAACGCGCCCCTGCCCAGATGGGGCCACTAGGGGGCGCGCGCCTCGCCCTCTTGTAGGCAGGGTGCTGGGTGCCGGGCGGAGCGCAGGGATACGGGGTGCTCGGCCTCCTCCCCGCCAGGCGGGTGGCTCGGAGCTGAGGACCCCTCCGAACTCCCGGCTCCTAGTGTCCAGAGGGGAGCGGGACGAGGCCGGCGGGTCTCCCAGGGTCAGGGTGTGGGCCAACACTTGATGACCCCTCTGTGTGCCAGGCCCTGAGGCGAGGGCCCGCGCCCCCATTTTATAAGAAAGTAGGGGGGCCCTGGAAGTAGCAGAGCTGGGGGGTATTAAATCCAGAGCTGGGGACGCCTGGGTGGCTCAGAGGTTGAGCGTCTGCCTTGGGCTCAGGCCGTGATCCCGGGATCCTGAGACACAGAGGCAGAAGCAGGCTCCCCACAGGGACCCCCCTGCAGGATCCCCGGACCTAGATCACACCCTGAGCCAAAGGCAGATGCTCAACCGCTGAGCCACCCAGGCGTCCCAATAAATAAAATCTTTTTAAAAATTCTTTTAAAATCCAGAGCTGACATCCAAAGTCTGAGACCTAACAGCTGCCCCTGGTTCCTGGTAACCTCCACCCATGGGGTCCTCCCCCGACACAGACACAGGTGGCTCCCCACTGGCCTTTCTGGAAGGAAGACCAGCAGAGGCTCTGGCAGAGGGGGTTTGCTCAGGGACGCCTACACAGACACACATCTGAAGTGGTTTTGAAGAGACCCGAGCAGCCCAAGAGCTTCCTGAGGCCGCTCTGGAAGAGCAGACAGTTCTGCAGCCAGCTGACCTGCACGCTGTTTGCTGCAGCACCTGGCCGAGGAGTTGGAGGAAGGGCCCTCCTGGGGTCTGGTGGCGGCTGCCAGCCATCAGGGACCTCTCCCCTCAGGCTCAGAGCCCCAACGAGCCAGTGCCCTCCCCTGCCACAGCTGCTGGAGCTCTCTCCCCGCCCCTGGCCCAGCTTCCCCCCACCCCTGTAGCACTGGCCCCTCCCCTAAAGGAAGTAGGAGGGGGGGCTGTTGTAAGAGGAACTAGGCCTGGGAGTCTGGTGCAGGAGCAGGAGCAGGAGCAGGGCCATGCCCGAGCCACCCCCCAGAACAGCCTGAGCCTATATCCCTGCCACCACGACCCATCCGGGCGCTCCCCCAGGGGCCTGACACAACCACCATGGTAAGTCCTTCAAGGGCAGGCAGGGGAGAGGGGGGCACCAGCCAGGTGGAGATGCCCTGGACACCACCATCAGAAGGTGGGGGGCCGTGGGGAGGGGCACAGTGGACACTTTGGGGGGGGTTCCCTCGCTGCAGCACAGGTGCCGCCAGCATCCTTCACCAGGGACCAAGCTCACACAGGGTGGTGCCGGGATGCCAGGACGGTGATGGGGGATCAAGGATGGAGCCGTTACTGGGAGGCAGAGGGTGGCCTTGCAGGATCACACAGTATCCACAGGGACAAGGACAGACCCCTTCCCCGGGGCTTGGGGAATGGGTTTCCAGCCCAGCTGGGTCCCTCACCTTCCCGTGTGGCCTTGGGCAAGTCACTTCCCCTCTCTGGGCCTCAGTTCCCACATATGTCATATTTGGAAGTCAGCTGAGCCGTAGAAGGCATTCAGGGAAACTCTCAGGACTTCAGAGGGTCCGTGGGTTCCGCCACTCCGAGTCCACAGCTGGGAGCAGAAGCGTGTCAAATGGGCGATGGGCTGTAGGGGTGTGCCTGCGTGAGTGACGGGGTGGTCCGGTTTCAGCGCTCACAGAAGCAGGAGACAGTGAGACCCAGCACGTCCACGCCACCACACGGACCCTTCCGACCAAGTACGGCAGGGGATACACCCCAGCCAGAGGTGTCAGCACCTGCTGAGGTTGAGATTGATGATGGCCACGGTGACAGGGTTCAGGAGACTGTCACTGTCATGGGCTAGACGCAGCAACAGCACAACACACGCGTCAAGAGAGAGCCCCCGGGCTGGCTAGAAAACTTGCCCCCACGGCTCCAGGCATCTGCAAGCCACTTCAGCTTTCATTTTTTGTCATTCTGTCAATGAGAGCATGTGGCTGGGACAGTCCCATTGCCAGCGGTGACAACTGCAGTGTTCCAGGCAGTTGCAGCAGGCAGCTGACCGAGGTGGCGACACGGTGGTAGACCAAGCAGCAGGCATTGGTTTTAGCCTGAGAGACAACCTCTCCTTATTCCAGAAAGCCGATGCTAACCTGGGCAACTCACCCACCAAACCATCAGCTAGCGCTCTGGGCTTGGGATGGAAATTCTTCGAAGAAGGAGCCAAGCCAGGAGGGCCCAGGAGCTCAGATGGGCAGACTTTGATCAAAAGAACACAGGAAATGATCTGTTACTTGAGAGAAAAGCCACCCACCCCTCCCAAGGAAGCCATGTGAAATGCTTAGTCAATGGTTTGCTTGGCCCAAGGGGTGTGGGAGGGGAGACTCCCCCAGGGGGACCACAGGAGAGGGAAAAAAGAGCAGACCCCATCCACAAGGCTAACACGAGGGGTGCTGATGGCCTCCTGGAGGGATGATGACAAGTGTCAGGAAGAGGGTGGAAAGATTCAATGAAACAACATTCACCAAGTGCTTTACGGGGCACCTGCCATGCGCTCCGCACAGTAACCATCGCTGTGGGTGCTGCTCATTCATTGCTGGAGCCAGTGGTGCCGGTGGGTGGAGGTGACTCATTCCCAGTCGCTGTCGGACCATGATTGTTGGGTTGTTGGTGCCACTGGTGGTGCTGGTGGTCCCCGCTGTCCATTGTCATGAGTTGGTGGTGACTGTGAGCCTCGTGGGGGTGTTGGTGGTGGAAGCAGCTAGTTGGATGTTTGTGGCGGGTGGCGGGTGGCGGGTGGTCGTCAGGGCTGGTCGGTGGAATGATGGCAGTTGATGATCACTGTCATTGTTTTTTAAGATTTTGTTTATTTATTCATGAAAGACACACAGAGAGAGGCAGAGACACAGGCAGAGGGAGAAGCAGGCTCCCCACAGGGAGCCCAATGTGGGACTCGATCCCGGGACCCTGGGGTCACACCCTGGGCCGAAAGCAGACGCCCAATCGCTGAGCCACCCAGATGCCCCAATGGTCACTGTCATTTAGAGCTGGGTGGTGATGGTGGCATTCTTTGGCCGTTGCTCATCCATGGTTGGTTGTCGGGGACAGTCTCTCGGGCTGCGTTGGTGTTGCCATGGCTGCCGCCCCCACCGTAGTTGATCAGGTGTGACTGTTGATGGCGAGGGCGGCTGTCGCGACCGTGGGTGATGCTGGGGAAATTGGTGGCAGACCTCGTCATATTTTCTGTTTGATGCTGACTGCTGGTGCCGGGACTGAGGCTATCAGCAGTTTTTGTGTGACTCTGACCATAAGCCGGGTGAAGGCAGCAGCCGGTTGTCCCCAGCTGGTGATGGTGGTGGAGCGAGGGAAATAGGGATCGTAAAGTACAGACATCAGGCCGGGAGACCAGTGATGTGGCTGCTTGGTCCACAGGTGCCAGCCGTGGGGAGGGACAGAGAAGGCCTGGGGCCAAAAGAGTTAGGACAGAGGACTCTAGAAGGACCAAGGTCCCCACCTGTCCCCTCCAGTTAGGCCGAAAGGAAACTGAGAGCGCTCCCCACCCCGAAGGAGGGGGACCTCAAGAACCTTTGAAGGTGAGAATGCCTTTGCACAGGCAGGCACGCAGGGTGTGGCCCCAAAACCCCACTGAGTTGGGGGAGGACAGGACCGGGGACACACCAGGGACCCGGGGCGGGGGCAGGGGCTGGGGGCCGCCCAGCAGCTGCTGCCTCAGTAGCTTCACATCTCCTTGCTGGCTGGCGACCACAGCTCGAAGGACCCCAACGAGGAAGGAAGTGGCTGTTTCGTTGTTCCCTCCAGTCTGAGGCTCTTCTCATCAGCACCCAGGAGAGCAGTTGGGGCAAATTGCAAAAGCCCCCTCATCCAGCCCTCCCTCCCGGCCTCGCGGCCTGCGCCCGCCCGTGGGACCCGCAGCTGGAGGCGGCGGCGGCCGCTCGGTGAGCGCAGCTGGTGCTCCCACCTCCCCAGCCTGACCTCATTGAATCCACCCCGTGAGGTCTATGGCGCTCGGTGTTCCCATTTGCCAGACGAGGAAATAGCCATCACTGTTTCCAGATGAGGAAATACCCTTCCCTCCCAGGGGGGGCCAGGTGAGCTGCTGTACCACCCAAAAGTGGCAGAGTCACTTTTTCCAGGAGTCAGTGACTCCTGAAGTCACCTTGACCTGCCACCTCCTGCTCCTCCCTACAAGATGAGGGGCTGTGGGGGACTTGGGGGTGCTGACCCCCATGCCCCAGGCTGCCCATCCCTCCAGCCTCATTTGGACGTGGGATTTCCACTCCAGAGAAACTGGAAGCCCCGCTCCCCATGCCCTCTGCCTTAGACTGGGGGGGGGGGTGTCTCTGAAGGAGTCAAACTTAGAAGCTCCCGCCCATCCCACCCCAGCCCTGACTCTTTCACAAGAGCCCCATCAGGTTGAGTCATACTTGACTTGTGGTCAACTGTGACCACAACATCTTCATTGCACCCACCCCCCACCCCCAAGGAAGAGACTTAGAAACTCCATTTCAACTTGATCTATGGGGACTTGGGAGTCAGAGAGAGGTGGGTACTCATGACACAGAGCCGGAGGCAGCCTCATCCCGACTGTACTTCGTTCATTCCTTCGCTCTCTCAACAAGCTTCTATCCACCAGCTCCTACATCCTCCATCACAGGCTGTTCACTTCCACTAAATGCTCTTGGGGTCACCAGCTGCCTTTTCCTGGGGCATCCAGCACACCCCTCCTCTGCACCGGCTCACAGAACCGAGGGAGGGAATTATTATGGAATCCATTTTACAGATGGGAAAACGGAGGCTTGGAGAAGTCAAGTGGCCTCCCCGGGGTCACATAGTCAGTTAACTGTCAAGCCAGGCCTCACACCCAACCGGTCCCAAGCCAAAACTCTTGACTGTCTTTCCACGCACTGTACTCACTTGAGCAAAACCTCTCCCTCTACTGCAAACAACCCATGGTTTTTGGCCTCACAGGGGGCTAGGAGTGGATCTAGAGGTTCCAATGCCCAGGGGCAGGACATGGAGAGAGAGAATGGCTCAGGCTGCAAGAGACAGAAGGCCACTCAGCTGGCTGGGGAGAAGGAAGAGACAGGAAGAGGAACCGAGTCCTTGGGGCCAAGAGACCAGCCAGACACAGCCAGCATCAGGGCCTCTGACCTCACAGAAAGGAAGTGGCCTTGAGCTTCGGCCGAGCTTGAGGGGCCCAGGAGCGTAGAGACCAAGTCGACCCACTGGGAAAACTCTGGACAGATCCAGTCTTGTCCCTGCCCCATCTTCCTCTGCTCTGAACCCAAGCCCAGCCACCTCTGACCCGGACCAGGCGGAGGGCGACAGATCCTGTCTCCCAGATCCTCCTTTCGTGCTGTGTGACCTTGGGGAAGACAGCTAACTTCTCTGTGCTACAGTTTTCTCTTCCACAAAGTGGACCTAGTCATAGTACTGATCTCAGTATGTTTGGTAAGGTCATTCTCGGAAGCAGCCTAGACCGCAGTGTGGCACAGGGTAAGTGCCAGTGGGGTGCTAACTATTGTTATGATTGCAGTTGGTTACCATAGCTAACACCTGAGGCCCCTCCCCTCAGAGGTCTTCAGCCGAGGATCCACTTCCTGTCACCCCCATAAGCCTCCCTGTCCCCCCACCCACCCACTTCCCCACAGACCTTTGGCTCAGAGCAAGAGCAGAGCCTCCCCCTGCCCCGCCACCACCTACAACACCAGTCCGTGAATGATACCCCTTTGCTCCCAGATTTCATCCTCTCTTCTCCCCAGCACACTCTGGTCTCCCCATCCTGAACACAGGAAGCCTGCTCCCTGACCCCTCGTCTCCCCACAGCATCTTTCCCTCTTCCCCTTCTCAGCCAGGTGGTCTGAAAGCCATCCTCACTCCCCATCTGTCTACACCTCCTGATCTCCCAATCTGACTTCTTTTTTTTCTTTTTTTTTTTAAAGATTTTATTTTATTTATTCATAGAGACAGACAGAGAGAGAGAGAGAGAGAGAGAGAGAGAGAGAGAGGCAGAGACACAGGCAGAGGGAGAAGCAGGCACCACACAGAGAGCCTGACGTGGGACTCGATCCTGGGTCTCCAGGATCACGCCCCCGGCTGCAGGCGGCGCTAAACCGCTGCGCCACTGGGGCTGCCCCCAATCTGACTTCTGAATGAGGTCGCCAGTGCCTTCCACGGGGGCCCCTCTGAGCCTCCGGGGAGCTGGACACACTTCGGTAGCTCAGGGGACCGACCCACGGCTCCTTGCTTCTCCCAACCCGGTCTTGTCATCTCCAGGTTTCACGGTCCCACCTGCCTCCAACCTCCCAGCTGACTCTCTGCTCAGCCTCTACCACAGGCGTCCTCTCCAACCCCTGCACGATGTGGCTCCCACAGCTTTGTCCCCCCACCATCCTCCCCCACCCGCACCCCAGGGGTTCTTCGCACCCAGCACCCCCTTCCTATAACAGACCCCTTGGCCGGCCCCTTGAATCCCCAAATTGCAATTCACAGACAGTGAAACAACGCATAGCCTCCCAAAATAATTTCAAGATTCAAAAATAATTCATGTGGCCTCCTGTGATACGGAGGAGAAAGCCACTTGGAATAAAATATGCACAGAAAGATGAAAGTGCTCCGGCCAGTGGCCCACAAACTCCCCCCGGAGCCCCCAGGTGTTCACACCGGGACAGGTGTACCTCTCGCTGACAGCGTGAGCAGCGTGGGCTTCTGAAATGCTGATCAAATCTTGGTGAAATCTGAATAAAACCAGCATCTCCCTTGATACAGGGTAGCCTGGAACATGTGGTGGGAGTCGGCCTTGCAAAGCAAACATCGATTTTTCTGTGTGGACAAAAAACAGAAGTTGATTCTAGGTTCCAATGATTACAAACACTTTTGTCACTTAAACGAGCATCTGCTGGGGTGGAGGGGGCACTGCGGTCAGGATGATGATTTGGCACCCACAGCCCACTTAAAATGCCAGCCTCCTCCAAAATGCTCCCACAATTCCTTTTTTTCTTTTAAGATTTTATTTATTTATTCATGAGAGACACACACAGAGAGAGAGAGAGAGAGGCAGAGACACAGGCAGAGGGAGAAGCAGGCTCCATGCAGGGAGCATGACACAGGACTCGATCCCAGGTCCCCAGGATCATGCCCTGGGCCGAAGGCAGTGCTAAACCGCTGAGCCACCCAGGCTGCCCTGCTCCCACAATTCTTAAAGTGTCCCCAGGAGCAGTACAGACCCGGCTGAGAACTCTCCAAGCTGCTGACAATCGAGCCTGAGTTCCCTTGCTCGGCATTCAAGGCCCTTCGGGACCTGGCCCCTGGCTGACCTCCCCTCCATTCTTTTGCCCGCTCTCCCACTCTCCCACTGGTTCATTCAAACGAGCTCTGAGACCACGTGCCGCCGGGCATCGCCCGAACCCCCCCATCCCCGGGGCTTGCACAGCAGAAGGCGCAGCCCGCGTGCACGATGTCCAGGATGTGCGCAGGGCCACAGTGAGGAGGCCCCGGGGGCTGCGGGGATCCAGCTGGCCTGGGGCGGGGAGGGCTTCTCACAGGAGGTGACACCTGAGCCGAATGCGAAGGCCGGACTGGCACGGCCCAGGCAGGAAGGGTGTTCTGAGCGGAGATCTGAGCATCAGCAAAGCTCGGAGGTGCCCAGGGTAGGGACTGAGAAGTTTTCCCTGCGGTGGTGGGTGGGGGATGCGGGGGGTCCCACCACACGGTAGGTGCCTCAGAATATTTTATGGATGGGAGAGTGACGGGACCCCACAGACAGCTTCTCAGCCCCAGAGTGAGGAGACCCTACGAAAAACTCTGACTTGCTCAGGCCGGAAGCAGCAGGGGTTCGAGCCCTTGCCCCCCGCATATGCTCCCTCCTCTGCTCTCGGCTCCTGCTTTGGCACCTTTGCTGGGGAGGGTCCACAGTGCCTGGGGCACCTTTCCTCGCAGCTCCTGGCCAAAGTCCAGCCCATACACACCCGTGGGGCCCGGGCTGCTTGTGGGTGTACACGCAAGAGCCCGGCCTTTGCTGTCAGACGGATCCAGACTCGAATCCCACACCCTTGGAAACAATTTAGCTGTGTCCGTAGTCAAGTGTCAAACACCTCTCGAGCCTCAGTTTCCGTCCCTAGACCCCGCCCCCCGCCCCGAGCTGCTGTGAGGACTTCACCCCGGCCCCCCGCCCCGCATCAAGCACGTCCTAGGGGCTGGGTGCCCTGGGCCCATCCTCACAACTCCCTGGGCCAGAGAGGAGCACCCGCCCCTCACCCTGGTTTGGATTTTGCACCCCCAGAGCAGTTACTCCATCGCGTGAACCCTGGGAAGTGAGGCTGCTTCTCCCATTTTACAGACGAGGCCACTGAGGCTCAGAGCAGCGTCGTATCATCTGGATTAGAACCCAGATCTACCCCCACACCAAAACCTGTGAACAATCCTCAGTGGCCCTGCCCCGGCTGTCAGGGTGTCCAGAATCTGAACGTGCACCTCCCCTGCTCAGGAATCCTCCAGGGTCCCCAAGAGAGACTGGCCTCTCCCCCACTTCTGCCCTACACTGCCCCTCCTGCTTCACCCCTGCCCGCATCCTCTCTGCCAGGCCCACCGTCTCCCTTCCCTGCAATCTATGTGACAAACACTGGTCATCCTTGAAGACTCGACTTTGATTCCCAGCATCCTTCGCTCTAAGGGTTTTCCTCTGAAGCTGGGGCTGCTTTCTTTGCCCTAGCTCCTCGTTCATCCTTCAGGTCATCCCTTCTAGAGCTGAGAAAGCGCTGAGAGCCAGGCCCCGCCCTCCAAGAGCTCCTGGTTGAGAATGAGGGGCTTCCCCGAGGGGGGACATCCTGTCCAGGCATGAGCACGCCTGCGAGGGCAGCTCCAGGCCGCTGACACCCACCTGTCTGCCGGACTCCTCCACGGCAGGGGTGTGCCGATCAGAGTGCATCTGAGCCAGGATGCGTCGGTGTCCAAGGCACTGGATGAGCTAGGCAGGCTGAAGAGGGAAAACATTCCAGGCAGGCTTCCTGGAGGAGGGGTCTTGAGGGGATCTGGTGTCTGAGTCTCCTCCCTGGGGCTTAAGGAAAGTCTCCCCTGATTAAAAAAACAAAACAAAACAAGAACAATGACAAAAAAAAAGGGAGGAAATGAGAAGGCAAAGCTGTGGGGGCACAGAGGACAGAGGTCACAGACAGATCTGCTAGGATGTGTGACCCCGAGAGAGGAGAGGAGGAAGGAGGCCATCTAGAGGTGGAAGGCTGGGCGGCAGGTCAAACGCCACAGAGAAGTCGGGGGCTCAGCCCGGGCCTGGGCAGGGAGAGCGGGCTGAGGAAGTGGGCGGAGGGAGGCTGAAGGAGAAGTGAGAAGGAGGGTGAGTCAATCCCCCCATCAAGTCACCCGCCAACTCCGTCCCCCTCCCACAGCCCCCCCAAGCACACCCTGCCACCCGCCCCCAAGGGCCTGGCATCACCGTCTCCTCCATGACAGTGGGACGCAGAGTGGAGGGATGGGAGGACGGAGCCCCCCCTTTGAGGTGGGGAGCCTGGACTCAACCTCGCCCACCTCCCCTGGTGTCCCAGGATTGGGGCAGGAGGCCAGCAGATGGCCCAGGGGAGGCAGAACCAGAAGGAGGTGAGGCATCAGCGCCACCACTGCCCCACCCCGCCGCCCTGCCCCCTGCGGGGGCTCACTCCCATCTGGCCACCCCCCCACACGCAGGGCAGCAAGGAGCGCTTCCACTGGCAGAGCCACAACGTGAAGCAGAGCGGCGTGGACGACATGGTGCTGCTGCCCCAGATCACCGAGGACGCCATCGTGGGCAACCTCCGCAAGCGCTTCATGGACGACTATATCTTTGTACCCCGGGCCGTGGGCAGGGACAGGCAGATGATGGGGACAGGGACAGGAGGGTGACTGACCAGTGGGTGGAGGGACGGCAGGTGGATGACCGCAGGGAAGGGTGGCAGCGGGACTGCAGCACAGAAGGGACACACAGAGGCCTGAGCAAATGAACAGTGGGAGGGATAAGCAGTGAGAGCACGGGGGGGGGGGTGCGGGGGCAGATGCAGTGACAGCAGGGCTCTGCTTGGGGACGGCTGTGGTCCTCACTACTCCCTCAGGCCTGGGCCGCTCAGCCACAGTGCCTTTCATCTCTCCTTTTGAGACCCAGCCCTGTTTCTTCCCTAAGTGACTCAGAGCACATCCGAGCATCTCCACCTGAGCAGCGGGGCCCCAGAGGCCCCCGGGGCATTAGGATTAGGAGACAGGGGCCCATAAGGAACAAAAGCCAGAACACCGCAAAGCCCTTAACCGCACCCCAGACCTACATCGGCTCTGTGCTCATCTCCGTAAACCCCTTCAAGCAGATGCCTTACTTCACTGACCGAGAGATCGACCTCTACCAGGGCGCGGTGAGCCTGGGGCCAGGTGGGAGGCATAGCCCCAGGACCCCCAGGACCCCCAGCCCCTGGCCCTGGGCTGAGACCTGATCTTCTCCCCAGGCCCAGTACGAGAATCCCCCACACATCTACGCCCTCACAGACAACATGTACCGGAACATGCTCATCGACTGTGAGAACCAGTGTGTCATCATCAGGTACAGAGTGGGGGGGCCCCACATACTCCTGCCCAGGCCCCCAGGACAGCCTCACTGCCCTAGGGAGGCTCACTCAGAACTCCTGAGCCGCACAGAACCTTACTGTCCCTCTCTACCCTTGGCCCTGCTTTACTTTCCTTGTCACCACCTGGCCCATGATACGTTTATTTATTCATTCTGTACTGTCCATCTGTCCATTCTAAATACCAGCTCTGAGACGGCAGGGATTTTTGTCTTGTTCGCTACTGTTTCCCCAGAGGCTGGTATGGTGCCTGGCACACATTAGAGAATGAATGAATGAATGAATGAATGAATGAATGAATGATCAGGCACTAGAAAAGGTATTTACCCCTCCCAACACCCCCCTCTCTACTGGCTGCTGATCATTCTCTCCTTCACCCACCCCCAGTGGAGAGAGTGGAGCTGGGAAGACAGTGGCAGCCAAATACATCATGGGCTACATCTCCAAGGTGTCTGGTGGAGGCGAGAAGGTCCAGGTGAGGGGAGAACAGAAGGACAGGTTGGGTCCCCCCCCCACCTGCACAGTAGTTAACCCCCACGATCACCTACCTCGTCCTGACCTCTTGCCACCTCCACCTGCCTCTGCCCCCAGCACGTGAAGGATATCATCCTGCAATCAAACCCACTGCTGGAGGCCTTCGGCAATGCCAAGACCGTGCGCAACAACAATTCCAGCCGCTTTGTGAGTCTGCAGCCCCCCCTTTGGAGTAACTGCTCCCTCCATACTGACAGGCATGCACACCTGTGTTCCCACTAACAGAGGAACTAGCTGCTCCTCGATGGGAGACTCACTTCCTGCTTATGGGAGACTCACTTCCTGCTTATGGTCCGTCTTAAAAAGACTCCCCGACTAGCCGAACGGTATAGAAGCCTTGACTGGCCTGTTGCTAACATTCTTAAATATTTCCCTGGCTGCGATCATGCTACATCCTTTCCTATTCACAGCTCAGTTCCCAATTTATTCTCTCATTCATTCTTTCTTTCAACAAATCGTTCTCGGGCTCCTTCTTTGTGTCGGGCGTTAGCACTGAACCAAATGGAAGACAGACTAGATCCACAGGTCTGGATTTATGGTCTGATTCTGACACTATTTAGATTTGTGGCTTGGCAAAAAAAAAATGTTTCAGCAGCTTAAGCCTCCTAAAGCTCCTGTTCTCTCATCCATAAAATGGGGATGATGTTAATATCCATCTCACAGACCTCAGTAACTGCAGTACAACACCTACACGTGAGAATGATTTAACAAATTCCATACACTAGTAAGGTCTTTATTCCCCTAAATATTATTAATGATATTTTTATTTTCTAACGTATTTATCATGTAATTATATTTGAAGTACTTTCCTCAATGTTTTATTAAAAATTTTAGGGGATCCCTGGGTGGCGCAGCGGTTTGGCGCCTGCCTTTGGCCCAGGGCACGATCCTGGAGACCCGGGATCGAATCCCACATCGGGCTCCCAGTGCATGGAGCCTGCTTCTCCCTCTGCCTGTGTCTCTGCCTCTCTCTCTCTCTGTGTGTGTGTGTGACTATCATAAATTAAAAAAATAAATAAAAATAAAAAATAAAAATTTTAATGGGGCACCTGGGTGGCTCAGTCAGTTGAGCGTCCAACTCTTGCTTTCAGGGTCCTGAGTTTGGTACTGCATTGGGCTCCATACTGTAGGCGTGGTGCTTACGTTTTTAAAAAATTAACACAGAGATCTCTGGGTGGCTCAGTGGTTTGGCGCCTCCCTTCGGCCCAGGGTGTGATCCTGGAGTCCCGGGTCGAGTCCCACATCGAGCTCCCTGCATGGGGCCTGCTTCTCCCTCTGCCTGTGTGTGTCTGCCTCTCTCTCTCTCAATCTCTCTCTCTCTGTCTCTCATGAATAAATAAATAAAATATTTTTTAAAAAAATAAAATAAATAAAAATAAAAAAATTAACACAGAAAAATTGGGAGATTAGTATAATGAACACCTGCTGCCCACCTCCTAGATTCTATCATTAACATCTTGCTATACCTGCTTTATCAAATCTCCATCTGTTCTTTTTTTTTTTCTAAGTAAGCTCCACACCCAGTGTGTGGCCTGAACTCACAACTCTGACATTAAGAGTCACATGCTCCACCAACTGAGCCAGCCAGGTGCCCCTTTCCATCTTTTTATTTTGGGGGGTGCACTAGAGAGTAGACAGCAGACACCATACTTTGTGCTCCACCAACACTTCAGCATGCAGATCATTAATTATAATCCAATATAAATTTCTTTTATTTCTTTCATTTCCTTTAAAGTAAAATTTGCATATAGAAAACACATCAATCTAAAGTGGACTGTTCACCAAGTTTGGAAAAATGCATGCATCTGTGCAACCAAAACCCTATCAACATGCAAAGCATCACCGTCACTCCAGAAAGTTCCCCACCCCCTTTCACCTTTACTGTCAATCTCTATTCCCACCTCACCCCAGAAGCAACCTTCCTCTGGGTTTATTTTTTCCCACCATAGATTAGTTTCAACTGTTCTAGAACTTCATATAAATGGAATCACGCAATATATGTTTTCAAGCTACTGATACACACAAAAACATGGACAAACTACCAAAACATAATTATATTTTTTATTATTTTATTGTACAGTAGAATAGGTATATGTCCTGTAATGGGATGATGTCATGTGTATCGTCATTGCCTGGAAGTGGCAGAAAGGAAAAGTAAGGGGGCTTCTCTGCCCTCCAACCTCTGGCCAAAGTAGAACCAGACATTGTCAGAGACCAAGGAAGGGGTGTGTGGGGCCCTCACTCTGGGCTCAGGGACACCCAGGATCCCTGACACCCGCAGCAGCCTGCAGAGACATGGAGGCCTCTGTGTTGTGGTGGGAGGACTGGGAAACTGGTCAATAAAATGGGGTACTTCTATGTGCCAGGCACAGGCCTGGATGCCCTGATGAGGGCTGGAGTCATTAGAGGAGCAGCTTAAATGCTGAAGGGAAGGAGCTGATGCAGAGTGAACGTCCCTAAGTGGGAGGTGAAGAGAGAAAAGTTAGGTCACACGGGCAAGAGAGGGACAGTCCCCCACCTGCACCCCCCCCCCGGGGAGGGGGAACCCTGGGCATCTAACATGGCTCTCTTGGCTTCAGGGCAAGTACTTTGAGATCCAGTTCAGCCGCGGCGGGGAGCCAGATGGGGGCAAGATCTCCAACTTCCTGCTGGAGAAATCCCGAGTGGTCATGCAGAATGAAAACGAGAGGAACTTCCACATCTACTACCAGGTGCAAGAAAAGGGGCCGTGAGGCTGGGGCAGAGGGAGGGCCTGAGGGGAGACAGCAGGAGGGTCAGTGTCCAGGAGCCCATGGCAGCGAGGACTGCGGGGGTCACAGGGCTGCACCAGTCCATGTCAGATGCATGAGCATCGCTCGTCCTCCAGCTGCTGGAAGGAGCCTCCCAGGAGCAGCGGCAGAACCTGGGGCTCATGACCCCCGACTACTATTACTACCTCCAATCGGACACCTACAAGGTGGATGGCACGGATGACCAGAGCGACTTCAGCGAGACTTTGGTGAGTGGTGACCACCACTCTAGAAAACCGAGGCCCAGAGAGGGGCAGGGACTTGCCTAAGGTCACACAGCAAGTGGAGGAAATGGGCAGGACAGGGATCCAGGTGCCCTGACCCCTGTGTCCGTGCCCTGGCCCCAGAAGCCTAACCCAGGAGGGCGGGGTGGAGGTGGTGATTGGTGGTACAGGTTCTGTTCTGTTGCGCCTGCAGAACGCCATGCAGGTCATCGGGATCCCCCCCAATGTCCAGCAGCTGGTCCTGCAGCTTGTGGCGGGAATCCTGCACTTGGGAAACATCAGCTTCTGCGAAGATGGGAATTACGCCCGGGTGGAGAGTGTGGACCGTGAGTGTGGGTGCTGGGGAGGGCCAGGGGGCACATCTGTGCATGAGAACTGCTTCCTCCTAGTTCACCCCCGGGGGGTAAGGACCCATGAGGACAGTATCTGTGTCACTGGGCAAAATGGGGAGAGACGGGAGCTCCAGAGGAGGCCCAAGAGCCAAAGTGGCCGCCCCATGTCCCCCACCCTGGCAGTGCTGGCCTTCCCCGCCTACCTGCTGGGCATCGACAGCACACGGCTGCAGGAGAAGCTCACCAGCCGCAAGATGGACAGTCGCTGGGGCGGACGCAGCGAGTCCATCGATGTGACCCTCAACGTGGAACAGGCGGCCTACACCCGCGATGCCCTGGCCAAGGGGCTCTACGCCCGCCTCTTTGACTTTCTCGTGGAGGTGAGGGGGGCCAAGGCATGGGAGAGGCCCTGCCCCCAGACCGCCTTGGGCTCAGACTGCCAAGTAGGGAAGGCAGGCTTGACTGTCACCTCACCGATTCCTGGCAATGGGGGGCACGGCGCAGGGGCAGGAGGTGATCAGATGGAAGATGTAGGGAGAGGCTCCATCTGGCTGTGGCATGGAGCGCAGGAGGGAGGCGGCTGCTGGAACCATCCAGGCCTGGACCTGGGGGCTGTGCGGGTGGAGACACGTGGGTGCATTTGGGAGCCACGAGGGGGGCTGTCAGGAGGACAGTGGACAGGAGCGGAAGGGAACGGGACGTGTCACGGCAAAGGATGATGACGATCCCATCATAGTCAACCTTATGTAACACCTAGTCTACACCAGCGACTGTCCTAAGTACTGTTACATGTGTCAATTTAACTCCTTAATGAGGCGCTACAGAGTAGCTGCCATTATTACCCCATTTTGAAGATGAGAAACTAGAGGCTCAGAATGGTTAACAGGGAAGTGAGCTTCCAAGGTAGGAACCCGGATGTTTTAACTGGGGGCGGGGGCCTAGAGCCGGAGAAGGCTGGAGAGAAAGTACCATGAGAGGACGTAGCCTGTGACGGGGACTAAATCACCCCAAGAGAGTGGCAAGCTGGCCCTGACCCGCTGTCCCCACCCACCCACGTTGCAGGCCATCAACCGTGCCATGCAGAAGCCCCAGGAGGAGTACAGTATTGGTGTGCTTGACATTTATGGCTTTGAGATCTTCCAGGTACAGCCACTGCTCCCCAGCCTGCCCCCATCCCTCCCTCAGCCTCCTGGGGTGGCCTAGTGGCCCCAGGAGCTTCCGGCATCACCCCACTGATGGCGGCACCCTTTGCCTCCCATGGCAGAAAAACGGCTTTGAGCAGTTCTGCATCAACTTTGTCAACGAGAAGCTGCAGCAGATCTTCATCGAGCTCACCCTGAAAGCTGAGCAGGTGGGCAGGGGCAACCAGGTGGCCAGGAGCCAGAGGACGCTGGGGGTGGGGGCCAGGACCATGATGGTTGCTAAGCAACCAGGGGACACCCCCCCACAACCAGCCACCCATTCCAAACCTCTCTTTGCTGACCTGTCCAGGCCCCACCATGAAATCTCCTATGGAAGGGGTCTCCTTCCTCTAAACCTTTACAAGGGCTGGGGCATAGCCTCCTTGTTCATTCCTCCAATGAGCACCTGCTGTGTGCCAGGCACTGTTTGCAGTGCTGGGGACACTGCTGTGCAAGAGATGAACAAAAATTCCGGCTGTTTTCATCCTACCCATCCCTCAGAAGCAGAGCCTGAGACAAGGATTCAGGACAAATATCAGAAGAGGAATGAGGAAGGGGGGAGACAATTTTTTTAAAGCGGGGTGGGGGGCGCCTGGGTGGCTCAGTCAGTTAAGCATCAACTCTTGATTTTTTTTAAGATTTTATTTATTTATTTGACAAAGCAAGAGAGCATGCAAAAGCAAGGGGGAGGGACAGAGGGAGAGGGAGAAGCAGGCTCCCCACTGAGCAGGGAGCCCAATGTGGGACTCGATCCCAGGACCCTGGGATCATGACATAAGCTGAAGGCAGACACTTAACCAACTGAGCCACCCAGGCACCCCATGTCCAACTCTTGATTTTGGCTCAGGTTATGATATCAGGGTCCTAGGATCAAGCCCCACATCAGGCTCCCTGGTCAGTGAGAAGTCTGCTTGCAATTCTCTCTCCTTCTCCCCTTCTCCCCATTTGAACTCTCTCTCTCTCTTCTAAAATAAATAAATACTTTTTTAAAAAAATCCAGAATAGGGTGTATTAATGAGCAGGTTACATAGCAAGCAATTGGGATCAATTTCTGCTAAGCCCTGGGGACACTTCATAGCACGGAACTCAGAGGTGACCCACCCCAGAACCGAGGGAGCCAGGATATTTATCCACCAGCTCCTGTCTGTCTGTGTCAAGGGATGTCAGGGGCGATAGTTCCGGGATGCCCCACACAGGGCAACAGGCTTTGTTACTGGAGACAGTCCTAAGTGATGAAATAGGGAGATATGGGAAGACACCTTCCACACCTCCTTCACCACCCTTGAGAAGCATGCATTCTAGAAACATACAGAGACCCACCCTGTTCCTGTCCTCTTTGCTGCCCCCAGGAGGAGTATGTACAGGAGGGCATCCGCTGGACCCCCATCCAGTACTTCAACAACAAAATCGTCTGTGACCTCATTGAAAACAAGCTGGTGAGGACTGAGCCAGCTCTGTGGGTCTAGCTGGGCCCAGAGCAGGGCCTGGGAGAGGAGGAGAGGGTTAGGGCCCTTTCTCTGTTCCTGCCCCCTACTGGGGTGCAGAAGGAGCACACTTAATATCCCATCAGCCACCTCAACCACTCACTCTGCCCACCGCTTGTATCGTTCACTCAACAAACCTTCCCCAGGGCAGCCCACTCAGGGGCAGAGGGGCTAACCCTGATAGGACCCCCACCAGGACATCCCAACCTGGGAAAGGTAAGAGGCATGGATCCTTATGGGGTTCCTCACCCCACCCTGCCCCCCAGGAGCTTCCACAGCAGTCCCCACACCACCACCACCCCACTTTTGTTCTTGTATTTGGAAACCCCACCATCTCCTCCACTCCCTCCCTGTTCCAGGGAACAGGATGGGGGGACACTGATCTGCCACCCGCTTCCCCCACCCGCAGAGCCCCCCAGGTATCATGAGCGTCCTGGATGATGTGTGTGCCACCATGCATGCCACGGGCGGCGGCGCTGACCAGACCCTGCTGCAGAAGCTGCAGGCGGCAGTGGGCACCCATGAGCACTTCAACAGCTGGAGCTCTGGCTTTGTCATCCACCACTACGCTGGCAAGGTGACCCCCTCCCAACTGACCCCCAGGAACTAGTCTGGCTCCCACCCTGTTCCCTCAGCTAGGGCTGCAGAAACCCTCACTGGCCCTGGACCAAAGTCTCAGCTCTTCTCACTAACAGGACAGCTCTGCCTAACAGGAGAAAAACTCCCTACCATTGAGCCACATTGGGCATCAGACTCTCACACCCCAATCTGAGCTGCAAACCCCACTAACCCCCTGATCCAGGACATAGCCTTCTGACCCAAACTCAAAGACCCCAGGCCCAAGATGTAAGCCATCACGCTCCAAAATGAGCCGGAGCACCCCTACCCAAGACTATAGAAATCTGCTGGCCTCTGACCCTGGCCACAGTCCTCCTCCCCAGTTGACAGGACTACAGACCCCTCCCATTGACCTTAAGTGGGTGACCTTAAGACACCCCCCAGGGATCTTCTGGTCATCCTGCAGCCCACTGATCCCCAAACTGAGCTAGAGCTCCTGTGTTCCCTCAACCAGGACAATGGAGAACCCCCCACCTTGGATGGCAGACCTAGCCCACAAGCCTGACTGAACCCCCCCCCCCCGCCATAGATCCCCAGCCAGTGCTGGAACCCTCCTGACATGAACCCCAAGCCCTCAATTGACCACACACAGATACTCAATCTGACCTCTTCACTTCAGATCAAACAGCAGACACCCAGGAACCCTCTACCCGGGCAGTAGCACCTCATCCCCAATCCGGGCTAGAACTGGCACCTCCTCCTGCCTCTGACCCAGGCTGCAGCCCCAACCTTCCAATCTCAACTTGAACATGAGACCCCCTGGAACCCCAAGCCCATGCTGCAGCCCCCTGCCCCTTATCGTGAATCATAAGTACCCGCCCATCCTGTCAGCATAGGGTGGGTTCCTATGGGACCCCTGACCCCCTGGGCTGTAAGCATCCCCCAAAACTCAACAGCCCCTCACTGCCCCCAACACTGTCTCCCTCCAGGTCTCCTACGACGTTAACGGATTCTGTGAGAGGAACCGGGACGTTCTCTTCTCTGACCTCATAGAGCTGATGCAGACCAGTGAGCAGTGAGTGGCCTCCGGGCACCAATCCACTTCAGGATGGGGGGGGCTCCATCTTCCTGAGAACTCCCATCATGCCACAGACTCTGTGGGGGTGGCTGTCTGCAGAGACAGTGTTTCCAGTGACTGGCTCTGATTAAACAGCAGCCTGGGATCCCACAGGAAGAAGTAAGGACAGTGCTAGGGGCCGTGCCTCATGGCCCATGCAATGCATCCAGTGCCTCCTGTGCAAACCCAGTCCATGCAGGGTGTGGACGGTGTCCCCTGACACACCGTGAAAACACATCACACCCTGCATTTTTCCGTATTGACATGTATGGATCCATCTCCCTGGCCACAGCTGCATACCAGGTTTCCTTTTTTGCCTTTTTAACCTCCAAAATTTATCCAAGCTCCACTGTGTTCCAAGTACCATGTATTTGAACCTGTGGGGGATGGAGCCCGATCAGGTCAGGGAACACGGCTGCTCTCACTGAGAGGAGAGCCAAGTGGGGAGAGAGGTATTGGACTAGAAAAAAAAAAAAGGTAAACACAGCATTGCATGAAAGTCATAAGAGTCACCCATAAAAAATAAATTTATTAAAAGAAAAAAAGTCATAAGACAGTGGTCCATAAGAGGCTGAAATTAAGGCTCCCAGACCAGCAACACGAGCATCCCCTGAGCTGGGTACAAATGCGGAATTTCTCTCATGCTCCACCCTAGACCTACTAAATCAGAATATGCATTGTAACAAGTTGCCCCCGATGCCTCCTCGAGAACCATGTGCACATTTGAGTTTGAAATTCCGTGATCTAGAGCAGCGCTGTTACATCCCCGTCCATGTAGAATCCAAGCTTTAAAGTCACATCATAAACACACACACACACACACACACACACACACACACACAAATAATAATATAAATAAATAAATAAAAATAAATAAAGTCACATCATGACTTTAAAACAACCTTCTTGGGGCCCTTGGGTGGCTCAATCGGTCAAGCATCTGCCTTCAGGTCAGGTCATGATCTCAGGATCCTGGGATCGAGTCCTGCCTCGAGCTCGCTGCTCGGCGGGGAGTCAGATTCTCCCTCTCCCTCTGCCCCTCATCCAGCTAGCGCTCTCAAATAAACAAAACCTTTATAAATAAATAAATAAAATAAAACAACTGTACCTTCTTCAGGTACAATATGCATGCCATGAAATGTGCCCAACTTCAGAACTGATTTTCAGGAAATGTATCGAGCTGGGCAACCATGACCACTACCTAGTTGGGAACATTTGCATTAAACCCGAGAGATCCCCTCATGCCAAATTGCAGTAGACCCCTATTCCCATTACAGCATAATTTTAAATTTCCTAATAAGCACAGTTAAAAAGTAAGAAGGTGAGAGGCACCTGGCTGGCTTGGTCGGAAGGGCATGCAACCCTTCATCTCCGGGTCGTGAGTTTGAGCCCCACCTTAGAGAAGGGCAGAGATTACTTAAATAGATAAATAAACTTTAAAAAAAAAAGTAAAAAGGTGAATAGGTGACATTAAAAAAAATGCTTTCTTATACCCAATAGACCCAAAATACCACTTTGACATGCCAGGCATATAAAAATGACTAATGAATGACTATGAATGAATTATGAATGAATGAACTGCATTCTCGTTCCCCACACTGTGGTACTCCTTGAAACCCGGTACGCATTTTAACGCTCACAGCCCATCATGATTTGGCCAGGCCAAGTCTCAAGGGCCCCAATAACCACCTGTGACCAGGGGCTGCTGATACTGGAAAGCACAGAGCCTTGGTTCTCAAAGTAGGGTTCCTGGACCAGCGGCAGCGCTATCACCCAGGAACTCGTTAGAAATGACTGGGTCCCAGCCCGGATGTGAATGAGAAACTCCAGAGGGGCCAGGTGGGCACCCAGTCAGCCGTCCTTGCTTCCACAAGCTCTCCTGGCGATACTGGTATCCACTGGGGCAAGCCCTGGACAGGAAAACGAAGTTGATAAAGGGCTAGAGAGGGTGGTGGGCATCACTCATTTTTTTACTTTCTTTTAATTGTGTTGAGATACGGAAAACATAAAGTCTACCTTTTCACCACGTTGGATGGTACAGTTCTGTGGCGTTAAGCACCGTCACAATGCTGTGCCACCACCCCTACTCTCTCCTTCCAGAACTTTCTCATCCTCCGGGGTATGTAGGGATTGAGCAGCGCACTCATTCTGTGTCACGGTGGTCAGGGAAGATCTCACTGAGGAGATAAGAGAGGGAATCGGGAGCAGACCAAATGCTTGTGTCTGAGCAACTCCCTGTTGGTGGCCAATTAGACGGGGACTATCTATGGCTGTCACCAGCCAGGGCTACAGCAGAAAGCACCCTTGTCTGTATCTCCTTGCATGCACACACACAAACACACACACACAAGCCTGAGCATGTGGGATCGTTCCTCCAAGGGGTCCCTGCCCCTGTCGCCCAAGATGCTGCACCACTCAAGAAATGCTCCTGCGGAGCTGAACTTGGTTCTATTTTTCTTGCAACCCAAGTCATGCTTGGAGATGGAGGCAGAAGCAACAGAGTCAATCGATCAAGGATCCAAAAGGACAAAACCAACTCCCCGCTTCTCACCATTAGCCCCCCAATCAGGGAGAGCCCTACTCTGCAGTGTGCCCTCTAGGTCCCACCCCACCCCACCCCAGGCAGCCCCACCCCTGGGCAAGGGCACCCAAGGTTCGGCTGCACGTCTGACTCCTCCTGTCCTGTCTAGGGCCTTCCTCCGGATGCTCTTCCCTGAGAAGCTGGATGTAGACAAGAAGGGCCGCCCCAGCACCGCTGGCTCCAAGATCAAAGTAGGCCCGGGGCCGGGGAGGAGCACTGGGCATGGGCAGGGCTGTGTGTGTCTCTCCTCGTCCCTCCATCCATCTCTCGCACGTCCTGGGGCCTCCGCCCCCTTCTCTGGCACCCTCTGTGCTGCACAGGGGTCTTCTCTAAGCTCTGGGACTTGGCGGGTTGGACCAGTTTCCTTGAACTCCCCCTAACTCTCTAAACCCAAAAATGAACCATCATCTTAATAATTTTTTGGTCTTTTGGTTGCCACCATTTAAATTGTGGTAAAATATACATAAAACGTACCATCTTAACCACTGTTGAGCGCACAGCTCTGGGATAGGAAGCACATTCCCATCGTGCACCCACCCCCACCATCCATCTCCAGAACCTTCCATCTCCCCACAGAGAGACCCTGTCCCCCACCCCCTGCCCCACCCCTGGCTCCCACCATCTCCTCTCTGTCTCTGTGGACAGGCCTCCTCTGGGGACCCCCTGGGAGTGGAATCACAAAGGATGTGTCTTTTTGTGACTGGCTTACCTCACTCCACATTATGTCCTCAAAGTTTGTCCAGGCGGTGGCAGGTGTCAGGATGTCCTTCCTTCTTAAGGCTGAATAATCTTCCAGTGTGTGGACGGACCACATTTTTCTATCCATTCCTCCGTGGGTGGACACCTGGGTTGTTTTCATCTCTTACCTATAGTGAATAGCGCTGCTATCAGCTGGGTGTCCCATCCTAAGAATGTTTTGATAACCAGGCATTGAGCACTGGTCAGTGCTGGCGGCAAACTCTTCCACCTGGGGGATGGGGAGACCAAGGCTCAGAGAAGCACAGTCACTGCCCCAGATTACACAGCAGAGCCACAGTCCACATCAAGGTCTCTCATGCCACTGTCTCCAGTATCCCCTCCACCTGGAACAATTTCCTTTCTAGTCTCTTCCAAGAGGCTAAAATGTACCATCCAAGACATACATACACACATATGATTCTTTACTTCCAAAGTAGTGGTCCCCTGAAGACAGGCAGGAATGTCCTGTGCAACAGGTACTTCTGCGTGCTCAGGTACTCCATCAGCAAACGTTTGCTGAGCACTTACTATGCGTCCGATTAAGTGGTGAGTGCCGCAGATGTGAGAGCTCCTAGTCTGAGGTTCCAGGATCAGAGTGACATACAATACCAAGTCCCCGTGCTGTGTGCTAATGGAAGTATGCAGAGACCAAGGACACCTGACCCCATGGCTCACCAGGAGCCAGCCCCCCACCCCACTCAACGGGTCTCTGTCTCTTGGGCCTGTATCCAGGGTGGGAGGAGAGAGGGTCCAAGGGTCTCCTCATGTGCACCACCCGCTGCCTTCTCCTCCACCTCAGAAACAAGCCAATGACCTGGTGGCCACGCTGAAGAGATGTACACCCCACTATATCCGCTGCATCAAACCCAATGAGACCAAGAAGCCCCGTGACTGGGAAGAGAGCAGGTAACTCCCCCCCGGACCAATCCACACAGCCTCTCCCCTAGACTGACCCGTCTCCCAGAACCCACCCGGAGTCATGTGTGACCCATCCCAAGACTGATGGAGGCTGACCCCCAGGACCAGCGCAGAACTCCCAGGGTCCTAGCGCTGACCAAGACCCTCCGGACTGACCGGGTGCAGGTTGGCCTGAGTGCAGGGATGACCTGAGGGCGGGATGACCTGAGTGCAGGGATGAGCTGAGGGCAGAATGACCTGAGGGTGGGATGACCTGAGTACAGGATGACCCAAGGGCAGGGATGATGTGAGTGCAGGATTACCCGAGGGCAGGGATGATCTGAATACAGGGATGACCTAAGTGCAGGGATGAGCGGAGTGCAGGGATGAGCTGAGTACGGGATGACCTGAGGGCGAGATGACCTGAGGGTGGGATGACCAGAGTGCAAATGTGACCCAAGTGCAGGGATGACCCGAGTGCGGGATGACCCAAGTGCAGGGATGACCCAAGTGCAGGATGACCCGAGTGCAGGGATGACCCGAGTTCAGGGGTGACCCGAGTGCAAATATGACCCAAGTGCAGGGATGACCCGAGTGCGGGATGACCCAAGTGCAGGGATGACCCAAGTGCAGGACAATGCAGGAACGAGCACAGTGCCCTCAGCCCCAGACCTGAGGACACATCCCCTAGAATTAACCCTGGAACTGACCACAGAACTAACAGAGCCCTCCCCACACACACAGAACTGACTGCCAGGCTGACCCCTGGCACCGGCACTAAAGTCACCCCCCAAACTGCCCCCAGCATGAATCCAGACCCAGCGAGCCTCCCATCTGCCCTTTCAGCCCTGCCCAGCAGCACCCACCCACTCCCAGGACTAGGGAATACCCCCCCCAGGGGACTCACTGCCTTTCACCCTTAGGGTCAAGCACCAGGTAGAGTATCTGGGCCTCAAGGAAAACATCAGGGTGCGCCGTGCTGGCTTCGCCTACCGCCGCCAGTTCTCCAAGTTCCTGCAGAGGTGAGGCACCCCCACCCGGGCCCTGGGCCCTCACTGGCAGGGACCTGTCCCCCCAACCCTCCCATGTCCTCTGCCTCCAGGTACGCCATCCTGACCCCTGAGACGTGGCCACAGTGGCGAGGGGACGAGCGCCAAGGGGTCCAGCACCTGCTTCGGGCAGTCAACATGGAGCCAGACCAGTACCAGATGGGGAGCACCAAGGTCTTCGTCAAGAACCCCGAGTCCGTAAGTGTGAGAGAGGGGCAGACACCCGCCTCGCCGCCAGGGCTCCGGTCCTGCTCGTCGGAGCCACTTTAGGCCTCAGGCATGTTTCCTTCCCACCCCGCGAGTCTCAGTTTCTCCATCTGGAAAGTGGGGAGAGTAGTGGGCACCCTGCCGGACTGGGGTCAGGATCAGACAAAACGGGAAGCACCCTGTCCAGTGGGTGGACGTGGCAAGTGCTCAGAAGAACCCCAATCCACTGGGCAGCCCATGGTGGCCAGCAGGCAGGTGGAGACACACATGGCCACCTGCGGGGACAAGCCACCTGCGAGGGATAAGAACCCACAGCTTATCCAGAACGGCTTTTGTCCCTCGTTTCCTTCTTCCCATCCTTCTCTTTCCTCCTGCTTCCTTTTTCACCACCTTCTTTCCATACTTTCTCCTCCTTTCTCTTACCTCCTACTGTTCCTTCATTCCTGAACACGTTAGGTCCCCAGGCCTGAGACTCAGGTCCGTCCAAGTGACAGTTTGCTTATCCCCAAACCTGCCCCAGGCCCTCATCCATCAAAGACAAGCCTCCTTCTGCATCCTCCAAGGCACAAGTAACCCCTCTGGCACGTTACGGTCAGCTCTCAGCCTTCTACCAAAGGCTGGGGGCACCACCACCCACTCTATGCTGTCTCTGCCTCCAGGTGGAAAAAAAGTCTAAGTAACAAGGACAAGTCTGTTCTGGGGACGCAACCCACAGCTCGGTGACCAGAGTTAACAATGCTCGGAACCTGCTGAGAGTAGATCGTCCCTGTTCTCCCCCCGACACACACACACAAGAAATGGTAGCTACGTTCAGGGTGGGGTGCTAGCTAGCCCATGGGGGTCATCATCCTGCAATACGCACATGGATCAAACCAACTCATGCCACACCTTAAATTTGCACAAGGTCATACCTCAATTATATCTCAATAAACCTGGGTTTGTTGAGAAAAGCAACAGTCACAAGGACAGCAAAGAGCAGGGCCAAGGGAGACGCCGGGCTGGCTGTCGGCAGAACATGCAACTCTTTTTTTTTTTTTTAATTTTGTAATTTAAATTCAATTTGCCAACGTATAGTGTAACACCCAGTGCTCAGTCCGTAAGTAGGGCGTGCAACTCTTGACCTCGGGGTTGGAAGCTTGAGCCCCACGTTGGGTCTAGGAGAGATTACTTAAACGTTAAATCTTTCCAAAATAAATAAATAAAAAGGCAGGGAAGGGCCTGCCTGGCCACCTGCTGCCACGCGAGGATTGGGCAGTAAATGGGGAGCGGGCCCGTAGGCATGAGCTGGGCTGGTTCACCACACTCCCGGGCCAATCTTCCGCTCCCAGCCTGGGCCAAGCTGGAGCACCGAGGAAAGGTCTGCTGCCTGCCCGGGGCCCGGTTAGGTGCCTTGTCACCTGCGTGATGATGGCACCTGCCCTACTGGCGCCTCAGGGACTCGAGGACAACTAGGAGCTTTTCAAGATGGTTCTCTTGATGTTACTATAACCTACCAGGAACTGACTTCTCACCAAACCAAACACATGACACAGTGGGGTGGAGACTCTGGAGATGTCACAGGTACAAAAACAGTCTGTCAAGGCAGGGGGCGGGGGGAAGGGGGGCTCCAGGCTGGCTCAGTCAGTTAAGCATCCAACTCTTGATTTTGACTCAGGTTATGATCTCAGGGTCATGTGATTGAGCCCTGCATGGGGGGCTCCATACTCAGTGGGGAGTCTGCTTGGGACTCTCTCTCCCTCTCCCTCTGCACCCTCCTCCCCAGATCATGTGGGCACTCGCTCACTCTCACTCTAAAAAAGAAAAGAAAAGAAAAGAAACCCAAAAAACCCCAGTCTGGAATTGCATTCAAAGCAGATAGCTCGGGGATCCCTGGGTGGCTCAGTGGTTTAGTGCCTGCCTTTGGACCAGGGCGCGATCCTGGAGTCCTGGGATCAAGTCCCACGTCGGGCTCCCTGCATGGAGCCTGCTTCTCCCTCCTCCTGTGTCTCTGCCTCTCTCTCTCTCTCTCTCTCTCTATCATAAATAAATAAATAAATAAATAAATAAATAAATAAATAAATAAATATAAAAAAAAGAACAACAAAGCAGATTAGCATCACAAACCAAAACTGCCTATCACTAAAACTGCACCTGGAACGATTTGGTTTGTAACAGTTGAGAAAGAAAGGAGGGAGGCAGGGTTAGAAAAAGAGGATGGGAGGGACAGAGAATCCACCTTGCCAAATCCAACTCCGAAAGAAACATGTAAAAATTAAAAAAAAAAGAAAGAAACATGTAAAAATTGACCCTGAAGGGGCACCTGAGTGGCACAGTCCATTGAGCATCCGAATCTTGGTTTTTGGCTCAGGCCGTGCTCTCGGGGTTGTGAGATCCAGTCCCACAGTTGTGCTCCGTGCTCAGCACAGGGTCTGCTGAAGACTCTTTCTTCCTCTCCCCTCTGCCTTTCCTTGCCCCCGCTCTCTCCCTCTCTCCAATAAATAAATCGCTTTACAATTTTTTTTAAAGTAAAAAAAAAAATTTTTTAAAGTGACACTGAAAAAAAAAAAAACCAAATAGACAAAGCTAGCACTGGCTAAGACTATATAAGGTAAAATCAAATTCTGACAAAGAAATGCAGTCTGCAAAAAAAATAAAAAAATTAAAAAAAAGAAATGCAGTCTGCACATTTTGAGGTGGAGAAGATAAACTGGCTGAAAATAATGAAATTCACAAAGAGAAAAATTTGGTGGAAAAGAATTTGTAAGAAAAAAAAAGACTGAAAATTTTCACAGGACAAAACTGATCTTGATGATAATCATTTTAAATTTTTTACCTTTTTTTTTAAGATTTCATTCATTTACTTGAGAGAGAGAGAGCATGAGCAGGGGGGAGATCGAGAGAGAAGCAGGCTCCATGCCGAGCAGGGAGCCTGAAACGGGGCTCGATCCCAGGACCCCGGGATCATGACCCAAGCTGAAGGCAGGTGCTCAACCAACTGAGCCACCTGGGCGCCTGAGAATCATTTTAGTAAAATGAAAACAGAAGAAACAAACAAACATGGGAACGGTTTTATGACTGTTTACAACTGTGCTATATCAAAGATCCAAGAATTAAAAAAAAAAAAAGATCCAAATGGAGTTGGCGACTTTCTCAACCAAAAATGCACTTAACATTGGGATGATTCGGACTTGGATTCTTTTTCTTGTAAACATGGACTCAAAATATCCTTGATGTTTTACACACCTGCTGGCTGTCACTGCCCGTCATGCTTGGTGTGTTCACTTCCTGTGGCTGCTGTTAACAGAATACCACGACTTGAGCCAACAAATTCATTTTCTCATGTTTCTAAAGGCTAAAAATCCAAAATCAAGGTGCTAGCAGGGCCGTGCTCCCTCTAAAGGCTCCAGGGAAGATCCTTCCTTGACTCTCCCTAACTTCTGGTGGCTGCCAGGCATCCATGCCATTCCTGATCGCTCCAACCTCCGCCTCTGTCATCCCATGGCCTTCTTGTGTTTGGCTCCAAATGTCCCTCTTCCTAGAAGGACACCAGTCATATTGGATTGAGGGCCCACCCTACTCTAGCATGACCTCAAAGACCCTCTTTCCAGGAAAGGTCACAGTCACAGGTTCTGGGTGGACATTGCGGGGGAGCGCTATTCAAACCAGTACAGTAGGATAAGCTCAGATTTGGGGCCTATCTCACCCACTCAGGCACACACAGCCCTGGCCTCTGCACATGAAGGAGATGAATTTTATTTTATTTTTAAAAAGATTTTACTTGTTTGAGAGAGAGAGAGCATGAGAGGGTAGAGGGGTCAAAGGAGAGGGAGAAGTAGACTCCCCACCGAGCAGGGGAACCCAATGTGGGGCTCGATCCCAAGACCCGGGGATCATGACCTGAGCCAAAGGCAGATGCTTATCTGACTGAGCCACCCAGGTCCCTTGAAGGAGATGAATTCTATTTTTTTTTTAAAGATTTTGTTTAAGAGAGAGAGGGTGCCACCTAGGCACCCCCAAGGAGACAGATTTTAAACTCTGTAGACAGGAAGATTACTATCCCAAATTGAAAACGAATCCCCTTCCCTTAGCAGAAATAACGAGGTTGCAGGACACTTGTCCCATCTGCCCTAAACAGCTAAGGGAAGAGAGGACTCCTGGTTGACTGGCTCGCCCCCAGTCCTGCAAGTGCTCTATTCATACCTGACATCCTCTCAGCAAACTCCAGAATGCACTCACGTGCCCTCCAGACACCCCATACAGGGAGGTGTTACTTGGATATGCTTTGCACACAGACCCACTGACCCCATAGGATATTGGCCTGAGAAACAGAGGAATATGGAAACTCCACTCTATTCCCTACAGGTCGTGAAACTGTAGTCTTGGTGGGGGGTTTTCCTTCCTGGTGAGAAGATCCCCACCTTTCGTGAACACATAAATATCTACAGCTTTAAAAGTTCCCCAAGGGGATCCCTGGGTGGCTCACCGGTTTAGCGCCTGCCTTCAGCCCAGGGCCTGATCCTGGAGACCTGGGATCGAGTCCCACATCGGGCTTCCTGCATGAGGCCTGCTTCTCCCTCTGCCTGTGTCTCTGCCTCTCTCTCTGTATCTATCTCTCATGAATAAATAAGTAAAGTTTTAAAAAAATAAAAATAAAATAAAGTTCTCCAAGATATATAGATATATATTTTCTTTAAGATTTATCTATTTTAGAGAGAGGGCATGAGCAGGGGGAGGGGCAGAAGGAAAGGCGGGGAGAGAGACAGAGAGACAGAGAGACTCCCCACTGAGCAGGGAGCCCCAGGAGGGGCTCGAACTCACACCCCTGAGATCATGACCGGAGCCGAAATCAAAAGCTGGACGCTCCACCAACTGAGCCACCCAGGCACCCCTCCAGGGTATATTTTTCCAAGTGCACCTGAACCAAGGATCTACAGAACTACTTCAGTCCTTGCTGGGAACACTGGGGTTTCTGGAAATCATCAACCACCTTGGTCAGCAAAGCAGGCAGCCGGGCTTTTAGCAGTGATGTGACATTTGCATACTTGACAAATCCCTCTGGGTGAAGTGCTACTTCTTTTTCTTTTTTTTTTTTTAAGGTGGAGGTTTTTGTTTTTTTTTTTTTAATTTTTATTTATTTATGATAGTCACAGAGAGAGAGAGAGAGGCAGAGACACAGGCAGAGGGAGAAGCAGGCTCCATGCACCGGGAGCCCGATGTGGGATTCGATCCCGGGTCTCCAGGATCGCGCCCTGGGCCAAAGGCAGGCGCCGAACGCTGCGCCACCCAGGGATCCCGCTACTTATTTTTCTTAATACAGCCTCATTTTACTTTCAGTATTTCCCATTTTGGTATTTCCCCGATCGACGCTGTCCCTTCTATCGCTAAATCTGAGTACAACATTCCCCAGCCATCTATCTTATTCCAATAGGTTGTTCTATTCTTTGCTCAGCACCCCGTTGTTCTTATTACTGTAGATTTAGAACTTTTCATATCCAGTGGCCTCCCCTCCTTGATACGTTCACTGCTATTATTCTAAGTGAAGAGACATCCTTCGTGGCATTTCTACTCTGACTTGCTCCAATACAGTTTATTCCCCCAAGTGCCCTCTGGACTGAGACTCTTGAAACTCAAAAGTCTGCCCTCTGCAGGCGCTTCTTTTCCAAGGCTGGCACGTATGGCTGTGCAGGTTGTACACTCTACAACCTGCACAGTCTCCAGGTACATCACAATCCTATGCAGCAGATTGTCATATTTATGGTATTCTGGTGGTGCTCTAAGATGCACATTGGTCCGCCTCTTTTAACATCTCTGAAATTGGGGTGTACCTCCCATGGGTGACATATGAGTGCATAACTTGACAGTGTGAGAAACTGTGATGTTATACCATTTCTGGCAAGGCTACAGAGTCCGTAAGAGGCAGAGCTGGGATTCGAACCCTGCAACACCAGCCTAGAGTTTAATTTAATGCAGGGGCTTATGCCCCATAGTGGGAGGGAACCCTGGGTTCAGTCATTTGGAGGAAGGAAAAGATCTTTTTGACCATAGAGTATGAGCACGTGTGCAGGTGCCCGCAAGCAAGAGCAAGTGGACGGGGTGGGATCGAGGAAAGACCCACTGCCCTTCCCTCTGTCCCAGCTCTTCCTTCTGGAGGAGATGCGAGAGCGCAAGTTCGATGGCTTTGCCCGCACCATCCAGAAGGCCTGGAGGCGCCACGTGGCGGTCCGGAAGTATGAGGAGATGCGGGAGGAAGGTGAGAGGCTGCAGAGGGATGCTCAGGGTGGGGACAGATGGACTTGGAGGAGTCGGGCCACAACCGCTGCCTCCCTGCCCCTTGTCCCCACAGCTTCCAACATCCTGCTGAACAAGAAGGAGCGGAGACGCAACAGCATCAATCGGAACTTCGTCGGGGACTACCTGGGGCTGGAGGAGCGACCAGAGCTGCGTCAGTTCCTGGGCAAGAGGGAACGTGTGGACTTCGCTGACTCGGTCACCAAGTACGACCGCCGCTTCAAGGTGAGGCACTAGTAGGTGGGCGCGTCTGGGACTCTGGCCCCAGCCTGGCACCCCCACCACAGGTACACCCTCACACTGGCCCAGATACACCTGTCCACAGGTATATATTCACCTAGCCTGATACACCTGCCCCATCACAAGTATGCCCTCACCTGGCCCAGACACATCTGTCCACAGATAAGCATTCAATTAGTGTAGACACATCTAGCTATTAAATATGTCTTCATAAATAAATAAATAGATAGATAAATAAATAAATAAATAAATAAATACAATACAATACAATAAAATAAAATAAAATAAAATAAAATAAAATAAAATAAAAATAAATATCTCTTCACGTAGCCCAGACCGACCTGTCCATCACATACATCTGCACCTGGCCAGACACAGCTCTCCACAATTACACACTTGCCTCACCCAGAAGCCCTGACCACAGGGCCACCCACACTTGTCCTGGACACACCTATTCATTAGATATGCCCTCAGCCAGTCTACGTAGATTTGTCAATTAGACATATCTTCACCTGGCCCAGATACACCTGCACACAGGTACACTCTCATCTGACCTGGGCACCCATGTCCAGCAGGCATACCTCCACTATCGTGTACCTGTTCACTGGCCCAGAAACCCCTCTCCAGCCAATATACCCTTACTTAACCTCCTATCCCTTATGTAATGTAAGTCCTCATATACCTTCACATGGAGGAAAACCCTCAGCCGACCTGTCCCTCACCTGCCAGCACCACTCCCCTGCCTGGGGGTGATGCCCTGGAGCCAGGTTGCCCAAGCTCTGGGCTCCAGCCACCAGCTCTGCTCCTGCATCCTCACAGCCCATCAAGAGGGACTTGATCCTGACGCCCAAGTGTGTGTATATGATCGGCCGGGAGAAGGTGAAGAAGGGACCAGAGAAGGGCCAGGTGCGTGAGATCCTGAAGAAGAAGCTGGAGATCCAGACCCTTCGGGGAGTTTCCCTCAGGTGAGGCCAGGCCCTGGCCTGCCCGCTTCTCACCCCGTCTGTCACTCTGACCATCTAACCTACCGCTATACCTGGAAGCCTCTCTTGGCTCTGTCACCTTCACCTGCCCCCACACTCCTGATCCTTATGAGCCAACAGCACCTGCCCCCTCACCCCACGCTTCTCTGTGACCGTCTTCCCCAGCTCCTTGCCACCTCTCCCCTTTGGCCCACCTGCGTCACCTCCCGCTTGCCTTCCCCCAACGCTCCCCGACGCATCTCACAGCTCAGTCCTGCCACCCTCACTACCACCCTCACCTGCCTGCCTGCCTGCCTTCCCACCCCTCCCCCAGCACGCGGCAGGACGACTTCTTCATCCTCCAAGAAGACGCCGCCGACAGCTTCCTGGAGAGCATCTTCAAGACCGAGTTCATCAGCCTCCTGAGCAAGCGCTTCGAGGAGGTGGCGCGGAGGGCCCTGCCCCTCACCTTCAGCGACACGTACGCCCCCCGCCACCGTCCTCGGGCTGCGCGGGGCACAGAGCCCCCCTCCCGCCCCGCGGCCCCGGCCCGCCTGGGGGTGGGCGTCCCCGCAGCTTCCTCCTCTCCCCACAGACTACAGTTCCGGGTGAAGAAGGAGGGCTGGGGCGGAGGCGGCACCCGCAGCGTCACTTTCTCCCGCGGCTCCGGCGACTTGGCGGTGCTCAAGGCGAGCGGCCGGGCGCTCACAGTCAGCGTGGGCGACGGGCTGCCCAAGAGCTCCAGTGAGTCTGCGCAGAAGGGGGGCGGAGCCAAAGAGGCGGGCCCTATGAGGGCGGGGCCAGTGCGGGGACCAATCAGGGCTGTGGGGGCGGAGCCATTGGGGCTGGCCGGGAGCCGGTGAGGGCCGTGGAGGGGTGGGCCTAGAGACACTGGAGGAGGAGGACGCGGCCACGGAGAGGGCAGGATCAGAGACGTAGCCAATGAGTGGGAGGGAAATGTGGAGGGGGTGTGGCCAGAGAAATAACCGCCCCCCGGAAGTGGGCGGGCCCAGAGAGACCCAATGAGGTGGGCCGTTCGGGGCGGGGCCAATTCCTGGGCAGAGACGGAGTTCCAGTAACTATGGGGCGGTGCCTATGCACAGCCAATGAGACCAGAGGGCGGGGTCTGGGGCGGAGCCAGAGTGACAGGGACTTGTGGGCGGGGCCGAGAGCCTGCTGTGGTCTGGTCCCCCACTCAAATTCCCATCTCTTTTCCCCTTTCAGAGCCTACAAGGAAGGGAATGGCCCAGGGAAAACCTCGAAGATCAGCCCAGGCCCCTGCCCGGGCAGCCCCTGGACCTCCCAGAGGTGAGGAGACGCGTCTTCCCGTGCCTCTTGTGTGTCCCATGACCAAAGCCATCTGTTGCCCGCTGCCAACAGATGGAGCTGACCACTCTGTTCTCTGCGCAGAACTCGCCACAGCTCCCCATCTTCCACAGAATACAGACGAAGCTCAGTTGGATATTCAAAGCCCTTCAGAAGCCAACCCTAGCCAACCACTGACTTCTTCTCTCCTCCCTTCTTATACTCTCCTGTCGCGCAAACTACATCTTATTTTGCCAATTTAACAAATTCGTCCTTGACTTCCAAGGCTTTGCTTGGGCTCCTTGCTCCTCTGGTCTCCCAAATATCCACTTAGCTTGAGCTCCTCTTCATCCTCCAAGAGCCACCCACAAAAGTCCTCCTACAGAAGAGGATGGAGGAAACTTTACCCCTGCAGAGCCCTCTGGGCCAATCCTTAGCATGCTGGTTTGAGCATACAACTGGCTGCCTCCTCCCTCAGACTGGGAACTTGGAGCTAAGTGCTCCCCAAATCCTCCTATCATCACTCTGATAAATGCTCCCACCCTTGCTCCTGCCACAGGCCTGAACCACAATGGGGTGCCCCCTTCTGGCAGAAGGGGGCCCCTGCCCCTGGAGATCACATCTGGAGGGGGCTCCCAGCAGCCTCTCCGAGGCCCTCCATCCGGGGCCCTGAGGGCCAGCAGACGGCCCCGGGCACGGCCCCCCTCAGAGCACAACACAGAATTCCTCAATGTGCCTGACCAGGGTGTGGCCGGGTAAGTGGGGAGAGAGGGCAGCCCAGGAGGTGGGAGGTGGGGGTGGGTGGACACGGGAGCATCTGGGCTGTGACAAGCGCTTCCTGTGCCCACAGCATGCAGAGGAAGCGCAGCGTGGGGCAGCGACCGGTGCCAGGCGTGGGCCGACCCAAGCCCCAGCCTCGGACGCACGGCCCGCGGTGCCGGGCGCTGTACCAGTATGTGGGCCAAGATGTGGACGAGCTGAGCTTCAATGTGAACGAGGTCATCGAGATCATCTTGGAAGGTACGCGGGCCAGGGCAGAGGTGGGAGGAGTCAGAGCCCTGACACAGCCAGGCAACCGCCCCCCCCCCCCACCATTCCTGCACACCCTTCGGAGGAGAACAGAAGCCACCAGTCCCCACCAGAGATACCCTCTCCCAGGCCAGTGGCTGCAAAGGCTAGGAGGCCTTGGGTCCAGAGGGTTCCTCCTCAGCCACTCTGGGGGCCTCACAGCAGCATGCCCAATCCCCCCCTCCCCGGCCTCATTTTTCTCTCCTGTCAAGCACGGGGTTAATACAAGAACCTACTTCAAAGAGACCCCTTGTGAGTAAAAACTGTGTCATGTCTGGCTGGCCCAGGCCATCTTCCTACCTCAGTCCCCTGGGCTGCCCTCCCCACCAGCAACACCCTCTGTGGGTAAACAGGGAGCCCCAAAGGAATCATTCGCTGGTCCATCGTGAGGAGGGAGGGCAGGCACCTGTAGAAAGAGAGGATGAGGGATGAGCACGAGAGAATGGTCTAGAACATGGCAGAGTGTGAGGCAGCAGCAGGAGAAACCATGCGTCCAGCCATCCCTCCCTCCCTTCCATCTGTCGACGATTCTCTTTTCGGAGTCTGCCTTCTGCCACGCCAGTGGCGATGAATAAAACAGGCGCGGAGCCAGCACGAAGGCTTTCTCCTGCCTGGGCTGGACGCCGCCTCACACTCCCTTCTCGCTCACAGATGCCTCGGGCTGGTGGAAAGGCCGGCTGCATGGCCAGGAGGGCCTCTTCCCAGGAAACTACGTGGAGAAGATCTGAGAGGGGGCCCGGGTTCACCTCCTGCCTGCCTGCCTGCCAGGTAGCCAGGCCCTGCCAGCGGGGGCCTCATTCTCCTTGGCCGCATTAGCCAGAAGGTCCAGTCCTGTGGCCTCCAGCCCAGGCCCTGGGTCTGGGGGTCACCACCGCAGCCACCCCAGGGCCCTGGCCTCCCCCATGTCACATGCGTTGCCTCCTGTGTCAAACAGGGCGAACAGCAGAATCTACCTCCCAAGCTGCCTCATGAGTATAATTGAGTTGTGTCTTGTCTGCAAAGTGCCAAGCACAGTTGGGGGCACCTTAACAAGTGAGACCTCCCTCCTTCTGTCATCACTGAGGCAGTAAACCTTCGCCAGGCGAAAGCCTGAATCGATTTACTGAGCGCTAAGCAGGGAACTACCTTCTCACAACGCTCTGAGGGAGGAGCAGCAAATACCCCAACACAGGTGAAAAACCGAGGGCTGAAGTTTTGTCACTTGCCCAAGATCCCACAGAGCCAAGCCTTGAACTCGTGTATACCCCCACCCCACCTGTCCCAAAGCTGGAGTTTGTCTCACCTGCTGGCTCACCCACTCTTGACCACTTGTGTCCCAGCCTTCCTTCCTGCAGAAAATAGTCTGGTGGGTCCTGTCAGCTTTGAATCTGCCATCCCCAGACCCATCTGGGACCTGGCTGGACCCTGAGGAAAGAGGCAGGTCCCACATGGGCCTTCACAATCCAGCCTGGGCCACCCCTGGCCCTTGTCCCCCACCCCACATCTGGGTCTTCTGGGCTCTCCCTCATCTGGGCTCAGGATCGGTTCTGATATTCAAGGGCCCTGGGTTTCTGTACCTGTTTCATGGGTTTAGGGGGTCAGTCTGACGACAGGTCTCCCCAGATGTTTCCAAGCCAGCGATGGAGTCTGAAGCTTTCATATATCCCTGAAAATGCAGTCAGAACTGCCAGGGGTTCTTGCCATGGTCTGAGCCTAAATATCCCGACTTTCCAAATGGATACCCACTCCGTGCTCAGACCCTCAAAGAGCAGCAGGTCTGGGAGAGAGTGGGAGCCAGACCACGGGTGGGCCAGAGAAGGACAAGGGGCTGGGGCAGGGGATGCAGAGAGAGAGAGTGGGCATTGCTGGAAGACCCAAGAAGGAAGGAAAGGGGTGGGGTCAGCAGATCTCGAGGGCAAACAGCACATACAGAGAGCTAGGCGTGACAGGAGGACTCCGGCAGGGCAGCCCCAGTGGTGCAGCGGTTTGGCGCCACCTGCAGCCCGGGGTGTGATCCTGGAGACCTGGGATCAAGTCCCATGTCGGGCTCCCTGCATGGAGCCTGCTTCTCCCTCTGCCTCTCTCTCTCTCTCTCTTTGTATGTCTATGAATAAATAAATAAAATCTTAAAAAAAAAAAAAAAGGAGAACTCCAGGCAGAGGACAGGAGGTATAAGAGAAAGACTGGCAGCAGAACCTTCTGCAGGATCTGAACCTTCTTCTGTACCTACCTTGGGAAGCAGAGCACGGCCAGGGAGTAAAAAAAAAAAAATCCCAAGGTTGCATATGGGTCTCAACAGCTCTTTTATTAGCCAATCATTGTACAAAAGCATCTAACCAGTCCCTTGGATGTTCCTGGCTTCCTCCATCTCTGATTTTCACCCCTTGGTTGCCCAACCACCACTGTGTGTGTGTGTGTGTGTGTGTGTATGTGTGTGTGTGTCTCCACAACACTTAGATGTTAGGACAGGCTGGGGAGGAAATGCAGGAACCACCAACCTCATCAGCTGGGCACTTCCCGGTGCTGAAGAGGAATCAGGGTTTCGACCTCCCTTCTCTGTCCCTGAACTCACCATGCAGGCTCCCTGCCCCCCTGACATTTTAGGGTACAGCCCTGGGGCCCCACTGCCGTGGCGGTCACCCCATTTACAGGAAGTAAGGCCTTCTGGGCCTCACATCTAGGTTACAGCATCTTCAGACTGCAAACCTCAGAATCACCTTGGCCCTGCCCACTCCACCCCCCCCCCACATCCTGTTGACTTAGAGAATTTCTTAAGCAAGGCCCCCCCTCTCCCTTCCTTGGGTCCTGTCCTTCTGAAGCCTCCCCCTACACTTCCCCAGATTGCACCAACCTCCAGTCCTCACACAAACACACCTCTACCCTGAGTCAAATGACCTGGGCTTTTTTTTACATTAATGAGTTTTCAACTGTGTTGATGATAATCCAAAAAACTCCACATTTTTTAATACTCTAACAGCACAAACTATGAAAAGCCATCTTTCCATCACTTGAAAATCTGTTCCCTTCCCCAGGTGTTTTTTTTTTTTCTTTTTAAAAGATTTTGGGGAGCCCAAGTGGCCCAGCGGTTTAGCGCCTGCCTTCAGCCCAGGGTGTGATCCTGGAGCCTCGGGATCGAGTCCTGCGTCAGGCAGGGCCTGCTTCCCCCTCTGCCTGTGTCTCTGCCTCTCTCTCCTGTGTATTCTCATGAATGAATAAATAAAATCTTTAAAAATAAAAAAATAAAAGGTTTTATTTATTTGACAGAGAGAGCACAAGCAGGGGGAGCAGCAGGCAGAGGGAGAGGGAGAAGCAGGCTCTCTGGTGAGCAGGCAGCCTGATGCTGGGCTCAATCCCAGGACTCTGGGATCATGATCTGAGCTGAAGGCAGATCCTTAACCCACTGAGCCACCCAGATGCCCCCTCTTCCAAATTTTTTAATGTTTCCTTCCAATGGGATTCTCTGCACATAAAGGCACATAAGTACATCTTACGCACACAGATGGAAATACACTGCACATAAAGTCCATATTTGCCCAGAACTCAACAGATACCTCTTGAATGTTAAATAATGTATTATAGAGACCTGAGATCAAAGATCCCCTTTACCATCCCCCAACTGCCCATCCTCCAAACAACAGCCAGGAATCAGATGGTGGATAAAAATACATCAATGGTGGGAATAGAAACCACACTCCTTTCCAGGGTTCACAAGGCCCTGTGTGACCTTCCCTGCATCAAGTTCTCTGATCCAACAGTGAGCTGCTCCCCTCACTGGTCCCTAAGATAAGCTTGTCCCTCTCTACCTCAGGACATTTGCACAGCTATCCACTTCCGAGTATCTGACCTTTGATCTGCTCACTCCTTCCTGACCATCCGGTTACAGCTCAAAAGTCAACTCACAGAGAGGCTTCTCTCCCTTCTCTGTGTTTGTTTGTTTGTTTGTTTTCCTTTGTGGCATTTAATATAACTAAGGCGGTTTTCTGCATTTGTTGATTCATTGTCTATTTTCCCATTTTAAAATGTGAGCAGGCCCCTGAGGTCAAGGATGTCTGTCCTGTTCATCTCTGGGTCCCCAACGCCTAGTACACAGGTGACTCGCTCCACGCAGGTCCACCCAGGGGTCTTCATCCTTAGGCTACACCTGTCCGGGGGAGACAGCTTGCTTCCTGCCCCTGGCTATCACAAGGAGCCCGTTCCAACGGGCTAAGAACTAAGTGGGCTTCAGAACTAAGTGCATTGACAATTTTGACGGTCACTGCGGATTTCCCTCCGAAGAGGCTGCCCAACCAACACGACCTCTTCAAAAAGAAGAGCGGCTGAGAGCTGGTGACCGGACGGGAGGGGACAAAGGTAACCATTTTGCAGACGAGAACAGGATTCTAGGCCAGGATCTCGGAGCACAGGGTCTTTCCAAGGCGCCCTTCGACAAGCCCGGCTCGCACAGACGCAGACGCAGCGCCGCCGGCACAGCTCCCCACGAGCGCCCAGATCTCAGGCCCCGCCCCCCGAGGGGCGCCGTGCGCAGGCCCCGCCCCCGATCTCGCGAGAGCCGGGAGGCGGAAAATGGCGTCGACGTGAGCGCGAGCCCGCGGCCGCCCAGGGAGTCGCCGCAGCCTCAGCGGGAGCCGCCGGAGCCGCAGGAAGAAGAGGCGGAGCCGGGTCGAGGATGGTGAGCGCGGCGCCGGGGGTGCGGGCGCGGCGAACCAGCGGGAACTGGCGGGGCGCGGCCCTGTGGCATGCGCAGCCTCCGGCCGACCCCGCCCCCACATCCGGGCACTCGCCCGTCGCTGGCTGTCACTTGGGGAACGCCCCACCCCCTGCTTCCCTGCGCGGCTGCGACTGGGCCACGCCCACCGGGCTGGGCTCCGCCCCTGGTCCTTCTGCATCCGGGGCCCTGGCACCTCCCGGTTCGACTGCGCCCCTCCCGGCGGGCGGGTGGATAGACTTCGGCCCTCGGGTAGTGCGCTTGATCCCTTCTGGCCCCTCCAGCATGTTCTAGCGGTGCCCTGTTCAGGGCCCCATCTTCGTAGCCTTCGCCTCGCCCTCACCCTGTAGGCCACGCCCCTGCTGTGTCGGGGGTGGGGGTGGGGGCGGGCATCCCCCCCCCCGTCCCAAGTTAGGGACGAGGGACTGCTTCTTCCATAGGAGTAATTCCAGACAGTCACCCCTTCTGCAACTGGGACCCCTCCCAGAGGATGGGAACACAGGAGGCTCAATCCACCCTTACCCCCGTCCTCCCCGATGGTGACTCCTTAGAATGGGGTCTGACCTGGTGATGTCTTGAGGGCATTCGCTGCTTCAGGAATGTTCAAAGGTCTGGTGGGGGGGGAGGTTCCCCTGGCTGGTCCAGACCGACCTGGGCCCAGAGGGGTTCTCTCTGCCTTTTCCTTTCATTAGGAGGAGGAACCCTCGGGGCCCAGCCCGGACATGCCGGCCGCTACAGAGCCCAGCTTCACTGAGACTGACAAGGAGGTGCTGTCTCCAGCTGTGGCCGCCGCAGCCACCTCGTCTTCCATGGGGGAGGAGACAGGCCCTGAACGGGCAGCCACACCCCCAGTGTGGGACCGCGGAGGGCCTGGGGGGACCCAGCAGGGTGGCCCCTCACCCCCAGACAGTGGTCAGCCTGGTCCTGGATCCAGCCTTGGCCCGACCAGCACAGTCTCTGGGACCAGCGAGGACCTGAGGCCTCCCAGACGTCGCCAACAACCAGGTGATCTGTGATGGAGCCTTCTGGAGGGTCACAGGCCTTGGAACAATAGAGAGGAGTACAAAGTATCTCCAAACTTGGGCCCCATCTAGAGGGAGTCACCATTTCCTGAGCGAGCACCCAAGTGTATGCCAGGCTGTGGCTACAGTGATGAGCTAGGCCATCCCAGCCTCTGCCTTCCGGGAGCTCAGTCTGGTGGGGGAAGCAGATGGTAAAGGTGCTGGTAAGAAACCAGTAGGGTAGTTCCAGCCTCATCTGTGCCTCTTCGGGGCATAACTCTGGAGAGCGTGGACGAGAGGACAGTGGGTGACACCTCCCCTTCTGTGCTTCCTGCAGGGAAGCAGATACCCTGCTCCAGCCCTGGCTGCTGCCTCAGTTTCCCCAGTGTTCGAGACCTGGCACAGCATCTGCGAACCCACTGCCCACCCACACAGTCCCTGGAAGGTAGGGCCAGAGTAGGCGGTAGGGATGCAGTTTGGGGTGGGAGGCAGGCAGCGCCTCCAGGCCAGCCTCGGCCACCCCTCTCCACTCCTCTGTCCTTTATCCCTGTCCTGCCAGGCAAGCTCTTCCGCTGTTCCGCCCTGAGCTGCACCGAGACCTTCCCCAGCATGCAGGAACTCGTGGCACACGGCAAGCTGCACTACAAACCCAATCGCTACTTCAAGTGAGACACCCCCTATGCCGACTTCCACCGGTTCAGGCAGCTCCTCCCACCCCTGGTTTGATTGCCACTACCTGGGGTCCAGGCCTTTCTCTCCCTTCCTAGTCAACAGGGAGGTGGGTTGAGTCTGGTAGTGGGCGAGCCCTCGGGCAAGCCCTGCCCTTACCTGCCCTGAAAGAGACCCTGGTTACAGGACCCCGGAGACCCGGGGGAGGAGCGAGGAGCTTGGAAAGGGCGGGGCATACGTGGTGTGTTTGCACCCAGTCTCTCCTGACGCCGCTAGAAGAAAAGTGGCCACCTAAGTCAAAATTGAAACTTCCTTCCTCGTTTTCCCAGGGCAAGGACCCAGAGGGGTCCGGAAAGGTCGCAGCCACACTGGGGGGCGCTTAGAGCAAGCTTCTCCCCCTGCAAGTGGGGGATCTGTGATTTGGGCCTTAGGCTCCCTTACCTACGCCCGTCGCGCGGCAGCTCCCCAGGTAGCGTCGGATAGGCCCTACCCTCGTCCCCCAGGAGACCCAGCCCAGCCCTGTGCCTGCCCCCAGGTGTGAGAACTGCCTCCTGCGCTTCCGCACGCACCGCTCGCTCTTCAAGCATCTGCATGTTTGCGCCGAGCATGCGCAGAGCCCAGCCCCGCCGCCACCCCCCGCCCTCGACAAGGAGCCGCCGGCGCCCGAGCGTCCCCCGGAGTCCGACACCGCGTCGGCGCCGGGCCTGCCGTTCCCGCTGCTCGAGCCGTTCACGACCCCCGCCCCTGCCCCCACCGGGCCCTTCCTGCCCTACTTGAACCCCGCGCCCTTTGGCCTGAGTCCCCCACGCCTGCGCCCCTTCCTGGCCGCGGCGCCCGGGCCGCCCGCCTCCAGCGCCGCAGTCTGGAAGAAGAGCCAAGGTGAGTTGGGAACTGGGCCGCCTGAAGGGCGAGCCGGGCGCCCCCGGGACTCCTGACCTTGACCCGTCCGTTTTTCTCAGGTGCCGGCGGCAGCCCGCGAAGACCCCAGGGCGGCTCCGACACGCCCTCAGGTGCGTGCAGGTGACCACCGGGGGAGGGGAGGAGGGGATTGCTGTCTGCGCCCTGCGGGGCCCAGGGGACGCCGGGAGCAGTGTTGCCCGCCCCTTCCCAGGGGGCTAGAACTGCCACCCCCGAAATACAAGAGCTTTGCCTTAAAAATACTGGCCCCGGAGCCTTCATCTGCGCCGGCGTTTCCGTGTAAAACCCGCGCCCGGTCCACCAGTCCTTCCCCTGCGGTGGTTCCAGGGATAGGAGTGGGGGATTCGGAGAAGCCCAGTTTAGTGCCCCCGATTACAGGAGGGAGCACGCCCGGGAGCACTTGGACCAGCCAGGCCAGACCAGCCAGGTGCCCGGGAGCCGACGGGGAGGCGGGGAGAGGTCCGACCCGCACTCCCCCGCGTCCGCCAGCCTTGGGGTGGACGGGTCCTCGGGCCGGGACTGACGGGGTCCCGCCTGCCCGCAGGGCACGCGGCCCCGAGCCGCATCGTGTGGGAGCACACGCGCGGCCGCTACTCGTGCATGCAGTGCGCCTTCTCCACGGCCTCGCGGCCCGCCATGACACTGCACCTGGAGGACCACCGCGCCGTCGCCCCCGCGGCCCCGGGGCCCGGGCAGCCGCGCCCCGACGCGCCCGCGGGTAAGGCGGAGGAGCGCGCGGGTGGGGAGGGCGGGGCCCCGGAGGCGAGGGGCGGGGCCGAGGCTCAGGCGCCCCCTCCTCTGCCCCACCCAGACCCGGCCCCGCTCGCACCCAAGGTGTCTCCGCTGCTGTCAGAGGGGGACTGTCCCGTGTTCTCGCCGTTCTGAACCCCGCCGCGCGGGGGGGGGCGGGGCGCGGCTGGACTGTAGGGTGTGGGGAGTTTTGTGATTTTAACGGAGCTTAAGATGGAGAGGGTGGGGGGACGATAATAAAGGAGGCGCGGTGAGCCAGCCTGTGCTGTGTCTGGGTCCCTTGCCCCTCTGATGCACAGCAGGCCAGTCCAGCAGTCCTGGGGTGCTCGTGTCTGGGGAGGGGACAGGCCTCCCCTCAGACTCACTCCTGCCGTCACCCTAACGCTGGGCCCCCGGTCTCCTCAGTTTTACTCCATCCAGCTGTAGTTGGGACTGCCAGCTCCCGTGTCTTGCCCCACCATTTCCAGAAACCAGGTGGGAGAGAACATCACTTTTATTTGAGAAGTCTCAAGGGTCAGTCAGTAGGACCGGCTGGGAGGCTGGTCCTGCTGGAGGCCACACCCACCTCCCCCATCCTGAGGCCAGTGTGGACTCCCAGGTGACAGGGTTGAGGTAGTGGTGCCTGGGCCTCTGGCTGCAGGCTTTGTCAAGGGCAGGCTTTGTCACTGCCCTCCAGACCCTCAGGAGGAGAGCTGGTCAAAGCCTGCCCCAGGGAGCCTGAGCTCCCTTCCTCCTCCCCCTCCCCTGTCTCAGTCTTCCAGCCATCTCCTCTGCCATCTCCTCTTCCCTTCCTTTTTGAGAAATCCGTCCTGGATCAGGGGTTAGAACCTGGGGCCACACTGCTGTCCCAATGCTGTTGTCACCCAAACCCAATGGGCCAAGCCTACCAAATTGGAAGTCTTAGGAGCCTTGTTGGCAGCCGCTCTTCAGAGGCTCCTCCTGCGTCTTGCTCCCTTCCACCCCCCCTGGTCCCCCAGCCTAGGTCCCTGACCCTCTTCCCCCTCCTCAGGCACCTGAAGCAAGCCTCCTGCCCTCTTCCCCAGTCTGAACACCACTGAAAACATGTGTCTCTTCTCCTTGCCTTCAGTGGCTCCCCACGGCTCTGGATGAAGACCTTGTTCTAATAGCCCACAAGGCTCCTTCGTGAACCTCCCCCACGCCCCCATCCTCAGCCTCCTTGAGGTTGAAAAGCTCCAAGCTCCAGAGGCCGTTCTGCTTCTTCCGAAGGGGAGGTTGATCTGAGTGCCCTTAGGATGGGCGCACCTGCATCTGGGGGCCTGACTGCCTGCACAGCCGCCAGAGCTCTCACAAGGGGCTTCAGGGCTGCCCTGTCACTGGTGGGGTTGTAGCCGAGACTCCGCTGGCTCAGGCCAGGGGTCTGCTCTGCCACCAACTCTGGGCCCACTGAGGTAGTATCACTCAGCACCTGCTGTGGGGCTAGCTGGGATATCAGGGGGCTTTGGGGCTCCAGGCCCCTGAGCTGCCCTCTTCCGAGCCAGAAGCCGTGGAACCAGGACTTTGTGACCCTGGAGAAGGCTCAACCTCCCTGCATCTCACTTTGCTAGTCCTTAAATGGGTGTCACTATGCTTAACCTCTGGAGTCCTTGTGAAGGTTCAAAGAGGGCCTGAGGAGAGAGGGTGGGGGCTTGGGAAATGTTTGTGAGTGATTCACGTCACTCTAGCCACCAAGCCCATCCCCCCAGCACAGAACACAGGAAGGAGGGATCCCTGGGTGGCGCAGCGGTTTGGCGCCTGCCTTTGGCCCAGGGCACGATCCTGGAGACCTGGGATCGAATCCCACGTCGGGCTCCCGGTGCATGGAGCCTGCTTCTTCCTCTGCCTGTGTCTCTGCCTCTCTCTCTCTCTCTCTCTGTGACTATCATAAATAAATAAAAAAATTTAAAAAAAATTAAAAAAAGCTTTAAAAAAAAAAAAAAAAAACACAGGAAGGAGGTGGGGTGGGATCAAGGGGCCTATTTTACAGCCAGAGAAGGTGAGGCTAGGAGGGTAAGATGAATGAGCCGGTCTGGCTGCAGTTCAGTCCCTGATTCCGTACCACCCTAGAAGCTGGGGATGGTTCCCAGCTATAAGAAAACCCAGGCACTGAGGCCCAAAGGGCACCCTCCCCTTTTCCCACATCTCCAGTGCTGTCTATCCCCCAGCACTGCAACCTGTCTCTGAGGTACCAGAGTCCCTTTCCCCATCAGGCCCCTCATTCAGCCACCCTCAGATCTAGGCAGTGCCACTTCCCAGTCTCTCCGGAGCTTCCCAGAGAGTCCCAGAGCCATCCTGGTCCAGGTACCCCACCCTACTCTACCCATGTAAATGCAACAGCCCCTCCCCCCAGCAACCTGAAACTGCCCAGAGGCCCAGGGACCTAGATCATGACCTGGCCTGGGAACCCTGCTCACTCCAAAAGCAACTGCCTACTGTCGCCCCCTACCACCCATGTCCAGCTTTTATAGCTCCACTGGGAAGTTTGCTCCCAGTGTCCCTCCCGGGCTTCCGCAGCCCCTGCCCACCCTCAGGTCAAACTGGTCCCGTGGAGGGCTCCCCTCCCCCAACTATAAGATGCCTGACAGCTGAGTCTTAGGGCCCTGGCTCCGCCCAGCAGAGGGCGCCCGGGAGTGTCAGTCTTGAAGGGAGATGGAAGGACAGGCCAGCCTATCGGTGCCGTCGTCCACTTGGCGGGGCTGCCCCAGCGGGAGGCAGGCTGATGAGAGACCGGGTTTATGATGACCAGGCTGACCCTCTCCAGGTGGCTTACAGTCAGCTGAGTCCGGCCAGGTGCCTGCCCACCATCCTGCAGTTGTCCAGCACCAGCCTCATCACCGGACTGGGAGAGGGGAGATCAGGCTCCTGGGCATATGTCCCATCCTGGCCTCCTGACTCCTCCGTGCACCCCTCAACCCCAGGATTGGCCGCTGCTACCGTATCTGTCCCCTGACCAAGACCAGGGCAGCCAGGTGCACGCCCCAGGCTCTTGTGCAAGGATCAAATGCGCCAGCTCTGGTTCCTCACTGCCAATGCCCCGTGAGCTTGGAACCCCAGGATCCCTCCATAGCCCTCCCTCCACATGCTCGCCCCAGCGAACACCTCCCCTGCCTACACCCCAAGGCAGACCCTGGCCTGCCCTACTTTGGGCTTCTGGTTCCTCAGCTCCATTTGTGGAGCCTCCTGTCCAAGTTCATGGCGGCACTTTGCAGACCAGCCCCCAGCCCCCAGGAAAGCTCCAGACAGAAAGGGGAGTGGAGAGGGGTGGTGGAAACACCTCCTGGGGGCTGTGGGGGAACAGGGCTTGCGAGGGTGGGACCCGCCAAACTACGAGTTCCCGGCTGTAGTGTTTTCACATAGGGTGGCTAGCCCTGGAGCCTGGGAAGTCACTAGCTTGTCGCCAGGATCCAGTTCTTTAGCTGACCTTCATTGGGCACCCACTGTATGACCTTGGCCAATAATCACTTGTTTCATTAGTTCATTTCCCTCGTTCACCAAACACTGGGAGGGTCAGTCAGCCTGTAACCTGCCTGTGCTGGCTGGTCCCAGAGACCCAGAGAGGACCCACTCCCACCATCCCTGGTCTCCCAGGACTCCTGTTCCAAGTGGGGGACCCTCATCTGGGAATGTGACCCAAGATCACTGCACCCTGCCAGTGCAGGGATGGGGTTGGGCAGGCACAAAGGCACTAGAATCCTCAAGCTGTACATCTTAGACACAAAAAGGCAGAGTCATTCCCAACTGTGTGGCCTGCGGCCTCCATGGGCAGGGAAGTAATGAACGGCTCCAGCCGGGAATGCAGGGTCCTCAGGACAGACCGGACCCTTCTGCACCCTCGCTATTGCTGGGCATCGCCTGGGAGGTTTAGGAATCTGATGCTCCACCATGGATCTGAGGCAGATCCTGCACTTTAATTGGGGTCCCAGGGTGACTCATGGGCACATTAGAATCACCTTGAGTGTTAAGAAGTCCCTAGGCTCAGGGCACCTAGCTGGCTCAGTCGGAGTGTGAGTCTTGATCCCGGGGTTGTGACTTCAAGCCCCAAGTTGGGTGTAGGGGTCACTTAAACTTAAAAGAAATCCCCAGGCTCAGGCCAGTTAAGTCAGGATCTCCAGGAGCTTCGTTCCATCTTTTTGCAAACTCCTAAAGCTATCTGCACATATACCTAAACTGGAGACTCAGGGCTCTGCACACTCTCCTGAAGTCACTGACCTCCCACAGACCAAGCCCTGCACTTAGGGCTCGCCTCACACCCCCACAGCACAAGTCTTGCCTGCTCCCTTCACCCCCTCTCCACTGCTCTGCCCGCTGTCCCCATTTCCCTCCTGGCCCTCAGGCACCCTCCCCTGCCCCGCAGAGAGTGAGGCCTAAGCTACTGCCCCCCACCCCACCACCACATCTGCCATCCCAGCTGGGCCCTCTGCCTGCCGTGGCTGTCCTCAACCCATGTGACATCTGCCCCTGTATGTAATAGGGAAGTCTTGCTCAGAGCTGAGAATCCAACAGTGGGGAAGTGTGGAAATGAGGCAGGCGGATGAGGCAACAAGGGCCAGCAGAAGGGCCTCACCCATCATGCTCCCCCAACTCCCGAGCCTCCTGGCCCAGAGCTGACCATGCCCCTAACTCACAGAGCACTCCCCCGCCCAAGAAGGCCCTCAGGGCCTGGCACCAAGTCCTCCCTGGAGACCAGAAGTCAGCCAGCCCCCAGAACCACACAGAGTCAAGAAACTGGTCACCGTGTTGGGCATGTGCTGACAGCCGATGCACAAAGCACAGAAACCATGGAGACAGTAGCAGGCAGGACAGGAACTCAAGTGCCAGACAGGATCTGGGGACAGGCAAGGTCTGTCTCCGCCTCCTTTCCTTCCTCCTCTGCCCTCCCCACCCGGCCAGCATCCCCTACCCCCGTGGGGCCCGTGGAGCAGAAGCCTCAGTCACTTCCTGAAGGCAGCGGCCCAGCTTGGGTCCCACTTGCCCTGTGGCCCATCACCCGCCTGCAGCCATGGTGAGTGAACCCTCAACTGTAGGTGAGCCCCCACCCCACCGGGGAACAGCAAGGACATCACAAAGGCCCAGAGGTGGAAAGCAGCCAGGACGCACCACTGGGTCAGCCGGGGCCCAGGCTGGGGCTTCGACTTGAAAAAGGGGAAACAGGCAGACAGTCCAGACGACTCTCCTCGCAGGTCAGCATGAACAGTACCCTGGTCACAGGAGGCCAGGGTGAGCATGGGGGCAGCTTCCTGTGGGTCACAAAGTGGGCCATGTACTCGCCACCCACCCCCCGCCCCAGCAGTCACCCAAGGCATGACCTGCTGACCCGGATTTCTCTGGTCCTCTGGGTTACCTGGGAATCCTTACCCCAACCCATCTGTTGGTGGACTTTCATAGGGGGATTTCCAGCCGTGGCTGGAATTGCTACCTTTACTCATTCTCTGGGTGGGGAAAGGAGGCACAGACAGGAGCAGTCTCCATAGTTCTGTCCTCCAGCCCCGTCTCCTAGGCCCCAGCTGAAGCCAGGCGTGGGGGCCAGCAGCAGGGCCACCTGTGGTCCAAGCAGGTCTGGCCTACTTGTGCACCCACCTGTATCCGTGACAGAGCACGGGGGCCGGCAGATGGTACCTGGGACAGACGAGGTGTGCCACGGGTGGCGCACGTGCCTGACCATGCCGCTGCCCAGGCCGGCCTGCCACTGCTCAGGGGACTGTGAGCACCCTGACCATCCACAAAGGGTGTCTGGGACTGGGAGACAGACCCTGAGCCCACAACTGCCTCCAGGTCTGTGTCTCTTTACGTTTTTCTGTGTGAGTCTGTGATGATCGGACTGGACGTGGCTGACTGTACACCCGTGTCCTGTGTATTTATGTCAGTAAATACCTGCACTGGGAGGACAGCAATGAGTGAGCCACGTCCTGACCTTCACAGGGGCTGGGGGGTGGCGCAGAGAGAACAAAAACTAAAAAGGCACATTTGTGAAATAATGTAAAATAAACCGTCTGATGCACAGGGAGTGGAGAGTAATGGGAAGAGGAAATCAATTTTTTTAATAGGGGTGGTCTGGGAGGGAGGCCTCCCTAAAAAGAAAATACCAGCAGAGAACTGGAGGTGCAAGAGGCAAGACGCAGGCCATAGGGAGAACTGCCTGGGACTAGGGGCAGGAGAAAGCGGAGCTGGGGTGGGAGAGAGTGGGGGAGAGACCAGCCCAAGGTGACTGGGTACAGGAGGCTGTTCGGCGATCTAGGGCCTTCATGAGGTCTTTAGCTTTTACCATGGGGAAATGAAGGAACGTTGCCAGATTTTGAGCAGAGGGGCTTCCTCTGGCTGCTGTGTGGGAGGGGCCTGGACAGAGATGGGGATGGGGGGGCGGGGGACATGGGGGAGGAGCCTGAGTTCCTCCAGCCAGCATGACGGTGGTACAGGCAGTGAGAAGTGGTTGGATTCCAGATGTATTTTGAAATCAGAAGAGAAGGCACTAGGGATACGGAGCATGAAAGCACACGGTTATCTCAAGGACACTTGGAAGGCACCACCAACTGAGGGGGAGGCTGTGGGAGCAGCAGCCTATGGGGGAGCAGCAGGAGCCCGGGTCCTAATGGGGGTGAGGCTGGGGCATATGCAGTGCTAAGTGGTGAGGTCAGGACTCCAGGGAGCCTGGAAACAAATGTGAGGGTCCTCAGCCAAGGGCAAAGGCTGGCAACGAGGAGCTAGGAGAACCCTGCCTGACTGGCTCTATGTCCCTTAGGGGAGCCATCAGGACTTCCGGAGCCTTCAAGCAAAGTTCCAGGCCTCTCAGCTCCAGACCAGCGAACTCCCCAAAAAACCCCCAAAGCCTGAGTTCAACAAACTCCTAAAGAAGTTTCCACCACCTGAGCAAAGCGAGCACCCCAAGAAGCTCCCACAGCCAGAGTTCCACACAGTACCCAAGAAGCCCCCGCAGCCCCATTGCACCGATCTCCCCAGAAAGCCCTCCAAACCTGAGTCGAGTGAACCCTCCAAAAAGTTCCCACAGTTCGAGACCCCTCAGAAAGCCCCACGGCCTGAGCCTAGCAGGCCCCCACTGGAGCCCAAGCCCAGTGCCTTCCCTAAGAAGCTCCAGCAGCTGGAGCCCAATGGGACCACCCCAGAGCCTTCACAGCCCGATTTTAATACCCTTCCCAAGAAGCCCCCTCAGCCCGACTTCAACGTGCACCCTAGAAAGCCCCTGCAGTCTGAGGTCAGTGGCCTCCCTAAGAAATCCCTGCCACAGCCTGAGTTCAGTGAGGTCCCTCAGACGCCCCCCTGGAAGTCAGAGTCCAATGAGCACCAGCCCCACTGCTCAGAGCCCGACTTCAGTACATTTCCCAGAAAGATCCCAGCCCCTCAGCTGAGTGACCTCCCCAACAAGCTCCTGCACCCTGATTTTGGTGACCTCACCAGGAGGTCCTCAGAGCCTGAAGTCAGTGTGTTTCCCAAGCGGCCACGGCAGTCTGAATTCAAAGCACCCTCCAAGAAGCTCCTGCAGCCTGAGCTGGGGGCCCTCACCAGGGTGTCCTCAGAGCCCGAGTTTGGCCTCCTCCCCAGGAAGTTGCTGCAGCCTGAGTGCCAGCAGCCCCCTCGAAAGTTCTCACAGCCCGAGCCCAGTGCTCTGCCCAAGAAGCACCTGCACACGGAGTTCTTTGGTGATCTCCCTAAAAAGCCCCCACTCCCTGGCTCCGTCTCCGAGAGCTCACTCCCCGCTGCTGTTGCGGGCTCCCGCCCCAGGCTCCCACTCAGCCCTGGCTTTGGAGCCAGGGAGCAGAGATCAGGAGCTCGCTCTCACAGTGGAGGCTTGAGGCTGGGCCTCCAGCCTGGCCACCCACCCCGGCGGAGGCCTCTGCCCCCAGTAAACAGCCTAGGCCCCCCCCCAACCAAGCCCCCACTGCCCCCTGGCCCCAGGGATGTCCAGAGCTTCCGAAGAGCCGCAGCCGCAGCCACAGGTAGGTCACGGCAGCCTCCGCAGAAAGCTGGGAAGGTAACGGCAGGGCCTGCCTCCCTCCTGCTCTCATCCTTCCACAGCTCTGAGGAGGACCCGTTCTTCTGCTGGGATCCACCTCCAGGCCCGACAGACTCAAGACATCCTGCAGTGAGTGTGGGGAGTTAGTGGGTCCTGGCGCAGGTTTAAGGCTGAAAGGGGCCCTCATCTCAGGTTCCTACAGGGACCCGGACGAGGCCTATGAGCTGTATGACGACGTGGAGCCCACGGACAACTCCAGCCCCAGCCCCATGGGCAGAGGTTTGTTGGTGGTGGGGCTGAGCCCTCAGCCAGAGCATCCTGCCCAGGCACCCGGGGACCATTCATTGCAAGGGCACATTCTTCCATGCTGTTGCGGCAAATCTGAGGGACAGTCCATCTCGCTGGCAGTGCCAGGGGAGAAAGTGGAGGGCAGGAAGGGCCTTTTAGAAAGGCCATGCCAGCTCCTGACACAACAGTAGAGGTAGGGCAGCCCAGAGGCCAACACCAGTGAACGTACTGTGGCCAGGGCAGGGGTGTGGCCCAGGGTGGTGGCAGGCGGCATTACAGAGCAGTGGAAGAATCAGAAAGAGGATTTGGTGGCATGTGATGCAGGGGCGAGAGGGAGCAAGTGAGCTCATGACACGGATGAGGCCCAAGTCAAGCTTGACACTTGGGTGCAGAGAGGAGGTATCCCTGAGTCGGGGACAAGGTGTCAGGTTCCATAGTAGACTTGTTGCACTGGAGGCGCTTGCTGGATGTCCAGGCAGGACTTGGGCCTCAACTGAGGCATGGGCTGTAGACAGAGACCCTGAGCCTGCAGTCCTAGACACTCTGTGCTCAGGTTCCTGAGGACCTCTCTTTCTCCCTTCTTCCAAGTCTCTGCTCCCGGAGAGCAGGATAATGGCAAAGCAGACCTGCCTCCAGCACTGCTGTAGGTTAATGCTTTCACCAATTTTTTTTTTTGGGGGGGAGTGACTTTCATTATCATTTCAACATCACTGAACATGTACAGCCGCCCCCCCACCCCCAAGGCAACAGCATGCCCTTTTACAGAGGTGGAAGCCTGAGAACCCCAGAAGCAACTTGCCCCAGTTCACAAAGCCAGCAGACAGGAGCCCAGGCCCTGTGCTCTCAAGACTTCCCTGCCCTATCTTTGGAAGGGCTTCCTACAGGGCAACCTTTTATTAAGGGTGGTGCCTTTGGGATGCTGCTGCCATCCCCCCCCCCAGCCCCAACACCAAGTCTGCTGCCTGTACTACTCTTTCCCAAGCCCCTTCTGCTTCTCCTGGGCTTTCCTCAGGGGCTGCTTACAAAACTGTCTTAGTAGAGCTTCCTGACAAGGCTCCTCCTGCTTCCGCTCTACTGAGGCTCTTGTGACTGGGGTCTGGGGGGCCAGTCTTGGAGAGGGATGTGGGGAAAGAGGCAGTTTGCTTCCAGCAGCTTTGAAGGTATGCCCCCCCCCAATTTTCCCCAATCCCCAAACAGACCAAGAACATCCCGACTTCTGCTCACTGTCCCTGCCAGTGGAAAATCGTCTCCCCATTCCATGCCAGTCATTCTGCCAGACTCCAACAAAATAGACTTCTCAAATCTCTCCCTTCTTGAAATACTATGTGGGTCCTCACTGGTAGTACACTGTCCCAAAGGCTACTTTGCACTCTTCTAGTCCAGCCTCCCACTTTGCCCTACTTGGGAATGGTAGCAGCCCCACCCCAGAGGTTCCTTCCACAGCTGGGAGCTCTCCTGGAAGGGGCTGGGGCCAGCACATGTAGCTCTTTCCCAGATCTCAACAGGTCACCCTTAGAGCCTCCCTTACCTGTGTGCCTGATTAGGGTCACACTGCCAGAAATTTGGGCTGCAGGTGTGCCAGGTCTGTCCTACGCCACAGTGCCCAGGGGCATGCTCTACCCCGTGGTGGGTTTATAGGGGTCCTGGGGTCCCTCTGGGAGAAGCGGGAGCAGTTGGAGTATCCTGGATGAGACTGGAGATAGCATCATCATCTGAGCACCAGGATGTGGCTGGAGTCTGGAGCAAAAAGCCAGAGGCTTCAGGTTCTGGATCCTTCACTCAACTGGTATTCACGAGGCTCTTGTAAGCCAAACCCCGGGGCCAGCAGGCTCCTACGTGGAATGCTGGCAGGTTGCCAGAAGTCCGCACTCACGGGGGAGACCCCTCACAATAGTCTCAGCAGCAGCCAGGCCAGTCCATGAACCCCACCCCATCAGCCCCTTCTCAGACACCCACTTCATTTGCTCTGGGAAATGCCTTTGCCTTATTTTTGACCTAAATCCTAGGACAATCCCCAGAAGCCAAGCTATTCTAAAAGACAGACATAAAATGGCCTCAAAAGCCTGCAAATAAATCCTGCCTTTATCATTTCCAGCCAGATGACCTTGGAGCAGGACTGCTTTACCACTCAGAGCCTTTATTTCCCTCATCAGCGAGCTGGGAATGACATTCTTGCCTATTATCCTAAGTAATAAGATCGCTGTGAGGGTTAAGTGAGTTTCTGCAGTAAGCAGTTCCTGCTACACCTACCATGCAGCAGTTCAGAAAACAAAGGCAATGCACTAGAACTCACAACCCCCAAGAAAGGCCTCCAGGGAAGACGGACAGTTGGCAGGGTGGGGGTTGGGAGGGAATGGATGTCCTAAAAACTGACATAGGAAAGGCTCATTCAAGATCAAGTCACCAGTGTCAAGAGGGAGGCTGAGCCAACAGTCCCTGCCCTAACTCAGCGCTCTGACTGCTCCCAGATGAAGTACCATTTACCCAGCAACCCCCCAGGCCACCACAAGATCCAGAACTCAGGTACGGGGCAGGGGGGTCATCAGCCCGCCAAGGGCATGGAAGAGGGAGGGACTGAGCTCTGGGCAGACAGGAAGGGGGCCCCTGGGAAGCACACCTTGTTCAGGAGTATCCCAATTCCTCAGGAAGGAAAAGGCCCCCCAGCCACAGCAGTTGCCACCCACAGACCTGAAGTCCCTGAAGCAGATCCGGAAGGCAGAGAAAGCCGAGAGGGAGTTCCGGAAAAAGTTCAAGGTGTGAACACCAGAATCCTCTAAACAAGAGCCCTGGGAGATCTGGGCACAGCCCCAATTGACCAAGACCCCACATATTCCACCCTCAGAAAGAAGCTGGGGTTCCTGGGGGGACAGCACAAAAGCTCTAACATATCCCTCCCCAGTTTGAGGGGGAGATAGTGATTCAAACAAGGATGATGATCGATCCCAACGCCAAGACACGTCGTGGGGGTGGCAAGCACCTGGGGATCCGGCGTGGGGAGATCCTGGAGGTGATCGAGTTCACAAACAAGGACGAGATGCTGTGCCGGGACACCAAGGGCAAATGTAAGTCAGCCAGACCAGGAAATCTTAGGGCAATGGGCTACCACCAGGGGGGCTACGAGCTCACCTATCCTGTTCTCTTTCACAGATGGCTACGTACCCAGAACAGCTCTACTGCCCCTGTGAGTGTGGGCCCTGACTGGGGGTGGAGGGGAAGGTGGGGTGGTCAGGGGGACAAGGTGACCTTTACTGACCAAACTGTGCTCTCTGCTAGGGAAACGGAGGTGTATGATGATGTTGGCTTCTGCGGTATGTAGATGCTCTGGGTGGGCTGGAAGGGACCACAGTGCCTGGAAAGAGGTAACCCCCCACTCCACCATCCCATTTCCCTGGGGCTGCTCATTAGCTGTGTATGGGGAGAGGAGTCACTCCAAGTCACCCTTCCTCGGCAGAACCTCTGGAGAGCCAACCATTCCCCCAGGGAAGATAAGGCCCACAGGTGTGGGTCCCCAGGACAACCTGTCAGCCCAGCCACCCACTAAAGCAGGAGTTTTGGAGACCAGACTGGCAATCACAGAACCACCCAGGCTCATGCCTGACTACATACATGAACCACATAAAGCTCCTATTTAAAGCGATTTTTGCTTCTTGTCTTTTCTTTCCCTCCTGACACAGTGGAGTCATTATCAGACACCTGGGAGTCTATGAGGTTGACCACATCCCTCCACTGTCTCAGCCCTCAGGGATAAACACCAGTAGCAGTGTGACAGGGAGAAGGTGGCAGAGGTAGGACACCACATCCAAACATGACAAGCAGTGGTTGCAGCTCCACACAGGCTTTATGAGACCACATATTGGGGAACAGGAGAGTTCTAACCAAGTTCTAATAGAGCCCAGGAATCACAGTCAGCCTAAACCACTACAGGACTAAATATGCTCAGAAACTCGCACCGTGCTTGGTCTGCTGTAGCAAAGAAAAGCTGCCATGGACTGTGTTTTGATCTTGGACGTCCCAGCCTCCAGAACTGTGAGGAATAAATGTCTGAGTTTATAAGCCACCCAGCTTATGGTATGTTTGTTATAGCAGCCGAAATAAGACTGTAACAAAAGCCAAACAGGAAATAAGCCTGAGACAATTTCTGTACTCCAAAGAGCAACTGTACAGGAGGGAGAATGGCTCTCAGGACCAGTAATATCCAAGTGCTTTGTTACCAGCACTGGAGAATTCAAGTCCACTCAGGACTCAGTTTCCATGAGAGTTCTCCTCGAGTGGCCAGGGTCCATGTCCTTCACGCTCAGGAGTAATGGGAATGAGACCCCCCAGTGGTCACAGTTCTAAGGGTAGAAAGAAGACTGACTTTAGCTCCTCAAACCTCAGGGGGTGCCCCACAACACACACGCAAAAAAGCAAGCATCTTTTCAGGAACTGGTATTTATTATCAAAGTCATATTCGATGTCAACAAGATGCCACAACTACAAAAAAAATTGCGCACATTGCAATCTCAAATGCAAACAGTCAAATGGAACCCCGGTCATTAAAAAAGTAATTCAAATTACCCCAAAAAGCAACTGAATTTTTTAAACATCTTTATACATCCAGCCAACAAATTAAAATGGTTAACAAGAAAAAATACAAATTCAGAGGTCTGGTATCGATGTTTAAAAAAGGCAACTGCTTAAGCATTTCTATCGATTCGAACATCAATCTCTCGGCCACTCAGCTTCATCCCATTCATCATCCGGCAGGCTCTCTCAGCCACCTCTGGCGACTCAAACTTAACCACACCGCACCCCTTGGACTTCCCGTTCTCCATCTTGATGTCGGCATACAGCACGTGGCCTGGGCACAGGGAGGGAAGAAGAGACCACAACTCATCAGGCAAACCCAGAGCTCAGCCTGTCTGGGCTCCACTCAGTCCAGATCACCTGTTGGATTTCGGTGGACAGAGTCAAAAGGGAGAGCGGCCCTGGCACACAAATGCTCAGAACACAATAGCTGGAATCCAGCGACTATGGCCCTTGGCCATGTTGCCATTCTTCTGCCAACAGAACCACCATCTGACCCATGATAAGCCTTCATGGCAGCTTCAAATGCATACCCATACACTTGAGAAAGTTATAAAGGTGGCTGTGTGAAGCCAACCTTATAGGTGCTTCATCTTCAAGACCCCATATCAGAGTATTTACAAAGCCATCATGAAATAATGGGACATTCTGTATTGTCCACACATAGACTGCATCCTAATTTGAAAGTGGGGTTCACATATTCATTCAAGCACTGATTAAGAATCCAGGTATGTGTCAAGCACCATGAAACAAGTCTGTAAGGGGAAGAGTTAAGGACATGACCATGTAGCCCTATGTTAGATGGCCCTCATTTCTAGAGCCATTAACTCAGCCCAAGGGAAGGTCAACATCTAGAGGGATTCTCGGGACAGTTCTAAAATACTTAAGCTCACCAGAAGATAAGCTCTCACTACAACAGCTTAAAATAAAGCACTTTTGGAGAATGGCACTTGCAACTCCGGGTTCAGAGACAGGAGAGAGATGAAAAAGGATGGACTAAGTTACAAAGGGACTAGTGAGCTTCTCGTTAGCAGATGGGCACCTCCAGGCATCTGAGGCAGGAGAGCAGCCTGATCCAACATGACTTTTCAGAATACCTACTACAAACTAAAGAATGGAGAGAGGGCAAGAAGGCACGTATGGCTCAACAGCTGCCCTAAGAGAAGAACCAGGAGAAGCAGCAAAGTGGTGCAATCTGAGCTATCAGTGAAACAGGAAATGAAAAAACACTGAGGAGGCCTTGACCCAGCAAGCCACCTGGACTTGTGGCTTAGGCCTGGGGCTCCCACTTGACATGGTTTAAAGAACAGAGGTGGTGGGAATGAGGAGCAGGGATTCACCCGGGGACAACTTCACTTCCTTTCGGCCACAAAGTGAGCCTTTCAGAATGGTGGCCTGCTGTGGCCAGAAAACCAAAACCAGAGCCCCTCACCTCATTCACAGACAAGCTCACCCCTGGGAACTTCTGGGTGAATGCTCTTTGAGGCATGAACCAACAGTACAGTGGTAGAAAGCAACCTCCTCTCAGATGTTATTTTACTCAGCTTTGTCACGGAGAAACCACGTGACCTTGGGAACATGACTTTGCCTGACTCATCTGCAAAATGGGGACATTGCCTCCTTTCAAAAACCATAAAAGGAGAAAGATAAGGTTGAAATGAGAACACACATAGGAAGTGTCTGACACATAAGAGGAAACTCAACAACCAGCTTGAATATTTGCACAGGCAGAAAAATGGCAAGTCCCACTGGTCCTTGAGTCACGGCAAGTGGCTGTGAAGACCAGGATGGGAGCTTCACTGCACCCCTCAAATGCATCACTAACAAGCTAAGACTTCTGAAGCCACAACACATGGAAGCACCTAGAAAGCCTTTCTCAAACACTTACCACATTCGTTGAATTTGTCTTTTAGCATCTTCCATGTAAAATCAAATGGGAGCTAAAGGGAAAAGGAAAAACTGATGAGTGATACAACCAAATCCTAATATCCTAATGCATAAACACCAGGGTCTCTCAGGGAAACTTTCAGGAAACAGGTGATCAGCAGAGAACAAAATACACCTGTCTGGAATGAGGCTCGAAACCAGCACACCAAGCGTACTCCCTTGTGGCATTATCTCTCTTCAAGAGGACAGTCGCCTGTGGTTAGAGGCCCCAAAACCACTCAACAGTAGCTGAAGGTGGTTAACTTGGTATAAAGATGATGCAGATACAGCCCTTTGTCCCTCTGTCATGCCCAGGTGTAGTGGCTCTTCATGCCAAGGGAGTCCAGAAGCTCAGGTTGTTCCCGAGCTCACTCACTGTTGGTTCCACCTAGCAGTCCGATAACCCAGGGCTCCTGATGCACAGTTCATACACTCTCTCAGTCCTTCCTTATCCTACTAGCACCAAATTTGGGGGACAGTAGCAAGGTGGCCTTTTGTATTGCTACCCTTCCTGCTGAAGGCACCGACTCTTGACTTCAACCTGTCCCCTCACCCTTCCTCCCTTTGTGCCTACCACCACCATCAAGTTGCTGAAGAGCCACTTACATTTCTCACAAATATCTGGCAGGCCTTCCTGGCCACCCCAGGAGCATGGCCTCCAGCTCCGCCAAAGGAACCTGCGAAGCTTCCTCCAAAGTTGCCACGCTCCATCTCGATGGCGCGGTCAAAGCTGGCACCGCCACCGCCACCCATGGCCAGGCCCATACGCTCAATGCCAGCGCCTAGGGCTGGACCCATGGCAGGACCCATGCGCTCCAGGCTGTTGGCGCCCATGCGCTCCAGGCCCATGCGCTCGAGACTGTTGGCGCCCATTCGCTCTAGGCCCATTCGCTCCAGGTTGTTGGCGCCCATGCGCTCCAGGCCGGTGGCCATGCGATCCATCACAGGGCCCATGCGCTCCAGGCCAGCCCCCATGCCTGCGGGCACCATGCGCTCCATGCTCAGGCCCATGCGCTCGATGGCAGGGCCCATACGCTCTACACCAGAGCCCATGCGCTCAATGGTCTGGCCCACACGGTCGATGGGCGCGGCCATGCGCTCAAGGCCAAAGCCCATGCCGGCACCCATGCGCTCCACGCCAGAGCCGATGCGCTCCATGGTCTGGCCCATGCGCTCAATGCTGGAGGCCATGTGGTCGAGGCCCAGTGGGCCCATGCGCTCGATGCCAGAGCCCATGCGCTCAACTGAGCCCATGCGGTCCATGACCAGGCCCATGCGCTCAATCTCGGAGCCCACACGATCCATGCCATGGCCCAGGCCTGCGCCCATGCGCTCCATGCCGGCACCCCCAATGCGGTCAATGCCAGGGCCCATCCTCTCGATCCCAGGGACACTGCCTCCACCTCCACCTGGAACAGGGACACAAAACAGAGGCAGGTATCAGGGACTTGCACACTTGTGTGCACACCATGCCAGGAGGGTGACCTGGGTGCAGAGGCTTACACTTCACAAGCTCAACCACAGTTCAGGAATTAAGTCCCACAACAATTTACCATTAGACATCCCTCAAATGTCAAGGCTTAACTGTTGTTAAGGCAGGGTAGTGAGGACACTGTTCTTCCTATTTCTATGCCACAGCTTACATTTCTATAGTAAAATTTAAAAAAGGGAGAAATTCTACCCTGGAGGACTTGTGTCAACAACGTTCTCCACCATTACTTCGGAAGCCCTAGTACTTCTAACTATCTTTGTGAGCCATGGGTGTCAATTCCCAAGAACTGTGAGGTCTCCCCACCAAATGACACTGAGAAATACTCTCAATCAAAGCTCAGAAACCCCACCCTGAGTTGGTCAGTCTGTAAAATGGATTACATGGATTGTATGTGACAATTCAAATCACTCACAACCTTTACCCTCTCCCAGCTTGTCCCTCTCAGATGCCCTGCTGATGGCCAGTCTGGCTGCATTTCCTTAGCACCTCCAGGCATAAAGAAGCTAGTATACAGCCATGTAAATAAAGAGTAGATAAAGAAAACAAACACCAATATAGACCCTCTATGTCTAGATAGACAGGCACTTCCAGGGAGCCTTACTCTGTGAAGAAAACCACCAAATAACTTGTGTATAACTCTGCTGGCTTTAGAGGAAAAGAAGTCAATGGCATTGCAGAGTAGATTCTAGAAGAGATCTAAGATCAGTTCTCGATGCCATGGTTTAGCTGGACACATGCTTTCGTGTCAGCAATGCAGTGACCCTGTTTTGCTGGTAACTCTGTAGAAGGTGGGGCTGGCTCCACCTCCAAGGCCACTGCCCACCACTTTTCCACATTCAGAGCCTCTAAGGGTCCCTTCTCACTGAAGCTTCGCCATCACCACTGCCACCTGCCTCTAAAAAAGGTCAGCTGAGTCCACAGCCAGCCCATTAGTGACCCAAGCATCCCAGTCCAAGATGTAATTCAAGAAAAGGAAACTCAGAAGTTTCTGTGAGTCTCTGGCTGACATCACATGTCACTCCACTTCTCCATTTCCTCAGCTGAATAACAGCACACCAAGTTGCAAAATATAAAAATTTAAGATTAGTCTTTTTTGGGACACCTGGGTGGCTCAGCGGTTGAGTGTCTGTCTGCCTTTGGATCAGAGTGTGATCCCGGGTTCAGGGATCGAGTCCACATCAGGCTCCCTGTGAGAAGCCTGCTTTTCTCTCTACCTATGTCTCTGCCTCTCTCTCAGGAATAAATAAATCTTTTATAAGGGGGCGAGGGGATATTAGTCTTTCAGAGCAAAAATTTCTCAAAGTATTTAAAAAAGCAAGATACTAGAAAGGGCAGTAGCATGCTCAAGAATATCATTAATCAGGCTGACCCCCTGGATGCCAACAGCAACAGAGAACAAGGGGAAAACGGTGCCCACATGGAGTTCTAGTATCAGCACACCACAGAAATAACCAGCAAGTGGAGTTACCAAGGAAATGCCAAGACACTCAGAGCCATGCGGAAGTGGGGCATTCAAGCTGGAAAAGTTCATTTAGTTTTAAATACCCATTTTTTTAAGAAGTGTATTAATGAAAAGATATTCCCAAAATGTTTACAACACTCATCACTGGGTAGTGAAATTGCTGATATTTACTTACTTTATAATTTTCCAAATATTTATGAGTACATGTGTATAGCTTAGTAAGCACTTGTTAGATTTGGAGGTAGTATACCTTTTATCAGGTATTTACTTTTATGAATTTACAATTTTACAGTATTTAAAACAAAGGCCCCAAATTACATGGAATTATAATAACAACAATGGCTAATGCTTACATATAGCACTTATACAAATACTTTTTTCTATGCATTAACTCATTTACAACAACCCTATGAAGTAGGTACCATTATAACCCCGTATTACAATATGGAAAACAGAGAGGTTCAGTAACTTGCCAAATGTCACACGCTAGGAAGAGACAGAGCTGGTTCCCACCCAGGCAGTCTATTTTAGAGCCCATGCTTTTCACCACTACACTCTTACTATCCCCAGTAATAACAACCTATTCTAAAAATCAAAACATCAAAACTAAGCGTTTCCTACCTCCTCCCTGCTTTGCAATGATCTCTCCTCTCTTCAGTGCATTACTTAGGATTTCTAAGGAAATCAGGAAGAAAAAAAAATTAGCCAAATTTCTCTACGATAACAGAAATTTGTTTAATACAGATTCCAGAATAAGAATATTACTAATTTAAAAATAAAACAAGGAAAGGGGGGAGGGATTAAGAAATACACATATAGACAGGATCATTTTACTGGAAAACCGTAAGAGTCCTTGATGATGGGTCATGATTCTAGGTTCCCATGTAGCTCCAGAGTCTGAGGCTCAGTTGGCAAGACCATCTGGGAATGCGCCCAGCAGAGCTAAGTAAAGAGCCAGTGTGCACCAATGAATTGAACTGCGAACATCAGAGCAAGAATGGGGGTGGGGGGTAGCATAGTTTTCTAAAGCTGATCCACACCCTCAGTACTCAAACTGAAGCCTGCACACACCCACCAGATTCGATCAACAACTCACTGTTATCTCTTAGCAAACTCAAGCTATGGCTATACTGTCAAAGTCCTGAAAACCAGCAACAATTGCATGCAGTGCTGAAGTATGACCTTACCAACAAGTCATGCACGGAAAAGACTCCAGCAGGTGGAGCCCACCAGCCCCACCTGGAAGGAGCTGGGTGTGACAGTGACAGACAAAGCTTTAAGAAAATAAAAACCCTACCACACAACACTTCTTCTCAAATAGAAAACACTGTTGCTTATTTGCCAACAATTAATCCAAACCTCTTTCAAGTTTGTTTAAAGCTATGTGGTTAGCGTTAGCTTTTAAGTTTCTTCTCAGCCTTCCCCTGTGTAAAGACATTTGTACCCACTCCCCTCTACAGTCCCAAAGTGTGCTCAGCAATATGGACAAACAGCCACAGAATACATCTCATTTTATGACTAAGACCACAGAGATTAACCCCACCCCCACAGCTGTTTCTGGCACTACAACTACCTGCGCTAAAGGACAGATGTGGGAAAGCATACCTAGAAACAACAGCCCTCCTCCAGCCTGCAAGCAGTACAGGGCTTGCTTATTCTCCCATGACACCTGAGGTCCTGCTCAGCATACCCAAGCCCAGCTTCACTTTCCTAAATCAGCACTTAGATCAAAATATTCCTCACAAAAGCTTCACGATCGGCGCACCACTGATTTGAAAAGAAAAGAAAAATCCTTTATTGGGTATTCACAGACCTCTCTGCTCTGACTCTGAACTTGAATCTGTTCTTCCTGCCCCAGGTAGACCCTCATGTCCAGGCCTCTGCACATGATGCTGTTTGGCCCTCTCTATCTGCCAGTATATTCTCTAAGTTATGCTGAACCCTCTTGGACACCCAGCCCCATCCAGCTTAAACTGTACCTCCTGCCCAGTCTTCTTGCATTCCTGCTTGGATCCAGTGCTCTCTGAGCAGAACATTTCTATCAGCCATGTAGAGCACTGCTTTTTCCAAATCTTAACAGAGAGAAAATAGATCACCTTTGTGTATTGCTCACATGGCTCCCAAAGGCCTAGGAACCAACATTTCCACCAGCACTCTCACTAGGCCTCTGGTGCTGCCCTGTGCCACTGAGCATCATCTATCTCCTCGGCTGCACCACCTCCTTCAAGATCAAGGACCACATTATCTACATCCCTGCACCACCAAGCACAGTGGCTGCCAGAAACAAGGGCAAAGATCTACTGCCTTGATAGTAGAGAAGGGACACTGAATGGGGAGACACTAGAGCAAAAGGAACCAAAACGATTCAACTTTCAAGTGAAAAACAGAGAAATCAAGAACTGAATAAACAAATCAAAAAACCCATCTAGGCCACACACACACACACACACACACACACACACATAAAAAAAGACCATCCAGGCCAACTGGTATGAAACACCACCTTAAACTTAGACACCTTTTTACTAAATTGTGCCTATCACAAGTAGCAGCAGGGAATTCCAGAACAAAGCCCTGTTCTCTTGCCCATGTCACTTTGGGAGGTCACAGGACAAAGAAATACAATAGTCTCAATCAGAGGAAGTGGCAAAGTAGCAGGAGAAAGCAAGCCCTACAGATGATATTTCAGGTTGGGACTAGAGGAGTTACCACCTGTTGCCATGAGAAATACTGACCTCACCAGATCTACCTCTTGTGCCACTCCACGAACCAGGACAAGGCCTCCAGCCTCACCACAGAGGTTGAGAGGCACCACAGACCAGTGAAAGATTAAAGGCCTAAGGCAGGAAGAAATCCCTATGGAAGCAAAGCATATGGCCATCTTGTTCTTCTCACCCTCAGTATCCACAAATTGCTATTCGCAACCAAATGACAAGTTTTTAAATATTTTCAAAAATATTCTGCCATTCCAGGACACAAAAACAAAGTCAGTCATAAACAAGAAACTTTTAGCTGATCCAGTCACATACAAATTTATGAACTCATCCCTAGAATTCTAAAGCTTTGGAATACTCTAGAATAAAGCTAGTCAGTCGTATCTAACAAGTAAAAGAAAAAAAATGTAAATCTTCACTACCAGCATAGTAAGACACAAAAAGGTCCTTCCAGGTACCTAACTGCCAGTAGGGAAAAAGAGAAAAACAAGTCTCCAGTTCCTGATTTTCATGGAGGACACAACATGAAGATGGGAATCCTACAGATAGTTTACAGAAGCATCTGTCTCACTGACAAGCCAGATGATGAATCTTTCCAGGACGTTTGTAAATTCTAAGAATATATCTAATACAAACTACACAAGAGGGCTTAAAACCTTCCCAACTTAATGGGTCCCCCAAAGTCAGAGGCTGAGCACTCTGAGGCGGTCCCATGGAAGCTTCACATCTGTACAGAATGAGAAGCAGGTAAGGATGGGGCAGAGTATGGATCCACACTCCAAAGCGCCTTTGAGAGAAACTGAAGAGCCCAAAACTGGACAACCTCTTTGCACCATACTAATGAAGAATTAAGCTGGCAGATTCTCAGAAACGTCTAAATTCAAAAAGAGGGGGGAGAGAGACATTCCTTGAGAAGAAACCACTTTGCAATCTAACCAAAATTGAAAACAAGAGATCCTCTGCACTTAGGCCCAATCCTCCAGGCCTTCCAGCATCAGAAAATCCCCCCCAGTTTCCTGGGGCCTCTTCTAAAGGCACCAGCAAACACACCATGCCAACTGTTAGACTATCACAGTGCCCTGGACAAGGGGACTCACACCCCATTCAGCAGGGCCTCAGAAACCTCCACCACTCCAGAGAGCCAGTGCTGTGTAAACGCAGCAGTTTGAATTCCCACAGCAAACACCTTATACCAAGGCAACCAAAGAAGCCACCTGAAAAAAACTAAAGAAAAATTGATACCAATAAAAAATTCAAGGTCCAGAGTTTTTACATAGGTCTATTTTTTAAAAGACTTTGGAAAAACAGCTGACTTTGCCTAAGAGAGAACCCCTGACCTGAGGGTGAGCCCCACCCACAAGGGGCTTTCTTACCCATTCCTCTGCCAAGGGGCTCGCCAAAGCTTCGAGACATTCCCATCTTGTTTCTGGCAAAGTCTCTCTCAAATCCTCCACCCATGCCACGCTCCATCTCTGTGGAGAAAAATATTACCCTAGGCCTTTCCAGGAATACCACTGTGTTTTAGACATGATAAATAACTACAGGCACGCAACAGCCACCACCAAATCAGCATGTTCACTCTTTCTACGAGGAACCATCATTCGTCCTTTATTCCTTAAAAAAGTCACTTCGAGTCAATCCCTAAAAACTATCTACCTTTAGTCCATTAAGGACTGACCAACGTCCACTCTAAGCCTCACTTGTATGGTATACCAGTACCTACTCCTACAGCAAATGGCATGGGCACATGCTGAGTCAAGGGCAGGCTGCAGCAGCAGCTACCACCTCCCCGCCCCGCCTGGGGCTTTCCATGTGCTTGTAGTTCATAGAATCCTCCCAACAGCCTGCATACCTGTATTCTCCCTCCAACATCACTGCCCCCATACAAAGAAAGGGAGGCTCAAAGGACTTAGTAACTTGACCAAGGTCACATGCCTGGCAAGGGGTGAGGCAAAGGTTAGAACCTAAACCCAATGCAAGAATCCATACTCTACTAACACAAGCATATCCGCACAGAATATAGAAACATGCCTGCATATAATAGGTCTTCCCTACTAACAGAAGTAGTTTCCTCTACACAAGGATGTTGTTAACTTTGTTAATTTTTCCTATGCTGACAGCAGGACTTAAATTTTATAACGTCTTTTAAAAGCTAAGGTCTTAGTTTCTATGGGGAAAGCCTTTGATGATCTCATCACCGGCTACTTCTTTCCTCTAAAGCAAGACTTAAGATGTGTAGCACACTGTGTCTCCCTCCTGAACTGAGAGGGCCTTGAAAAATCTAATGTTGCTCCTTAAAAATCAAGGTAAACAGGTGCTATATAATGATCACCTTTACTTGTACAACTACCAAAAATGGTTATCTACAGATCAAGTCCCTATACTTTCAATGAAGTGAACAAGTCTACCAAATGCAGGCTAGAATTATGAATTAATTAGAAAATGCCAGCAGAAGGGTGCTTGGGTGGCTCAGTCTGTTAAGCATCTGCCTTCAGCTCAGGTCACAATCTCGGGGTGCTGGGATCGAGCCCAGCAGCAGGCTCCCTGTTCAGCAGGGAGTCTGCTTCTCCCTCTCCCCCCCACCTCGTGCTCACTCTAATAAATAAAAATGAATGAATGAATGAATGAATGAAGAGAGAGAAAGAAGAAAGAAAGAAAGAAAGAAAGAAAGAAAGAAAGAAAGAAAGAAAGAAAGAAAGAAAGAAAGAAAGAAAGAAAGAAAGAAACGAAAAGATTTTAGCAACTGGTGAACTTGCTTTTCAGTTTGAATTGACCCAACTGAATCTCAGGTTGGCAGTGTGCCATCTGCTGAAAATGTAACTAACTTGCACAAGCCTGCATGGGGTAGGCAGAAGAAAAATCTAAAATCTCAGAGTGGTACTATAATGGACAATGCTCTGCTGTGCTCCTTTAATCCCTATCATAAGGGCATAAAAGGCGGCAGCACTTTGCCCCCTTGAGATAAGGAAGTCCTATATAGGCAGCAAAGGCCTCAAAACTCATCTTCCCAAACAAAAACAAAACAAAAAACAAAACTCATTTTCCCAACTGTCAACAGGCTCTACAGTTCAGGGAGCCCTCTGTGAATTCCAATGTACTACCCAAGAATTCCAACGTACTATGAGAAAGAGAGAGAGAGAGAGAGAGAATTTCCTTGTCAAATATTATACCACATCATTCTTTGGTATTTGATGAGTTTTTAATTTATAATTTTTAATAGCCATCCTATAGGACTTGACCTCTACTGCTGACTGACTGACCCTGAGATTCTGATTTCTAATCAGTCTGGTGTCAGCACCTCCAACCATAGTAGATGCATTATGGTCACCAATTAAACACTAAATTAAATCAAAACATCTTTATCAACTTTCCCCCTGATAAAGTTGATTGCACTCAGAACACAGCTCAAGTGGAAGAAGTCCCTATTCTCTACTTCAGAGGATGATGAGGGAAGACCTGTATCTGAGAACATCTAAGAATACTGCATCAGAACACATCCTCCCACTGTAGCTCTCCATGAGAATCAGCACTTTGAACCTTTGGTCAACAGGCCCATAACTGTGACTGCTGCATTCCACCTGCCAGATTATCAAGGACTTTGCTCATACTACTCAGCACAGCCCCACCCCCTCTTCATCCATTTCTAAATCACATCACTCCACTCCTCAGCAACTCCAACTCCTAATGACTCATCAATTTTGAGCAAACACTCTACCAAGCCAGATTCCTCCAACTCTTTTTATTAGAATTCCTATACACATCACGAGCTACAGGCCAGCCAGAAAGCACACTGGAAATGCAGACCTTTGTCCCTTCATTCCTGACTAATAGTGAGGACTTCCCTACAGCTCTTTATCATCTAAAACAAGGCAACCCTCCCCCATTAAGAAGGGCAGTTTATTCATCAGAATTTTCCTTCTTTCCAGCTGACAATTAAGGTCTATCCTAGTAGGATTCTCACTTGCTCTACTCTCTCTTCAACACTAAAGGATACTGCAGGTTAGCAAAGAAACATTTAAATGCAAATCTTTAATGACTTTCCATCTCAGAGAAGCTTATGTGTATAAGGAAAGCTATATCCCCACAGGTGAGGTGTCAAGGAGTAAACCAACCCCAGAGGATTTTCAGAAAGACGGAAGGGTTCCCCAAGGCCCTAATCAGGAGGGGCTGAAGCCCATGCTGGAGGCAGTTCTAAAAGGCAGAATTACAGTGTAATTAAAAGCCAGGCTCTGGAGCCAGATAGCCAGGATCCATATCCCAGTATTACTAGCCATGTGACCTTAGGCAAGTCACTCTCTGGGCCTCAGTTTCTGATGAAATGATAAAAGTACCTACAAATCACGTGGTTCTTGCAAGGACTAAATGAACACACTATTATATTTCTATTAAGGGGTTGAGAAGGCTATAAGATCTGTATGATAGCACACCAAAACTCCCACTATATAAATGCTAAATTAAATCAATGTCTCTGCTCACAACTCAAGAGCAGATGAGAGCAGATGATCAAGAACTGATGTAGTCCAGCACTCCAGGGGATATATGAATTTGATCAAAAACTCCAAAGAAACTAAAAAAACTAATCCCTTACACTTAAAGACAATTTTAAAGTGAGAAAGATACCTTTAAAGTGAGCAAAATACAACCACACTTATCTACAGGATGCTTGCTAGTGCTAGAGACAATGAAAAAGTTTTATTATTTTATTGGGTAATTATGGGGGAATTCAGAACACGGGACATACATTTAGTGACTAACAGGATTAACACTTACCTACTAGGAAGTCTAGCTGCTGAAATACAAATGTGATTTTAATAACATCTAAGGCAATTCAAAGACATCTAATTAAATAGAAAAATGGAAGGGGCAAATCATTCATTAAAAAAGGGTTTGTTGCCTCAAGGTCACCCAAGAGTCAACAGCCAGTAGGGGGCAGGTTTAAGCAGAAAGAAAACACAAGTCTCACCATTTATTCTGCCCATGTTCATCCCAGATCCAAATCGACCCATGTTTTCCATACCGCCACCAAAAGGTCCCTCCATGCCTGCAAGAGATATTCACATTTGAGCACCATTTCAATGAGACTGTTTACACTCATCGGAAAAAGAAAGATATTTTCAGGAGTTTCATCTTGGGCATTTTCTGACAGGAACTTCCTTACCAAGTGTAAGGACTTTAGGAATAAAAATGCTACTGCCCTTGCTAAAATCACCGTCTTCAAAAAGCTAATCTGATCCAACCCCCTCAACAGACAAGCAAAGAGAGGCCCAGAGAGATGGAGTGATTTGCCCAAGGTCACAGAGCTAGTTAGTGAGAAAGCCAGAACCAAAAGCCAAGATACCCACTGGATAGACTGACAGGTAAAATTAATTTCTAGACTCCAACTTTTTGGAAATCAAAGCAAGAATTCATGCAAGGCTTAAGGGAAAAGAAAGAGGAAAAGTGAGAGAAAACCATACCTAAAAGTGATTATATTTGTACTTCATTTTAAATCTCTTACCTCCCATTTTATTTATTCCAAATCCTATGCCTTCCATTCCCATTCCTTAAAAAGAAAAAGTCAATGCAAACTAAAATTATGTCAAAGCAGTAACGTTTGAACTTAAAAAGCACAAGAAATTCCAAATCAGCAAATGAACAAAAAATATTCCTGATTATGAACATATTTTAATTGTAAAAGAAAAGGAGGATGGAGAGGGCTCTCCCATATCACCTTTCAAACTATCGCATCCCAAGAAACTATGTCTTTAACAAAATAATCACCATGTGACTCAAAATTCTCTAGGGCCCACATACAGTTTTAACAAAAAATCAAGTCAGGGCATTTAAACATGATATATAATTACTGGATACAAACTGAGGAATACTCTTTTTTTAGAAGTTCATTTTAGGGAATATAAGTCTTAAAATTTCCTTTGAAGATAAAATTCTCTAAAAAGCAGTTCTTAAAAACACTTGAGGCTTCCCTCCCCGCCACCCCAAACTTTCTTCTTTGGTGTGTGTGGGGGGGTGGGTGGGCGGTAAACTGATAGGGCCATATTCCAAGAAGGCCCAGGGCATAGAGGTCAGCCCAGAGTTTAATGTGGGGAGAGATAAGGGACAGGCAGAACTAACGGTAGCAGGGTGAAGGGACATCCATCCTGCAATTCAAAGGATTTTAAGAGAGCTCTAACTCTGTAGTCATAAAAATGAAGTAGTTCCTAATAGTATATAAATGTCTCCTGCCTAGAATGAAAATGCTTAACAGCAAAGTTTAAAGCATATTCTCCACAAAGCTCTCATTCATTAGCTACTTCTTATCTTTTTGAACAAAGACAACTCTGAACACCAGGTCTTTGTGGCCTGTGACAGCTACGTTGTCATGCAATGAGGGCCTCTGTGCCTTTTTATATCCATCAATGCCCTTACCCTAGTCTAGGAGCCGTTAACACCAGGCAATGGCCCAAAGGGTGTCTGGGTAACAGACTGTGGCAGTGCTATGGTCTGATGGTCAGGAGACCTACATTCTCTGTCACTAACTGATAGTGTGACCTTGAGCAAGACCAACTCTCTGGCCTGCCTCCTTTTATCAAATAGCTTAACTAAGCTCGGAAGGTCATCCAAGGATAAAATGCAAACGTATGGTAACCTTAGAAAAAAGGATTCAAGTCAGTAAAAATACAAAATATTGCTTTTATCAAAATGAATCAAATGAATGAGGGAATTCTGCCCCAAATAAATCTTTATTCCATTTGAAGTACTTAATGTCTAATTATTCTAGTAGTTCACTTGAGTCACTAACTTCCCCAGAAATCTCCAAAGTACACTGTAGTTCTCACCTGCGGGTCCTATGTTTCCCATGCCAATGCCTTTATTCAGGTGATTGGCATCAATAGGCTGTCCTCCTGGGCCTAACCCCATGCCAATACCACCAAGTCCATCTGAAAAGAAAAGAGAAAGTTGGAACTGTAGATTAGACTTAGAAAAGCATATCCTTCCAAGGCAAAAAGTCTTTGTTTACTGTGTTGTAAATGTCACACTCCATTCCCATCCATCCACTTCCACAAGCAAACCTAGGGCCTAATTCGAAATTCAACACTGGTACATTTGGGAGCTATCCCTTTCAAGATGTAACTTGTCTCTCTCTCTTTTTTTTTTTTTTAAGATTTTATTTATTTATTTGACAGAGAAGGGGGCAAGCACAAGCCAGGGGAGCAGCAGGTTCCCTGAGGAGCAGGGAATAGGATGCAAGGCTCAGAGCTCATCCCAGGACCATGACCTGACTTGAGGTGAAGGCAGAACTTAATTAACTGAGCCACTGAGCCACCCAGGCACCCATCAAGGCATAACTTTTCATATGCAATTAGATTTGAGTTTGTGATATATATAAAACAAAGACAAGTTAAAAAAAAAAAAAAACAGGCCTCTTAAAAATTACAGAAAATTACGAACTCACATGTAAAAATCATGGACATTTATTTACTTCCTGTATCTCAAACTGAGAAACACCTGATTATAAAAGACAATTAACATCAGGTGGCCAGCAGCGCAAATATACCTAATCTCCACCTCCCAACCTGGTACCCCAAAAGACTTTTCCCAAGAAAAAGCAATGCTATAAACCAGCCAATTAACACTGGGCATACACTGTTCTCTGACTCCACTGTGGGCTGTTTTCAAAACAGTGAAGCTCGTGTATCTTCTGCCCAGAAAGCTTCCTAATCTGTGGGGATCAATATACACAGTTCACTCTCAACTCCATGCTCCACAAGGCAGGGATATTAATAGAGACTGGTCTCAAAATAGCCAACAAGACCTGATAGTGTAAGACATTTGTGATGCTCTGAGTGACCGCGGTCTGAGGCTTAAACCAAGATCAGGTAAAATATTTTTAAATGGGAACCAAATACTTGTAAATGGGAACCAAAACAAAACAACAAACCCTGATACCAAGGGGGCCTGGGTGGCAAGGTCATGATCCCAGGATCCTAGGATCCTAGGATTCTGCTCCCTGCTCAGCAGGGAACCTACTTCTTTCTCCCTCTGCTCCTCTCCCTTCCCCTGCTCTCTCTCACACACAGGCTTTCTCTCTCTCAAATACATAAATAAAAAATCTGGGCAGCCCGGGTGGCTCAGTGGTTTAGCTCCACCTTTGGCCCAGGGCCTGATCCTGGAGACCCGGGATCGATTCCCATGTCAGGCTCCCTGCATGGAGCCTGCTTCTCCCTCTGCCTGTGTCTCTGCCTCTTTCTCTTTCTGTGCATCTCTCATGAATAAATAAATAAAATCTTAAAAACAAAAATCTTAAAAAAACATACACACAAAGAAACCCTGATACCAGTTCCCAGATATTTAATCTGTTTAATGGCCCTGTGTTTTTAAATTGCATAGAAACAGCAGCAAGAGATCACCAAGGTTACTTACTCCCCAAGGCTGCCTCTGAAATGTGGTGGGAGACCAAAAGCCATGGATAATGGACTCCCTAGGGTCCAGTGTGTGCCAGCCAAGGCTCCCAAATAGCCCTCATCCCACCTCCTCCAGGCACAAAAGTCAACAAGAGCCATCACCTTGATCCTGGGTTACCAATGCCAAGTGGTCACATTCATTAGGACAAAGAACTATGATCTTTCTCTAAAAAAATGTTAATTTTCAACAGATAAGCCACGTTCTACTCTTAAAGCCACTGACCTCCCCTCAAAGTCCACCTCCATTATGCTTCCATAATGTTAAACCAAAAAGGCATTCATTTTAGTGTTCTAGTCTAGGCTCCCATTCAATTCAATCTAATGCTGGGCCTTAGGCTTGACCTCCTCCAAAACCCAGACATTCCCTGGCCCTCAGAACAGACCCACTCCACCAGCATCACCTAGTATAAGTTCTCCCAAACACAGTACAAGCAAGGCCCCCTTCTCCTGTCACCTAACTCCCAGGCTTCCGTGTGACTCCCTGGCCCTCCCACTGCTGCCTATGCTCAGGCTTGTCTCAGTCCTGTGGGCTTGCCAGAAAACATGCCTAGAGCTTCACTCATACGCACTATTTCCATCTGTGAGGTGATTAGTCACCTAGCCTTCCCTGTCACAGGACAGACTCCCCCTATATAAAAATCTGGATGGGGAATCTCTGGGTGGCGCAGCGGTTTGGCGCCTGCCTTTGGCCCAGAGCGTGATGGCCCAGAGCGTGATCCTGGAGACACAGGATCGAATCCCACGTCAGGCTCCCGGTGCATGGAGCCTGCTTCTCCCTCTGCCTAGGTCTCTGCCTCTCTCTCTATATATATAACTATCATAAGTAAATTAAAAAAAAATTAAAAAAAAAATCTGGATGGGGCAGCCCAGGTGGCTCAGCGGTTTAGCACCGCCTTCGGCCTAGGGTGTGATCCTGGAGACCCAGGATCGAGTCCCATGTCAGGTTCCCTGCATGGAGCCTGCTTTCTCCCTCTGCCTGTGTCTGTGCCTCTCTCTCTCTCTGCGTGTGTGTGTCTCTCATGAATAAATAAATAAAATATTTAGAAAATCTGGATGGCTGCACTTCACATTCCGTAAGATACACCCATTCAAAGTATATGGTTCAGTGAGCTTTAGGTTTAGTTGGGGTTGCATACAACTATTACCACCATCTAATTCCAAAACACTGTCATCACACCAAAAACAACTCTCCACTTACCCCTCTCCCCAGGCAACCACTAATCTACTTTCTGTTGATGGATTCACCTGTTTTGGACATTTTCTACATATGGAACCAAGAGTCATCCATGCTGTGGCAGCTATCAGCACTTGATTCCCTTTTATTACTAACACCCCACTGTATAAATTTACCACATTTATCCACTTATCAATTGAAATCATGTTGCTAGGAACATCCACATATAAATTTCTCTGTGGACATAGTTTTTGGTTCTTTGGAGCACACCTAAGAGTGGCATTGTTGGGCCATACAATACTAACCAATCTGTTCTGAACCCAAGCGCAACTTGGTTTTAATTCACTATGCAGTTTCTGGTTCTTCCTCTCACAAGACACTTTCAAAACACCCAATTACATTCTCTAGGATGTAGTCTACCTCACCACAAAAGTAATCCTAACAACCTTCCTAAGCTATGAATTTCTGTTCATTTTTTTTCTTAAGATTTTATTTATTCATGAGAGACACAGAGAGATGGGGGGGGGGGCAAAGACACAGGCAGAGGGAGAAGCAGGCTCCATGCAGGGAGCCCAATGTGGGACTTGATCCTGGGACTCCAGGATCGCGCCCTGAGCCAAAGGCAGATGCTCAACCGCTGAGCCACCCAGGGATCCCCCTCTGTTCATTTTTCACCCTGAAAAATAGATATTAAAACAAAAACAAAAACCTTTTTGGAACTTTCCTTCAAGAACGATCAAGATAACTGCAGAATACCACGGCACAAACTCAAGGGTAGTTTTCTGGTTAGCCTTAACCAAATTCAAAATCTAAGCCATATTGACACTACTTACGGGGAAGTTGCTGTGGACGCTCAGGAGGGAAAAAATCTCCTTTTGGTAAGGCCCTTTCATCCTGAAAAAGTAAGTAAATAAATCTTAGTATTTCTTGAAGCACAGCTTCCAACAGCAAAAGATGGAAACAACTCCCAACAATAGAGGACTGGATAGGAAATTACAATCCACCCGTGCCATGGAATAACACACAAATCTAAAAAAATATATGGAAAAATACCTTTTGTATAAAGGAGGGAAGGATAAAAATATACATCCATGTTGCTATGGGGAATGAATGGGACCTGGGCAAGACTCTCACACTGCATCTTTTTCAGGCATTTTGACTTTTGAGTCATGTAAAGCAATTATCTACTCAAAACACCAAATTTAATGTTTGAAATAACTACAATACCCCTTACAATTCATTTTATATTCTTCCTGAATTTGAGCCCTACCTAGATTGCCCCCAGCATATTCTAGTCATGCATGTATTAATTCATGACCCGTGGCAAAGCCACAGCAGGGCTAAGGTTTATAGTGCTGAAGTGCTTCAACAGAAGTTTAAAGGCTATATGAACCAAAGACTTAATATGTTCACAACAGATATGATACTGGCTAAACTTTCTAATGCAATACAATGAAAAGCAGAAATCCATGTACATAACCATTCTTTGATCACTTTCTTAAGCAGGATACTCAACTGACCCCCATGCCGAAAACAAGCAACTGTGCAAAGGAAAAAATACCTGAAGAGCTGCATGAGCAGGCAAAAAGTTGTTTCTGTCCTATATTTGCTCAACATACTGCAGACTACTTTAACATAGACCGATCCATAAATGGATCGGTAGAGTCCCTATGCATACTCTTAATAATCCCATGTTTTTGCTGGAGTTATTTGAAAGTATTATGCAGAAAGAGAGCCTATTAACTTACCATTTTCACGTGCATTGGTCTATCAAATAGCAGTTGACCATTAAACATAGCTGATATTACAATTAAGGTTATTTCTTACAATTCTAAAAACATGCACAGGAGAGAAATACATGAGAAAAATACTTCAACTGCAACCAGTCCCTCTCAGTAGTGAACTTATGAGCAATTCTGATTTTTCATTATATTTTTAAAATGTTTCTATAAACAAACAAATAAATAAATAAAAATGTTTCTGTAATAAGCATAAAAGCAACAATAAATAAAACTCAAGGGTGGGAGGGGGAGTAAATGTCAGCTTACTTCTTAGGTGTGGAGTTTCATTTGTATAACCCTACACTTCTCACCAGATCATCCTCTTAAGTACTGGCATGAGTATTCTGTAGGTGTCCAATGGGTACCCCACCATTTTTTGAAGCACCATATTTTCTGTGTAAGATACACACTAATAGACTTAAGCTGAGTTTAGTGACCGTGTCCATGTATGGCATTTTACACTGTGATTACAAAGAGATAACTCTAGGGTCAGAGACAAGTGCTTCTTCTAGAATGAGTCAATCCAGCGGAGAAATAGGGCCAAGAACTTATATATGAAATAACAATATAGAATTTCTCTTCTTTATAGACTTCTCCCCTCAAACCATACTCCTCTAAAAAGAGAACGATGGAAAAGACCACTCATGGGCATGTGCCTTTTTTCTCCCTACGCAGTACCAAATCCATTCGATCAGAGAGAACTTTCAAATTCCACAGTAATGCATTCCCTCTAGTCACTCAGGAAATATTAACATACAAAGTTACCACTTCCAAAAAGAAAAAAAAAAAAAAAAACCCTATTATTAAAGACAACATTTAGGCCAAATTGTTCACCAAGAGTTAAATTCTGATAAAAGGATACATATGGCTTGCACAGCTTCAATGGACTGCTCAAAAGTAACAGTGCCTATTCCACGACTTTTTCCATCTTTATCCTCAAGAATGTCTGCTCGGACCACCACACCAGCCATACTAAAAACTTCCTTCAGCTTCTTCCAGCCAACTTTATAATCCAGCTAACCAAGACAAAGGAGAAAAAAATTCTCAATGCAGACATCTTTTAGAAAAACCATTTTCATTATATGAGTGCAATATGCTTTGGATCGAAATAAACATTTAAAAATAACGTGACATTATTTTTATTATACTGGGTGCCTGGCAGGCTCAGTCGGTAGAGCATGTGGCTCCTGATCTTGGAGTCATGCATTAAGCCCCAAATGGGTGTAGTGCACTTAATAAAAAAGATTTTAATAAACATAAATAAATAAATAAAATTTTTAAATGTCACAAAAATTTATCACCTGCAGTGGAATTTTTTTTTTAATTTTTATTTATTTATGATAGTCACAGAGAGAGAGAGAGGCAGAGACACAGGCAGAGGGAGAAGCAGGCTCCATGCACCGGAAGCCCGACGTGGGACTCGATCCTGGGTCTCCAGGAGGCGCCAAACCGCTGCGCCACCCAGGGATCCCTGCAGTGGAATTTTTCAAGTAGGATTATGAAGCCTGGCCTTAACAGCTATTCACTGTCTCTTTCCTCTGAAAGAACAGGTTAAATCAACTCATACCTTTCAAATTAATGCTTATTTTGTGAATATTTAAAAAAAATTTTTTCTTCCCCAGCTTACGTTCACCATCATCCTCCCCAACCCACTTTCCTTTAAAAATATTTCCCTTTGCAAATGGCAAGAGCATCATCTTTCATCCCAGACACAAGAAGAAGGGAAACATCAGCGCTGTGGATATACTTTTCCGACCTGAACCTAAATAAACCCACAGGAAATGCAGACTCCACTACCACTTCTGTAACCAGAAAAAGTCAGTAAACATGGTCCCAATAGACCATTGTCAGGCCTGTGACGTATCACTACAGTAATCACTATGGCAGAAAACCCAACTTCAAAGCACAGATCAAGAAAAGAGCACACCCTCCCCCTTTCTTAAAAAAAAGATTTTACTTATTTGAGAGAGAAAGAAGAGCACAGAAGGATAGGGAGAAGTAGACTTCCCGCCAAACAGAGAGCCTGACATGGGGGTCCATCCCAGGACCCTGAGATCTGACCTGAGACGAAGGCAAATGCTTAACTGACTGAGCCACCCAGGCACAGAAGCATAACCCTCTTTAAATTTTTTCTTCTCAAACATCAGAACTACTTTTATAACATATTAACAACATTATTTCATAAAGTTCTGATTTTCTACTTTAGACAATGTTTCTGTTTACTTACATTTGCTACAAATACCGTGCTTCCAAGTCTTCCAGCCTGTAATGCATGGATAATCTCATTTGGGATGTTAGGATTATTTAGGATACTGGGTGGGATATTAATCATTCCTGGGCCACCTGGTCCCATACCCATCCCACCGGTCGTAGCCATCACCTTTTGCATTGCTCTCCTGGCATGTTCACCATCAGGATCCTAAAACAAGCACAGAAGTGTTAGGTTTAACTGACTCAGTGATAACTAAGATCATGATCTCACAAAAAGTGATATTCCCAAAACTCCAGAGATTGAGAGGTTGTTTGAAAAGCATTTCTTGAGATCTATAACAAGAAATTCAAATGAACTCAACCATCAGGCTAGGAAGAATTCCAGCCAAAGGAATGAGGAAGAAAGAAACGGTGTAAAATTTAACTCTCAACTTAACTGAAAGGGAGGTGGGGTAGGGTGGATGACATGATTAGTTGATATAATATAGAACACTTCCAGACGGAAATAAGATCTTCACAGGCTTGGTATAGTTGAGTCTCACTAATTTTCAATGGGGCTTTGTAATTTCTGATAATCCAATCAGTGATTTTTTTTTTCCCAAAGTTTGAAAACGCAGTTCTAGATCACCGAGGTACTCCAGTCCTTCATGTTATTCAGGCGTTGGACTCATGTAAGGTCTGCATAGGTTTGTGAAACTCTGGCATTGACACTAGTCTTGAACTCTTTGCCCTTTCATCAGGTGTCTCTTCAACACACAGAAACCTTAAACCCTACCACATTCTCCTGAGTTCTGAATATACTGATTTTCCTCTAAGAAAAACTCAAAATGGGATCCCTGGGTGGCGCAGCGGTTTGGCGCCTGCCTTTGGCCCAGGGCGCGATCCTGGAGACCCGGGATCGAATCCCACGTCGGGCTCCCGGTGCATGGAGCCTGCTTCTCCCTCTGCCTGTGTCTCTGCCTCTCTCTCTCTTACTGTGTGCCTATCATAAATTAAAAAAAAAAAAAAAAATTTAAAAAAAAAAAAAAAAGAAAAACTCAAAATAAGTCAGGGAGAGACGTAATTGACAAAAACTTCCCTCTCCCTCAAAAGAGAAAAGATCTCTGGTTTGGATTAGATATGAAAGTAGATTAATGATAAATTCGCTTTAAAAAAAGAAAAAAAGGTTGACTAAGAATAGGGTTCAGGCTGGGTAAAACCGTAGACGAAGATTCCCTTAACGTGTACGTGTGCACACACGCGCACACACCATGTGGGCTTGGTCTGAGTACCCCTGATAAAACAAGGCAGGCTGCTCTAAGCCAAATCACAGATGTTAGGAAGGCAGCAGTTGCTCAGGATGTGCTCGGCCACTACTCCAAAGTTCTTATAGGAGTGACTACTGAAGCCTGTGACTGACCCTCTTCATTAAAAACAGGTTGGTCTGCTCCGTAAAATGTAGTCAAGGACTATGTGTGTCTTTTCCTAATTCCAAACAGGGACAACTCGACAATTATAAATGGTATCCACATTGTTTCAAGAGCTTACTTCTTTGACTTTCAGTGGTCTTCCACTCAGACTATGCTTGTTTAGAACTTCGGCAGCTTTTTTCATGCTTTCTTCCATCTTGAATTCAACAACGCTATGAAGAGTCAAAAGGAGATGAGTGAAACCAGTCCTGCAATTTAGAAGGCTCAATTGCCAATAAGTAACTAGACAATACTTACGCACATCCCTTTGGAGGAAGCCACAGACCAGTCAGAAGAGCAAGGAAAGGGGAGAAAAAAAAGAAAAGAAAAGCATAGTAAATATCAATGACAATTATATAAATTACAAGTATGATTTATGTAACAAAGTTAGTTTTTAAATTAAACCCTTCTAATGGGAAGCTCACAGGAATGTCTTGCCTAGCCTTCCTTATTAAAAGCTGGGCTCCTTATTCTCTCCTCTGCCTGCACATTACCAGCATTGCACTATACTTGCTGAGGTTATAAGCAGACCTAAATTCAGGTTCTCCAAGAAATCACACAAACTTTAGATCTGCTTCTCTCTGTACTCAAATCAATTCCTTATCATACTCCTCCTAAATCCATCCCTTCCATAAATTAAAGCTCATCCTTTGATTATTCTAAGCCATTCTATTGCACGACAAAATAATTTATTTTCTCTTTAAACTAGGCCAATTTTAAACGTTCAGGTTTTAAAATTTGTTTTACAATTTACTGGCACAAAGGCGACTTTTCGGAAATCTTTGGTTCACACAACTTTCAAATTCAGCAAACGACCAAGAATAACATTTTCTAGACAAGAACACACGTTTTACATTAATATACCACCGCTAAAATTCCATGCATAATTCACACACAGCCAATTCCTCTGTTAACAAAGAGACAATGCTGCTATTGGTCCCCAGTTATCCAAATTGGGCATCCAAACAGAATACCAAAAAGCTCTTTGGCCAGCCATTTGGAAAAGCGGGACTCCCATTTGCAAATCCCCTCCCACCCCACTCAAATGTTTGGCAAAATCAAACATAGCTACTATAACATGAGCACTCACTGCCTTCCTGATTTCATTCGATTCCACGCCACCATACAGTTACATTTTTCAAGTAGTAAATCCACAGAAGAAATTCTCTCAGACACTTACCCTTGACTTTCCTTCAGCGTCCATTAAGAGCTCCACGTATGTTACCTCACCAACTACAAATCAGTTTCCAGACGACACATAAACCAAGGGAGAAAAGCCAAGAAAACAATGGGAATTTAGAACAATCATCAGCAACCTTGTATGGAGCCTCTGCCTTATAAGAAAGCCCAGAAACACTCCATATTCTCTAAACCACCAAACTAGGCATTACAGGTGTGCAGTAAAAGTAGGTGAGACTCATTAACAATTATGTCCTTGATTTTCCTCCCACCACAAACAAGCTATTTCCACAGATTTCCATATCAATTTCCCTGTCTCGAATACTCAATCATGACTAGAGGCAATCCAAATCTATCGGAAAGAAGTCTGCATGATTCACTCTTTTGGGGAAAGGAGGAAAACAGTTGTACACAATATAATCTCATGGGTGAAAGCAGGCAAACTGCACACAAGCTGCAATGCCACCGAACCGAGCTTCAAATGCTAAATATAAGAATGTGCAAGTATAATACGCTCAAAGGCAAACACACAGTATGGCTGACTACATGGGTGCAACCATGCACTCACTGGAGGGCCACGTGCTTAGTTTAATGCTCTGTTATCTTGAAATCCTTAATTTTTTTAACAAGAGGCCTTGCATTTTCATTTTGCATGGGGCCCCACAAAATCTGTAGCTGGTCCTGCACATGGCATCAGGCTCCAGAACTGTCAAGAATAAGATATTTGAGTATCCGATCATAAAACCAGAGCAGCATCTGGATTCTCTTCAGTGAATTAAGCCAGGCTTTATCTTTCCTGCCAACCTTCCCATTGAAAAATACAAATGCAAATTTAGAGTTCAGTTTGCAACTAAACAAGTTAAGAAGACTCACCAGATTGAGATTCGGAACTACACAAAGGGAGGTGGGGAAACAAAGTATTTCAAAAGATTCAGCAGATTTTCCTCAAGGTTTGGATTGCCAATTCATGACCACCAAGACCAGATTTTAGAACCCATCAAGAAGACAACCACCAAAATGGCTGCTGAACTTGAAGATGGCACAAAGACAACAGTAATTAAAAGTGTTAACTTGGAGAAAACAATCTCTTAAGCAGGTTCTCCAAAGTCAAGAAAGTGCTTTTGTCCTCAGGAATATTCTTTTTTTTAAAGGATTATTTTTATGATAGTAAAGTCTTCTCCAATTCTGTGTTCAACTTTGGTTTAACAGTACAAGGGCAAAAGTAAACCTCTAATGGCCTCAACAAGTCCTGCCTATTCTAAATCCTTTGCTTAAAGGATATTCAAATTACGAGGATTTTTAAATTAATAATAGCAAGGAAAGATTTAAACGTAAGATAAAATTACTTTTAAAATAAAATTAACAATTTGAAGGGCATGTCTATTAGTAACATATTTGCATGGGAGTTGACAACAAGGCCAAGTATTCAAAGTCACCTCCCCTTGTCCTTTCATGGAATGTTACAGAACCAAACCAGCACTTTGCACAAAACAGGAGAATCAGTGCAAAGAAATGAAGTAAAGTATAGGGACTGGTATAAATTTTGGAGTTACATACTCCAGTGGGACAAACTGAAAATGATCACAGCCAAGGGACAGTCAGGCAAATTATCCTTATTTTACCCAGACAAAAGTAAAGCAATTCCAAAAAAGGTGGCCATTCCTGAGGCCATGTTTTTAAAAAGCCATTCATTTCAACAGCAGCAGCCATTTGAGGACCAACAGCCTTATCTCCACTTTAATAAAAATGCCAAATAGTGTCAAGACAGTAAGAGACCTCAAATTTATTTTCTACAAGCTGTGACTACCATCTAGTAACCTTAAAAATAAATCATCACAATATCTAACTCAAGACAACTGTAACTATGTTGTCAAATATCAAATACTGTTGCATATAAGTTTCTAGTCTGTGTCCATAAAGACACTTTATCAAAAAAAACTGTCACTGCAATCTAGAAACCAACCAAGTCCAAACCAAATTTTTTTCCTAAAAAGCTAGGTTTAGAAATTAGGACTTTTCCACTTAACATTCTAGTGATGGCACACATCCAACTTCAATCCTTAGCACCAAAACTGCTGAAAATGTCCCTTTTTGTTTTTCCCCAAATGGTATAGTTGTTTAGTAAAAACAAAAAAAAAAAAAAATTACATTAAAAAGCCCCTCGTCCTATCAGTTCAGCCACAGGTTAGGCAGTCAGTAGTGTTTTTCCCAAGGGAGCATCGATAATAACCATGATCCCTCATACATTCCCAACTTCTACCCTGAGAGACTGCATCAATTCAGAGATGTAAGCAAATTAGGGTTACAGGATCTGCAAGATGTGCTAGTACACACTTTAATGAAGACCACCCCTCTTTTAGTTCTACAGTATTAAAGACCCGTTTAGTGTGGTCAGTACAACTAGCAACAAAACATTGAAGATAAAATTTGCCACCTATGCATAGTCTGGTCACATCCAAAAAAATGAAGTTTAAAAAAACAAATCAACCAGAGCAGATGCTTTACTACTGAGAGACAGAGGTAACAAACTGGCCATAGCAACAGTCTTGCCCAGATGGAACTCACGGGCATTGATGGATAACACTGTTGCTCCTCCCCCTTCCTGCGCACGGACAGGATCCATGGAATCCAAAAGGAGCTGTTAGTAAATTCTACTGCAGCTTTAAACATCAAAACATCCAAACGAAAAAACTAAAAGTGAAAAATCTAATACCAGATGTTTTCACCTACCTTTTTTAAAAAATGCTCCAACAAATTACCTTTAGCCAACATTTACAATTTAAAACATTGCCTCGGGCATAAAAACATCAAAAGGATCAGAATGAACAAGCAACCCAAGTCAGGCAGACACAAGGAGCTGCTGTGATTTAACACACCTGCATAAATTTTTTTTAAATCACAAACAGTACCTATAATCTGTGTTCTCATTTAGTCTGAAATGGACTCAAAAAATAGAGGGAGTACAGAGGCCAAAACTTCACTGAAGAGAATTCATATGTGAAAAGGTCTATAATTTAAAGGCGAGGGTAGAGAGTAAAGGCTCAAAAAAAGCAGGGCACGTTATTGAACACTCATCCCTCACGTGGCCACTCTGATAGAGGGGCACAGAGTACCAATGCGTACTCTAATTTGGGAAGCTCATGTCTTTAATATACAGACAACTCGAAACCTGGCAAAATAACTACAGAAGGACCACTTGATTTATGGATGAGCTAGAAAAATTATTGAGCCCATTCTTGCTTCTACTTCCACAGCAACAGGAGAAGAGCACTACTTCTCTAACTGAACCAAAAACTAGTACTTACTAAGTGAAGGCAGGCTACACAGTCAGGGTTCAACCCAAGTTGCCCAGAGACACAAATGTGTTAGCATAACAGGTCTTCACAAAGTGCCAGCTGAATTTCCAGAAAAGGAAAATATGAAGGAACAAATAGACTGGATGTGGATTTTTACTTCAACTGAAAATAAAATTCGGCTCCCTAGAACTCACAATGTAGGTTGTCTTCAAGAGCCAACTACACTTGGACTACACTTGCCCTCTGGGCCTCAGTTTTCTCTGGAATTTGAAATTTACTTAAAGCAATCCATCAGGGGGGATCCCTGGGTGGCTCAGCAATTTGGCGCCTGCCTTTGGCCCAGGGTGTGATCCTGGAGTCCCGGGATCGAGTCCCACGTCGGGCTCCCGGCATGGAGCCTGCTTCTCCCTCTGCCTGTGTCTCTGCCTCTCTCTCTCTCTCTCTCTCTGTGTGTGTGTCTATCATAAATCAATCAATCAATCAATCAATCTTTTAAAAAAAAGCAATCCATCAGGGGTGCCAGGGTGGTTCAGCAGGTTAAGCTTCTGACTCTAGATTTTGGCTCAGGTCATGATCTCAGGGTTGTGGAATCAGGAAACACAGGGCTTCCACACTCAGCATGTGGAATCTGCTGGAGATCCTCTGCCTTTGCCCTTGTGGGTGCTCTCAAGTACACATGCTCCCTCTCTTGCTCGCTCTCTCTCAAAATAAATCTTAGGGGAAAAAAAAAGTGATCCATTAAATGAAGACAGAAGGATTAAGTGCTTAAAGAAATCTTTGCTTACACAAGTTAAACTGACTGCTGGTAAACTTGGGATTTATAGAGAGTAAACTCCATTACTGACTTTCCTTTATTCCTCAAACTGTGCTCCATGTTTACTCACTGCAGGTCCAACTCAGGCCTGTCTCTTTACAAATGCCCTACCTCGATGGAGCCAACTCCCTGGTTAGGCCAGGAGAACAAGCAGCCTAATAATGAGCTTTCTTCATCGACACAGGACTTCACAGTAATGTGGCACAACACTATGTTTAAAATCCCCAAGGTCACCTTTTTCCCCCAGTCCTTATGGCCAACGCTTTTCATGTGATCTCAATCTGGCCGATGATGTAAATCAGGCAGGCTGTGAGACTGTGAAAGCATCTGCAAACCTGGTGTGACAATCTCCAATTCTAATCTATTACACTGGCTCTCAATTTTTTTTTTCAATTCAGCAACTCTTTGGTGTTCACAGCAGCCATTTGTTCCATGTACTATCTGTTAAAAAATCAGCATGATCAAAAGGAAGAACAACAGAATCCTTTCCTTGTTCCATCAGGACACTTAGAGCAGGAAGGGGAAAGTTCATCATTCTATTCTATAGGCTGCAAAAACTGTTTAATCCACATCCCTAACTTGGGGGTGGAGGATCCGTAGCAAAAAGAAAAAAAAAGGCAGCCAGACTCAGAAGGAGACAAAGCTCTCAATACATTTTCTCTTTAAATTTAGCAATGCTAATTTCATGACAGTGGTGCCACCAAACAAGCCTTATTACCCCATCCAGGGGAAAAAGCAAAGTGACCAATCCACATAATACATGTATCTTTAGTAGGATCTCCTGGAATGCTACTAAATGCTAAAATTTAAGACGGAGAATATACATTTGGTGGCCAAGAAGGGCGGAAAGATGAATTAGGGAGGGGTCCTGGAGGCAATCTCAAGGCATGATTAGCCTTAGAAAAGCTCCTGTCTTGCCCCCTTCAAAGCTACTAGATTTACTTCTGAGAGACCGCAATTAGATAGTATGGCAGGGACAGGACATTTTCCAGACCTATAAGTTGAAGACAACAAATACTAACTTATTCAGATGGTTTCCTGAAACACCAGAACTCTTAAAATGCAAACCTATCAAGAGTGGTTGGGTTGTATGTAATAAGCCAAGTCTCCGTTGCTGGCCCACTCTGGAGAGGACTTTGAGACCCACGCTTTTAGGGTGTTAAGTGCCCCTAACTGCAATAACAAGTCTTCAAAAAATGAAAACTTACTTGCAACAGGTTTTAAGTAAATACTTCAAATTTCAAATAACCACCTAAACATTATCAGTATACCAACACAAAAATATAATTGCAACTTTAAACCTCATAATAAAAACATGAACATTTTTAAGGAGACCTATATATGTGAACAGTAAAATTCTTCAGAAATCACATGATGAACAGAAGTATTACCATGAAATTACCTTTCTCTTATGAATCCCTTTCGCCCACAATACTACACACGTAATTTAAACAAAAATAATTATTTAACCTATACAGGGGAGCTCTAAACAAGAACATTTTAAGATTTGTTTATAATAACTTATTTACTGCACACCTGTAATTCTAAATTACACCACCAAAAAAGTACACTGAAAGGGCTGAGCCAGGGCATTCGTAGCAGTATGCCAGGAGAATATGAGAACCAGTTTGGAAGTATCCAAATAAACCACCAGGCTGGCCCCACACTTAATACAGTGCAATAGGAAATTGAGGTGAACTGCTTCTACATCCAGAAACGTCATGGCTGCTGCTACCAGCTTAAGGCTTCCAAAACTGAATTACTGAATGGTAAAGCAGTAAAAATGTCACCTACTTTATCCATCATGTCCCAAAACTGGTTCACACACTCCTAAAAATAAAAAAATAATTTGGCCTGCAATCTCTTACAAAATTCTACAATTGCATTTTCAAAGCCACATTCCTGGTTCTTGGAACTACTATACCTTATTATCAATGAAGTATCAATTCAGCGGTTCAACCAAATCACGAGAACACAAATTTTTGGGGGTTATTCCAAAAACAAATTCGAATGAGACCCAACTGTACTGTACAGAAATTCTAAACTTGTATTGAAGCAGCAGTCCCAAAAACCAAGAACACTGCATCTGGGATGCCACATGACACGCCCTTCAGACAAAAAGAAACTTCACTCTTGCCCTAGGAGCATTGGCAGGAATGATTTGGCTGATCAAGGCAGGAAAACAAATCTCACACCAAACGTTTTTCCATCCGTGTTATCTGGAGAACTACTACATGGGAGCAGCCTACGTGAATGTACAGAGAAGTTCACAGTGCCTAGTGCTTCTGGCATGTCATGGTCAAATTAAGTGATGGGACAATGATGGCAGTGGGCCCGTCATAAGTTCAAAACCCAATGCTGGAAGCACCAGTACAAATACCAAAATGGCCTATTCCAAGTGGCATCTCTGCCACTGAAATGTTAAATCATTTGACAATTCAAGCTTGAATCTCTTTTCATTATGAATGCTCCAGAAAACCAATACCTTTCAGTCCTTCAAAAAGACTCCATTTAAGGGTAATTTGATTCTAGGTTTCCCTTGGGGGAGACCTCAAGGCATCAGACAAATTGTCTCTATCAATAGTTTTGTCTAAACCAGGGCTGAGCAATCTCTTTAAGCCCTGAGTGCCACCAGCAGGGCCAAGAATCAGGAAAGAAAGGAAGACAAAAGCAGCAGATCAAGAATGTGGAAAGAAAGAGGATACATATGGTGTGCAAGGGTGTGAGGCAGAGGACCATGGAGACAACCAGCCTCCTAGGACCTCCTGGTGGCAGCAGAGCTTCAGTTGCTTCCCCTGCCTTGGGCCAGAATCTGGACACTGGGCCACTACTAAAGTGCACCTGAAAGCACAGAGTTAGGTAACAGATGCCTTATTTTGAACTCTCCAATTGCCAATCTAACCTGGGAATCCTCCCCCCCCAGGGGGGGGGCTAACAGTTTAAATACAAGCTAATGTTTTAGAATTTAGAATCTGAGCAGCACAAGTTCCAACTACCAAATTTTGATCCCAGGAAGACATCCAAAGAATTTAAACAAACTACCTTCCCTCCAGAATTAAAAAGCTTAAAAAAAATTTTTAAGGAAAAACCTCTCCCACCTATTATGAAGAAATCAAAAAATTTCCTCAACACAAAGAGGCTCCCCTCAAGCTTAATCGAAGCCCTATTAACCATATTAAGCCAGTAAATTCATTTGTAGGCCAAAGGACCATACAAACCACCCTGTTTGACACACAGGTGCATGACCACACAAAAAAAGTAGGGTGGGTAAAGCGGCTTAACTCTCAAGCCTGGACAGAACACATGCTCTACCCAGATCAACTTCCACTGACAAAAAAATAACCAAGGAATTAGCCACAGAAAAGATGACACATCAACCTTCTTACCCTACTCGACCACCAGTACCATTACCTTTTTCTTTAACCAGGTCTTTAAGTGACTGCCATTTCACATCAAAAGGTATGTTTGTAATGAAGGCTCTGTATCTTTTAGTTGGATTGGCATATGGCTCAAAGCGATTGCCTCCTCTTTTTATGTTTTTCTCCTTCCTCTTCTCATTCTGAGTAGGTCGCTCTCCTTCACTGAATTCGAAGGGAAAAAAAGGGTCCATATGTTAGCACAATATGAAAGACAGTATTTGATTTGCCAGGTTTACAATTCCACGCAGTTACATCTAACACAAGACTAATATTGACTTTCGTCTGACACATTCAAACTTAAGTACTCATAGAACAAAAAGGTACAGTAGCGCACTCCTTAAAACCCACCAATCAAGGAGCCCAAGAAACTGTGCTCTGCTAACCCTTCATACATTCCTAGGGGCTTTAACAGAGATGGGAGCAAGAGGCTAACTCCCTGTGCAAGGTGCTTTAATTTCATGCCAGAAACCGGAAAACAGAAGGGAAGATTTGGAAGACTTCATAGAACAGAAATGAGCTGGTGCATATAGGCCCAATCAACTTTAATTTCACAAAACGATCTTTTTGGTGTGGGGGGAAAAACATTTTTTTTAAGTAGGAATATAAAATGGTGCAGCCACTATGGACAACTTTAGCAATCACTCAAAAAGTTAAAACACACAATTACCATATGACCCAACAATTCCACTCCTGGGTACAAATCCAAAAGATGTGAAAAGAAGGAGCAGATACTTGTACACCAAATAGCATTATTCATAAGAGCCAAGAGGTGGAAACAACCCAAGGGTCCACCAACATATGAATGGAATGAACAAAATGTGGTATAGCCATACAATAGAATATTATATTATTCAGCTGGCTGTAAAAGGCATGAAATGCTGATAGATGCTGCAACACAGATGAAGTCTGAAAACATTATGCTAAGCAAAATAAGCCAGGCAGAGAGACTGTCTCTAACAGAAGAAAGGTTACCATAAGCTGGAGAGAGGTGGGAACGGGTAGTTACAGTTCAATAGATGAGAGTTTCTGTGTGGAATAAAGTTCTGAAAATGGACAGTGGTATAATATATAAGATAGAACTTAATGCCACTATACACTTAAAATGGTTAAAATGGCTAACATGGCAAATTATATATTATATATATATCCACCAAAAAAAGGATCCTTTTAAGGGAAAGAAGCCATTCCCTATACTGCCCTAGGAAAACCAGAAGTCTGAGCAACCCAGGTAGGTAAAAGACAACACACAAGGTGAAAAGATTCCACCTTCAGCAAAGAGTGAATGAATACTTTTTTGGCATGGCTTTTCCTATAATACTCTTTTACCTTTGTGAGTCAGGATCTTCACACTGTAACACTTCATATCTAAGCTCTACAGATACAAATTCGGCATTTAGATTAGGACAGATTAGGACATGACAGAAGTTTCACAAGAAAAGCAAACTTCAAAAGCACAGAACCAGACATCAGGCTGGGGGTCTAGGCCATAGCACAGAGAAACAGACCAGTGTGTACAGCCAGGGCACCATGCACTGGCCAAGTAACCCTCTTCCATGAGTCACCCACTCACGTTCAGTCCTCTGTGACCACAGGCAGACACCTGTGAAAGGTGACTAGGAACAAGGGAATCCAGCAGACACAGGAAGTTCCTCTCACTTCCCACACTATGTCCTATACTTTCTGCTTACCAAGCCCTATGCTTTTCACCAGTGAAAATCCAGCAACTCCCAAACCACAGAGTCTAGCAGACTTTGTGATCCATGACAAAAATGGAAAAAAACAAAAAGCCAAAATTATGGCATTAATGATTTATAAACCTACCTTTATTTATTTAAAAGGCTGCTATTTATTCTAGGATATACCTTCCTTGTGTGGGAGAAGTAGTGTTCAAATACCACATGACAGAGGACTTTTCTTTAACATATTAGAATTAAAAAATAATTTTAAGTACACTATACACCCAACGTGGAGCTTTATTGACTTCAACAACCCTGAGATCAAGAGTCACATGCTCGGGATCCCTGGGTGGCGCAGCGGTTTGGCGCCTGCCTTTGGCCCAGGGCGCGATCCTGGAGACCCGGGATCGAATCCCACGTCGGGCTCCCGGTGCATGGAGCCTGCTTCTCCCTCTGCCTGTGTCTCTGCCTCTCTCTCTCTCTGTGTGACTATCATAAATAAATAAAAAAAAAAATAAAAAAAAAAAAAAGAGTCACATGCTCTACCAATTGAGCCAGCCAGCCATTCCACTTGGAAAATTTTAAGTTAGCAACTTTTTGTAGCCCCAAAGTTACTGTTTTTTCTGCTGGTCTCTCAGATCCAAACACAAGAGTGCCAAGTGCTAACCCAATGAAGGTATCCTCCTACGTAAAAATAAGGAAAGACGTTTCCTCCATGATTTTAAATATACCAACTTGCAATAAATAGACCTCCTTCACTGAGGCTGGCAGACATGGAGGGGTATGGCTACTCGAATCCCCAAATACCTAGAATTCTACTCTGTCTACCCCCAAGTTAACAACAGGTCCTCCTCAGGCTGGCTGCACACCACAAACAGATCTCAAAGGAAACCCTCAACCATCACAGAGGCCACCCGTCTACTTCATATGAAAGTCCCACACCAAAGTCTGCCAAACAGAGTGTATTTGCCTATGTGTCTCTTAGCGGTTAAGAAGTGCTAGTAAAAAAATAAGATAAATTTAAAAAAAGAAGTGCTAGTAAAAATTCCTCAAATGTAAATCAATCTCCATCCACGCACCTCTAGAGAGGGTCTGTGGATAGAAATGTTTTTAATATAACTGATTTCTTTTGATATCCATACACTCTATAACTTAAACAAGTTCTCGGGGCAGCCCCGGTGGCTCAGCGGTTTAATGCCGCCTTCAACCCAGGCGTGATCCGAGAGACCCGGGATCAAGTGCCAAGTCAGGCTCCCTGCATGGGTCTGTATGTATAAATAAATAAATAAATAAATAAATAAATAAATAAATAAATAAATAATAAATAAATAAATAAAGATAAAAATAAATAAATAAATAAATAAATAAATAAAATCTTTAAAAAAATACTAAAAAAATATTTTATTTATTTATTCATGAGAGACAGAGAGAGGCAGAGACACAGGCAGAGGGAGAAGCAGGCTCCATGCAGGGAGCCTGACTCGGCACTTGATCCCGGGTCTCCAGGATCACACCCCGGGCTGCAGGCGGCGCTAAATCACTGTGCCACCGGGGCTGCCCTAAATATTTTTTTTAAAAAGGGTCTTATTTAAAAAAAAAAAAAAAAAAAGCAAGGCACAGTAGTAGCTCTACTCTGGTCTGTGTTTTTCAGACCTGCTCAGCTCACCTATTGGTTACAAAAGGTATAACTAATCACAGACAAAGCAGGTAACAAAGTGTCCGTCCATATTCTGCAGATGATATGGCTAAGAATAGGCTAGCTACCCAATCTAACCACAGAAGCTAGGTATTTGGTTTGGGGTTAATCCACATCACATGGCTCACCATCAAGAAAGCAGCTCAAATGGATTATGTCCAAGGTGTGAGCACAGCACTCTACCCAAATCCTTCTCTGGCTAATCATTTCCAGTCTCTGAGAAGTTTTATCCTAAGTAAATGAGGTTAGAACTATCTCGTCACTTCCAGCTTCTTAGAAAATTTACCTTTTTGTAAACCCAATCACCACTAGCAACTCTTTTTTTAAGTAATCTTTACTCTCAACATGGGGCTCAAACTCAAAACCCTGAAATCAAGAATCGCATGCTCTCCAAACTGAGCCAATCAAGCACCCCCTTCTAAAAAGAAGTTTTTTAAATCATCTCCACACTATCAACCCTTCTTGACAAAAGTGTAGACCACCGTCAAAGAATTCTCACTCAAGACATGTATTCAAGTATAGCTAATATGAGAGTTTCAAAAGTGGTATCCTGAAAAGCTCATTTTTTAAAATGTCCAATCCCATTTTCTCACTTATCTTTGGGATAAAATTAGGGGAATATTCTTCTCTAGTCCTAAGATATTTATAACACTTAACTCTAAAAACTTTTTAGAATCACGTTTTTATAAGTGGATTATATTTTTACATTGACAAAATTGCTTATTTCCAAATTCAGATTATAGACATTAAAAATATTAAACACACACCTACCATATGACCCAATCATCTGCACCTAGATACTTATCCAAGAGAAAACAAAGCATATATCCATACAAAAACTTGTACCGAAGTGTTCACAGCAACATTATTTGTAATGTCCCAAAACAGGGAATCTATCTACTAAACAGGTAAATGAAAAACCAAATTGTAAAAAAAAAAAAAAAAAGAAAAACCAAATTGTAGATCCATAAATTGAAATACTACTCAGCAACTAAAAGTAATAAACTATATACAACAAGAATGCATCTCAACACAATCATACTTGAGGAAACCAGGCAACAAAAGGGTTACAATACAGTATGATTCCATCATATAAAATTTTATATTTGATAAAATCTAATCTGGCAAACTAATTCGTAGCATGGTTTCTCAACCTCAGCATTATTGACATACTGGGCCAGAAGCTCTGCTATGTGGGGCTGCCATGGGCATCTCTGACTTCTCCCAAAGAGATAGCAGTAGTAACCCCATCCCTCAGTCTTGCAGATGAAAACCAAAAATGTCTCCAAGACACTTTCAAATGTCCCCCTGTCCAGGGAGGAAAGAGGAGAGGAAAGAGAAAAGAGGAAAGAGGAGAGGAAAAGAAAAAGAAAAGAGAAGAAAAGAAAAGAGAAGAGAAGAGAAGAGAAGAGAAGAGAAGAGAAGAGAAAGAAGAGAAGAGAAGAGAAGAGAAGAGAAGAGAAGAGAAGAGAAGAGAAGAGAAGAGAAGAGAAGAGAAGAAAAGAAAAGAAAAGAAAAGAAAAGAAAAGAAAAGAAAAGAAAAGAAAAGAAAAGAAAAGAAAGAAAAAGAAAAAGAAAAAGAAAAAGAAAAAGAAAAAGAAAAAGAAAAAGAAAAAGAAAAAGAAAATCAACCCCCTTGAGAACCACTGATGCATACTGATTGATGGAAAGCTGATCTAGGGTTGCCTGGAGGTGGGGAAAGAAGGACTCAGAAGATTAGAGGTGAGAAATAACTGCTGGGGGTACGGATGTATTTATTACCTTGACTCAGCTAGGGATTCATAATACAC